AAATATATTATATATATTAAAATAATTATAAAATTTCAATATAAACAATATAATATTTATAATTTTATTAGAAAATATATTTTTAAAAATTTTTATAAATATTTATTTTTGTTTATTTTTTTAGTTTTATTATATTAACTTATTTTTAATTACTTTTTTAAATATTGCAAATAATTAATTCTAAATTCTTATATTTAATAATATATTAATTTATATAGTCTATTTTATTACCAATTAAATCCAAATTTCTTCTAAATTTAATATTATTTGTCTAATTATTGAATAAACTTTTTTTAATTTAATTAATAATAATTTTATAATTTAAAATAATAAAATTAAAATTTTATTATTATTTTAAATAATTTTATTTTTTTTGCTAATAGGTCTTAAAATATTAACATTATTATTAACTATATTATACTAATTTTACTTTATGTTACAAATAATTTTATTATTGAATTTAATAATATATTACTTATTAGTATAATTTAAAAAGTCTTTTTTTTATTTTAAAAAATAACAATTTAATTTATTAATATAATATAAAAAATTAATATATTATGAGTTTATATTATGATATTAAAAACTTTAATAACTAATATTATATTTTATAATTATAAAAGTAATAATAATAATAATAATAATAAAAATAAAGAAAATAAAAAAAATAAAAAATAAAATAAAAATAAAGATAAAAATAAAAATAAAAATAATAAGAATAAAGCACATTAAGTATATTATTATAATTATAAAAGATAAGTTTATCGAAAGTAATGTTGTTATGCTAAATAGTGTTTTTTTGTGTTTAATTTTTTTTTTTTTTGTAGTTATATTTTTTTTGTGATTTTTCGAAATTTGAAATTATTGTAATATAATAGAATAATACTATTTTAAAATGTATATTATTGGATATTATTATGTAGAAAATATAAGAAAATTAAAGGTTTAGTAATGATTTTTGATGGGATGTTTGATTCTGAAAACTGCGGCAAAACTAGGTGTGCGCGTAAACTAGGTGGAATACGTTATACATAATATATTTATAATTATAATTTTAACAAAGATACTTTTTAATATTTTGAGAATAATATTTTTTATAAAAATAATAATGACATATGTATTTAATAATTATTTTAAAATACAATTGAGGTGGTAATGATTCTTCGTTATTAAATAATTTAAAAAGAATAAAAATATTAAAAAAACCTACTTTTTAAAGTATTTCTTTAAAAATTTTTCGTTTTTAAAATAAAACAAAATATTTATGATATTAACTACAATATTTATTAATATTTATCAATATATAAATTTATTAATAATCAATACAAAATAAAACTTTCCATTAAATTATATATAAAAATTCATCAATAATAATAATAAATTCAAAAGTTAAAATAACCATATTAATTAAAAAATAAAGTAGAAAATAAATTATAATTTAAATTTTATATTACAAACAAAACAAACAAAAATCTTTTTATATAGATTACTACTTCTGATTTAACTTCAAAATTAAGGTTAAAATTGAAAATTACTATTTTAAAAAATTTAAACAAGTAAAATCAGTAACCAAAATCAATGTCCTTTTTTATGCCAAGACCACAACTCGCTTATATGGCGTTGAGCGAAATGGGTGTCCCATTTCGCCAACTCATACCTCGTAGAATTCAACACGTCCAAGTAGATACTTAGGCACGAGTTGTTATTCCAGCCCGTAAGACCGTGTCTTGCAAACTTGTAGTAGTTATATATGCGTACATTAATGGCTCACGGAAATGTAACAGGCGGCACATACAAGACGAAGTAATGATAGTATCTGCTGACAATCTTGCCTTTTCCAGTTTTTCCGATATGATCGCCAACTCCTCAGTATCTCCGCGAGCTTGCAAACACTCGACCAAACCGTGTAATGCCCATATATTATCCCGATGCTGCGAGCAACGCTGTAGCTTTCCGCAAATTCCTAGATCCTCGCGATAGACCTGCTCAGCTTCTGTGGTATGGCCCTGTTCGAGCAACAATGCACCCAGCGCATGGCGTGGGGGGTGCATCCAAGCCCAAGGTTCGCAATAGTTCAAGTTTTCATCAATTTCGACGGCTTTACGCAAATGCGCGAATGCTTCATCATAATCACCTTTACGGTATGCAATTTCACCGTCAAGCATTAGTTCGGCAATGGCAAGGATGTCCATGGCGGTATTGTTGAGCAGGCGGCGTCCTGGCGGAACCCGGCTACGTGTTTCGTGGAACAGGATACGCTCTCGCTCCGCCTCTGAAGTCTTCTTCAAGGCAGCATAAGCTACACCTCTTGCGTAATGATGCATTACTGTGCTGACTAGAAAGAGGTGCGGGTCATCGGGAGCTGGCGTGTCGATGATATCCTTCCACTTCCCGAACCGCACTGGCATATGTATTGCCATAGCGTAATAACCCTCGGCCCGCATAACCATTTCCGGACGGTCAGGGACTGTGAGAATATCGCGACTGACGATTCTCTTCATCTTTTCTGCCGCGGCCCTGGCAGGCTCATATTGCCCAAGAAACATACAAGTATACATCATCAGATGGATATGGTGACAGCGTGCGGTGACGTAGAAATTCACGGATCCGGCCCACTGGGAATACATATCGTCGGCCTTGATGGCTGCCTCGCTAGCCAGCTTGGCCTTCTCGTACTCACCGCAGAGAAGGTAAATATGGCCGGGCATATGGTTCATATGCCCAGCATCTGGGCATAGTGTTCTTAGCCTGTCTGCGGACTGCATCGCGCGTTCTGGCATGTGGGACATTTCGAGCAAATGAATATGAAGATGAATAATGGCCGGATGTGGAGTAGTGCCAGCCCTCTCTGCGTCGTCAATTGATTTCTCACAAATTTCCAAAGCTTCGATCGTATCTGCGCCGGCCGCGACCTCTCCGGTCTTCATATCCCAGAGACGACGTGGTGTGCGGGTGATCAGGGCTTCGACAAAGAGAGCTGCCACGTCCAGGTTTTCCGGGAAGTCCTTGTGCACCTCTCGCATCGCTTTCATATAATTGATCTCGCAGCGATCGTAGTCAGCCGGTAGGGCGGGTGGCTGTAATTCGAAACGCTTGGCTAGTGCTGCGATGAGGCGGTTCTCAGTTGGTGTCGCGCGAGCGGCAAGCGCGTTTGCCTGCGCGAGGTGTGAGTGGGCGAGGGCGACCGCCATTGCCGCTTCCAGCTCACCCATTTCACACCAAAGGAGATTGTAGAATGGTCCTGACGCATAAGCGATGCCCCAGTGCGCCATGACACATTTGGGGTCAGCCTCGAGTGCATTTTGGAAACACACCATTCCCTCTTCATGGTTGAAGCCAAAGCACCAGTTGAGGCCATGATTGAACCACTGTTGTGCTTCCTCTGATCCCGTGGAAATTTCTCGGGTATAGTCCCCAAGGTTGAAAGGGTAGTTATTGCTTCCGGCCATAATGCCTTTGATGAAAATAGAAATGATATGACTGAAGCAGAGGAAGTGCCCCTAATATATACACGAAGATGGCTTCTGATCTATGGTCTCTTTGCCTTGTTTATGAGCAATTGACTTTATTCCTAGATCTAGACATTAGCGTTTGATCGTTCTTCGTAATCCTCAAGAGTTGGCCTCCATTCTTAAGTTTATGATATCACGATTGGGTAATATGATTGTAATTGCTTTGAATTCCGCGATAGAAATACCTTCGTATGCCAGGGCTAATACTGACGTCAAGGTAGCATTCCTTATGTCAAAATTTTATATCCCCATTTAGGATTAATTACGTCTACGAAGCGGATTTGCTCCAGACGCTTGGCCAAACTCCTTACTTAATGCCCCATCCTCGCACGATTGGTATCAACTTCTCATCCTTCTCACTATATCAAAATTTTTGAAGCTTTTACCTACACATGCAACCCAGTATGGCTCAACTTTATAGCAACCACCTCACGGCCGCGGCAGCGATCGGCGACCTTGCCGAAATCCGATATCTCATCGACCAGGGTGCTGAGATCAGCGCACGGGGAGATGACGAAGTTACTCCGCTGATAGGCGCAGCCATGGCAGGCAACGGAGACGTAGTAACATTACTACTGGACGAAGGTGCCAATGTCAGGATTCGGGACGTACACGGCCAAACGGTTATTAAGTTAGCTCTCGACCATGGTCAGAGTCATATCGCGCAAGCTTTAGCTGACCGTTATCCCGACATGGTCATCACGGACCCACGACTGCCCAAAGGAGAAGCCTGGCTACGTGCGCAGTTTCGCTCCATCACAGATCATGTAAAAGACGACTCAAGCAAGCCTAATACTGCTTTGGTGGAGCGATTGATTAGCGGCAACCTCGGGCCAGTCGAAAACCGGAATGCCTCCGATGTTTATTGGGAGCATATTGGCTTATGCCTTATTGGAAACCGGCCGCTTGACATCGAGCGGAACTATTCCAAAACATTGCGACAGTGCCGCATGGGTACTTTCAATCGATTTTTCGAAGGTCACAACGGCATTCGACAATCAATAGAACTGCTGCACAGCAAGCTACCAACAACGCAGTATGACATAGTCGAGACTGTGGTCAGGCAGACCAACATAACGGATGGTTGGGTGACGGAGCGTTGGGGCTATTACGACCCGGAAAATCAAATTCAGGTCACCGACGGTATCGATACCTTCCTTATCGAAAATAGCAAGATTGTGGTTAAGTGGGCGAACTACACCGTCGAAGACAAATTGGACGACCCTCAGTCCGTATATGAGAAAATTGGGTTCAGACCCTCGTCCCATGATAGTTAAATTTATTGTCGTTGACAAATGCAACATTAGAGGAAGGAAAAATTGCGTTCTAGCTTGTCAAATTGTATAATGATATTCCCCAAAGAGATCCTGAAATCCGAATATATCTTATGAGTATTATTTATTTCTTCCAAAATGTTCTAGCGCGTCATTGTCGGATGTTGAACAACCTTATTTAATATTATAGGTGGAGACAACTGTTCGGAAAAGAGATTGGTTTCTATAGTGTTAAATCTTCCCTGAAATAGCGTTTCCTACTCAGCTACAATAATAATGTCGCTTCTGGGTATCGCCCAGATTCAATGTTTCAATGTTTAAAAACGAAAATATATACAGATATATTGGCTGAAGATAGATCTAAATACCTTTGTGTTTAATTGTGAGGGCTTTTTTATTGGTCTGAGAATTTGGTAAATTAGTTACATTGGAAACTGCGTTAGGGTGTGGGTATTATATATAGGCCAGCTTATGGACAAGTTCATAGGTTAGTTTACGGAGTCTGCGGGTTAAAATATGACCTAAAGTTAGTAGGTATATGATTTAAATATTCAAATATTCTAGCCCATTATTAAATACTTAATTTATAACAGTCAGTACTAATTCCACCTGATTCATATTTCAGATTCATTCAATCGCTATACAAGAATATTTTCAATATATCTCACAACATCTAGCATGCCCCAGCTACGTAATTAAAATTTCTCTGTCATCCACCATTTCAACTCTGCCGAGCCATTCTGAACCAAATCTCCATCGCAATCAGCGCTGCCCCACGATCGGACTCTCCAGACACCATTGTATGAGCGTTTGTACTTCGCCAAGGAATCTCTGATTAGGTCGTAGATGTCTGAATTGCCAATTCGCACCTGCCAAGCGTTGTGGTATACGCCAAAGAGGCATTGCGTCGTGCCAGATTTCCGACTGCTGAGGAGGGCGCGGTATTTGCCCGGTGTGATAGACTTCCAGCCAATGGCCCAGTAGCCTTTGTTGGTTCGTGCCCATTCTTGGATAGCCATGCATCGACCGGTTGTAGGTGCATGAGGGCCAGTGTCACCGACGAAAGAGCTGTGACGACACTTGTCCTGATTGGTGGACCTCTTCTTCCACTTGGGGGCGTAACGACCGATATTTTCAGGCTTAGTTTGGCGCTTCTCGAGATCAGTTTCATCATCGTCTTCGTCTTCGTCTTCGCCATCGAGGAATCCAGCATCAACCCACTAAAAGGTGTTAGTTTGCGTGATGATGATATATAAGAACGCGGTTAACATGACTTACAATCTCATAGGTATTACCGTCAGAAGCTGTGAAGTTCTGCGGGATCAAATGGGAGGAATCAATAGACACTGGTGCATCATCGGTATTTGGGGAGGGAATCGCAAGAACTCCTGTCATAACGACAGAGGTCGCGATGAGAGTGGTAAAAAAGCGCATCTTGCCCAACTATGAATACTGCACTAGAAGAGGAAGAAGAACTAGAAGAAACTTTGATGCTTTCCAATTAACAGACTCCCTTCATGAAAATGGCGATTGTGCTGGCTTATATACCCATATCCCGTACATCGAGTTGGAGTTCATACTGCAGAATATCAGTCCACTCTCAGTGCCCCTGGGCGATTGGACTAGGTATACGATAGCAGCGGCTCTTAAAGCAATTTTGTATACGAGCTTTGGCCATGGATCATCGATCGACGGCAGAAGCTAACGACTATAAAATAGGCTTAAATCGCAAAAATTTGCAGCTCGGCCTCGTATTCCTCTCTAGGCAGAATTTCACAAGCGCCAAGGACGGCTCTTTTTGATCTTGTATACTCTGGGCGGAACTTGGCTATATATTATACCTTGAAGCACCTATTGCTGCTTATATAGCTTATGATCGTATAGTTGTGTTGTATTTTATGCGAGGTCAACGATTAGAATCGCAGCGGTCGCATCTGGCCGGCAGAGCGGAGGGTCGTTGCAACGTTGGAGCTATTTTTCAGGTCCGTAGGACATATCCTGACCACATCAGCTCCATTCAGAGATAATACATCGCGGTAGATGGTCGGATTGTGTCAATGTGGGCCCGGTTTGCAGTAGTACGTTGAGACCACGAGCATATTAATGTCTACCTGCGTGTTAAAGTTAGGCCAAGAATCGGCTACCATGTATTCTGACAACTGCAACCCGGTATGCATGGGCTTTGTAGACTAGCCTTATTTGGTCGTTTTCGAGTGCGGAGTCGCCGAGTTATCCTTTATTTATAACATCTAAAGATTTGAATGTCTTGAGGTGGACATGGCATGGGGGTTTTGAAGCGCTGCATCAATATTGCAATTCCCTCGATCGTTTTACGAGAATCGAATCACAGTCGCAATACATCGTGAATCCCGTCCTAAATTTGTTAGCCTTGACTTCAACATCAAATCAGTCCTTTGATTGATGCAAATTATTGAAAATATTATAAATGAATATTTTCGTGGTGTGAAATATACAGTGTATACCACGAAATTATCGCTCAGACCGAGCTAAGACTAAGACAATTGGATTGTTCCGCATTGTTAGCTATTGGTCCCACACAAGAATGGTGAAAATCCGACCTCACCTGGTATTTCCAACACATCGCCGAAACCGTCCAACTAGACTAGCACATAAAACATTCTCTTCGAATTCAGTCTAACCAGACGTCCCGCTTTAGCTAATTATACAAGAACTATACTACAGTTGTGACTAAAATAAATTAATAGTACAGTGTGATGTCATCGAGGATCATGAACCCCGCCCCTCATCCCTCAAACTGGCTCTACCATCCACCGTAATATATGGCTGAGTTGAATGATAGAAAAAGCAGGACGATGCCACCGGCCACCCACGGGCTCATGACCACACCTATTTGCACTACTCCGCTTTTCCCAGGTTGCTCATCACTCTACTTGACAGTTGCATCCTCGAAAGTTAACGATAAGTATCAACCGACATGGACGAATCGGATTATGAAATAGTTGACGTTGAGACTGGGTCAGGCGATGAAGTCTTGGAGAGCCTTAATCTCCCGACAACCAAAAACAAAAATAGGCCTCATGTGGCTTGGCAAGGGAACGAAAATAATCTCATCGGTATAGTGGATATGGGAAGGTTAGTCCGTACCACAGTAGTTGTACAATCGTATAGTGTGCTAATACTACTGACTCTTTGTAGTAATGGAATCCGTTTCTCAGTCACAGATTTATCCGCTCCTCGGGCGCGAATTCTTCCAACCGTTCTGGTTTACAGATCCGGGATATCTCTCTACAGCTCCCAATTTGATCCGGATTCTGGAGACCAGATTCCAATTCCGGATCACATAATTGAAGCAGTCTGTGCCCTTCTCAATCGGTTCCTCATAGTATGCCGGGAAGTTGGCGTCGACAAAAAGAACATCCACGTTGTTGCAACAGAGGCAACACGCGCCGCCCTTAACACAGCACAGTTCTTGAAGGCAGTCAAGGAAGCTACAGGCTTGGACATTGAGTTGTTACCTAAACATGAGGAAGGCGAAATCGGGGCCTTGGGTATCGCGAGCGGCTTTTGGAATATGGAAGGCCTTGTCATGGACTTGGGAGGTGGTAGTACACAACTCACGTGGATGGTGAGCCAGGGCGGTAACATCAGAATAAGTCCGCGTGGAAGTTTCAGTTTCCCTTATGGTGCAGCAGCACTTACGAAAAGGCTCCATGACTTACGCAAACATAAGAGTGTGGATGAAGGGGATGAGGCTGTTAAAATGTTTCGAAAGGAAATGATCGAGAACTTCCGTTCCGCCTATGGCAATTTACAAATCCCGGAAATATTGGTGGAAAGGGCACAAAGAGAAGGAGGTTTCAACATCTACTTGTCAGGAGGCGGATTCCGGGGGTGGGGTTATTTGCTCCTGTATCTCAATCAAACTCATGGCAGGCATTACCCCATATCGATCATCAACGGGTACACCGCCGGGAGCGATCAATTCAAAGACACTCAAACCCTTAAGTCTGTCGCTCACGCAGCCAAAAACATTTTCCGAGTCTCAGATCGTCGAAGGGCCCAAGTCCCGGCTGTAGCATTCTTGATAAATGTACTTGCTGAGGCTATTCCTCATGGGATTAAGGAAGCACATTTCTGTCAGGGAGGGGTCCGTGAGGGTTATTTATTTAAGCAATTGCCTCCATCTATCAGGTCACAGTCACCTCTGGAAGTCGCCACTAGTACCTTTGCGCCTTGTTCACATGAGCAGATCCAAACTCTACTCAAATTTGCGATCCCAGCCCCTTCAAGGAATCAAACGAGAAAGTTCCCCGAACAATTCTGCGAACACGTCATCAACTCATTTGTAAACGTCATATATGCCCATATGTTCATGTCGAAAGAGACAGCTAGCGCGACGGCTCTCTACTCAACTAGCGTAGGATTGATGTCTGCGGCGCACGGAGTGTCACATCAAGACCGTGCTCGACTTGCATTAATGCTCGAGTCGAGGTATAGAGGCGAACTTCCTCCTCGGGAATTAGAGTTCCGCGATTCGCTACGGAATTTGATTACTCCTGAGGAAGTTTGGTGGGCGGGTTACCTGGGAAGAGTTGGATACTTAATCACACGATTATATCCAGCTGGGGAAATTAATGAGGCTAAGCCAAGGGTGGTCTTTTCAGCAGACTGGTCATCGGCTTTGGGCAAAACTAAGGATAAGAACGGGTTGGTGCTCACCATATCGATTCAGAAGAAGAAGGATGACCCGGCAAAACTGAAACAGGCTCTCAAGGAGCATGTTAACATTATTCAAAATGTTGGGAAGAAAAAGAATTGGACCGGCGATGATCCATGGGGAATGAAAGTGAAGGTGGATATTATCGAAGAAGGAATCTTGCAAAATGATTTTGTTGATTGATCGACGAAGCCTAATATCTGTATATAATCATCCCGCTTTACGACTATGCAACTGTGATTTTGACATTGGCGCGCGGTGGATATCATGGATTACAATAGGCTGACACCCGCTTTCGATGCGCATGTACATATGTATCAATGTATCGAAGTATTTTATCGATATTAATGTAAGCAAGACTGATGTTTGAGTAACATTTCGATCAAATTTAAATACAAAATATAATATTTTAACAATTTTAACAAGGCCCCAGCAGCCATATGTATCACAAGCAAAATAGTCAAGTTCAGCTTACAGATGATTGCCTGACTGAAAGGAAGGGTCTTATAGTCCTCCGCTTTTCCCAGCAAATTTTGCTGGGTGGGAGGTCCAAAGTCCCATACAAAAAAATGTGTTGTTTTTTCTCAGCAACATTGGCGTTCTCGGCGCTTGTTCTCTCGAATCCAGGCTTTTTACGAAGTATTTCAGTCGGTTTGCAACAGATCGTCCTGTGTTGTCGACAACACATAATATAACCGGAGTCCGCGGATTCTCTTGTGACGTCACGACGCAGAATGTTTTGTGTAACCGGCGGCGATACATTTTATTTTTTCCCGACAGAACCCGAATGGACCGGCATCCCGAATATTAGATACCCTCTCAATCTGGAACCGGACTGGCCCGACATTCGGAACAACCTTCCTTATTTTTATTTATTTTTTTATTTTTAGTTAATTGAATTGGTGGCCTTTTTTCAAAATACATTCTCCTGTATATTGTATATATTGTATTGATCTATACATGTATTTCTGCAAATGAGGGGAATAACGACCACCAACGCCGTCAGAACAATCCGATCGCGATCGCTTCATCATGCGAGGATCCCGCGACCGCTTCTCGCCCACGATCCAAGTACTTTACCTACACTCCACCACATTTCGATTTCTCACCATAAGCTATATAAGCATTCACTAATAGCACCCTTACAGCCAAGGAGCGAGTTGTCATTTTAGGATCGGGATGGGCAGGGTTTACAATTTCACGGCATCTGGACAAGAAGAAATTCCAAACAGTTGTTGTTTCCCCCCGATCTTATTTCGTATTTACACCCTTACTGGCGTCTACTGCTGTCGGAACTTTGGAATTTCGAAATACGCTCGAACCAGTCAGGGGGCGCAATGCCGGGGTCGAATACATACAAGGGTGGGCTGACGATGTCAGCTTCGATCGCAAAACCCTGACGATAGAGGCGCTGACCAGCCAGCCGGGAAGTGGGTCCCACGCGGACAAAGCTGGCGCTTCTGGTCAGGGTGAGTTGTTCGATATCAAATACGATAAATTGATCGTGGCTGTCGGCTGTTATAGCCAGACGTTTGGTACTAAAGGCGTCAGAGAAAATGCTCTCTTCCTGAAAGATGTCGGCGATGCAAGAAGAATTAGGAGTAGGATTCTTGAATGTTAGTTTACAATCTGCCTAGTTCGCCGCTTCTGCTGATGTTATTAGGCTTTGAAACGGCTTCGTTGCCCACAACTTCGGAAGAGCTAAGAAAGAATATTCTCAATTTCGCGATCGTTGGTGGTGGGCGTAAGTCTCGCAAACAGCACATCTACAAAATGTGTTGGCCCTTTGACAGGCTCCGACTACTTAGTAGGTAATTAACGTTATAACTGCTTCACGAATAGCCACTGGAGTCGAATTCGCTGCGGAGCTATTTGACCTATGCCATGAAGATCTTAGTCGACTGTATCCAACTTTGATACCGTATGTCAAGATTTCAATTTACGATGTCGCCCCAAAAATTCTCCCAATGTTCGACGCGAAGCTCGCAACATACGCATTGAATCTTTTCAAAAGAGATGGCATCAAAATTAAGACGGAGCACCACATCCAAGAGTTACGACCGGGCCTACCTGGCCCCCCGGGCGAAAATTTAAATACTGCTGGATGTTTTACCCTTACGACTCATCAAGAAGGCGATATTGGAGTGGGAATGTGTGTCTGGTCCACTGGCTTGATGATGAACCCTTTCGTTCAGAAGGCCTTGGACTCCGTCCACATATATCCGGAATCCTCAGCGATACCCAATCTGCCTGAAAATGCGCCAGATCTTCCGTCATCTCTCAAATGGTCTCTCAAGCGCCACTCTAAAACAGGTGGTTTAATGGTCGATGATCGCTTTCGAGTACAGCTCGTCGAGTCGAACTCAGCAACCGAAGCCACGGTAGTGGATGTCTTTGCTGTCGGAGACGTATCCGTCATGGAAAATTCACCTCTTCCTGCAACTGCTCAAGTCGCCAATCAAGAAGCTCGGTGGCTTGCAGAACACTTAAATACTGGAGATATTAACTCCCACCGTTTCTCTTTCCGGAACCTCGGAGTCATGACATACTTGGGCGGTATGAGAGCAATAATGCAAACAGGTGAACGTGAGATTAAAGGGTATGTTGGCGGCTTTTATTTGTCCTACTCAAATCAATTCCCTTCCCTATTTTGAATGAGAAAAGGAAGTTTCCTTCTCCTTCGTACAGTATATTCTGACCGAGAGTACTCGACAGGCGGACAGCATGGCTCATCTGGAGAGGAGCTTATCTCACGAAAACTGTGAGTTGGAGGAACAAACTTTTGATACCAATATATTGGGCAGTAAACTGGGTTTTCGGGAGGGATATATCGCGATTCTAGTCGAGTTGCCGACCGGAGGGTCGTTCAGACTCCTATGGTGTGAATGGAAGTTCGAGGAAGTGAAGTCCATCCTCACATGCCAAACTATCTGTTCAAGACCGGTAGTATAATAATTACAAATACTTCAATTGCGTATTCTTAGAAGACATCTTCCGCGTAGCGTGTGGAAATTTGATGTCTTTCAATGGTGAGAAACATATTATGTACAATAGATAGACCAAATTCATCTCTACAATGTTAACTATATTCTGTGAACAAGTTACCAAGATAATCTTCAATTTATTACGCATTACCTAACTTTGTATGAAGGACTAAAGAACCAGTCTTCGTAATATATAGTGGCGGTTCAGATTGCTCCCATCTCTATTTTAAGCCATCCGCACTGATCGTATGCCCTATCATAACCTTGATGATATGATATCATAAGTATTAAAAAGGGGCCGCTAATCAAAGTGCTGACAAAGATCAAGCCTGTTTTAATATCGAAAATTAGCAGTAGTAGGTGTACCTTAGTAAAGTGTCATAGCGCGCGTTTCTAATTAGATGTCCGAGTCGATATTTCCACCTTATGATGACCGTGGTGTCTCGGATTTGCCTCTAGAATATCTTACGAGTCCGTGACTTCTAAGTTCTCGATATGCGAGTTACATCACTTGCTGGATAGGGGGCGGATAGCGTGTAGTTGTAAAAATAGATATTAGGGTCGATATTTCGCCTTACGATGTAGACGTACGTGCTCCTCTTTTGCAATCCAAAATGAACCTGTACATCTTTCTATCACCTGAGACTCTATTGTAAATACGTTTTAGGCCTTGCAATTTGAGACTTGTATTCAATCGGAAAACGATTCGTCGTCATGTGACGTTGCTACAGACTGATGGGATTCGATCATATGATCACCAAATTCAAAGAGTTGTTGCTGGAAAAATGCACCCTCCTTTAACCCAGCTTACGGGAGTAGAGGCCAGAATCCCCGCAGTCTCCGACCGACCCGTCTAAATTCTTCTTGATTTAGATTGTGACGGGAGGAAACCTCGTTGAGTTTGTGATCTTTGCTGGGGTTAACCACTTCGCGCACTAAGTTATATTGAGGAGCTTTGCAAAGAACGGCCGCCATGCGATAGAACCCCCAACGGGAACTGTACTTTGCCAGCATGTAGGCGTAGACGGGGAAATGCTGAATAGTGAAAGGAGGTAGCTTGTGGACAGGGAATCCATCGTACCTCGCTCGGCTGATAGCAAAAAGAACGTCTGAAGTCTCGCTGAGTTTGTGCAGCTTACTTTTTGCGATACGGCGTTCTTGCAGTTCCTCGCGGATTCGGTCCCGATACCAGGATGGAGGAGACTGTTGCGCCAAACTAAGCACCCTAAACCACGGCTTTAAGATAGTGTCTAGATCTACCTTGAGGCGCATATCTATAGAATGTTTGTCTCGATAGCTTGAGGTTTATTCTGGAAGTCGCTTTCTGGTGTTTGCACTTGAGGTTGTATCACCAGGGAGATTATTCCAGAAAGAGGAAGCTCGAGCTGCAGCGCTGATATGGTCGGTGATCGGTAATGGCGTCAAGTCGGTTTTGAATTTTAAGTAATAGATGCGGTTGGAGTTATGACATGGATAGCACCTGGTATCGTAACTTTGTGTTCGTTATCATGATCTGGAAGTTTGTGGTAACTTGAGTGACACTGGCTGGTACTACTACGTCGACCACCTGTAAAAAAGGACAACCCAAACTTCAGGCACATTTAAGTCGCAGCTGATTGGCACATCCTTACTTCAGGCACGATATGCATGGTACTGCAAGCAAAGACCCATTTGTATCTACGGCTAGGTTGGTAGAGAGACCACAGATCGATAGAACTAGCATAATTCCCAGCAAGCTCTTAATATTCCTATATTCTGATTTATACTCAAAATCCCACCCTCTACGCTTTATCAGGTCGAAATTCACTACCATCGTTTTCAGTTTGGGGCATTTTCTACTCGGTCAAGATTCGAATCTCTTAATCCAAAGCCTAAGTATATGATACACGGAATCTGGTATTTCTCCCAAGATACAAACTGTTCAGACGTGTGACTACAAATCCAGGCATTTTATTCGTCAAAACTAAGCAGGGCGCTCCTACGTGTGAGAGTGCAAAAAAATTACCACTGCGAAAGCCTTTCCACTGAAATTTCTCTGAGCTTTTTATACACTAGGCATTTTTTACGACTTGTTCCTTACGCCAGAATCGTTCGAGGGGACCGGTAGGTCATTTCTAAATCAACGGATTGTTCATCTGCGAGAATCACATATAAATAAAAGTTGACCAACTGATGTTTACCCTATCAAGAATCAACAAGCAGACTCTCGACCTCAGCTTTTCAACTTTATCACATCATCTTCCAATCCGCTCAGATAGTGGATAGCAAAGTCAACGGCTACGAAGGAACCGTCTGTAAAGCCCCAAGACTATTTGAAGGATTCTAGATAGCCCACCACTCTAAAGACAAGCTTGCCATGACGGACCGCGGAGCTAGAGAGAATGGAAAGCCTACGATCATCGGAATATACGGTATACCCGGATCTGGAAAGTCATTCCTCTTAAAGCAACTCGAGAGAGAGCTTGGATCTCAGGATTTTGAGTTTTACGAGGGTTCGGAGGTGATTGCAAGTCTCGTCCCCGGAGGCCTCGATACCTTTAAGAAGATGCCCGAGCTACAAAAAGAACACTGGCGTCAACTTGCTATCGATAAAATTGGGAAGACGTGTGGTAGCAGCGGACGTGTTGGTATCGTTGCTGGACATTTTATGTTCTGGACTGAAGGAGAAGGAAAAGGGCGACCCGTTTATACAGACAACGATTTGAGGACCTTTTCCCACATAATATATCTAGATACCCCAGCAGATCTGACTTTCCAACAGCGGGCCAACGATAAAGGGCGCAGCCGTCCCCTTTGTTCCTTGGAACATTTACAAGATTGGAAAACGGAAGAAAAGATGCAACTACGCAGTCTCTGCTATCAACATGGAATTTTGTTTTCCATAGTCACGCCTACCTCGATGATGCTCAACAGAATACTGACCCTATTGCGTGATTTTGTGCAGCATAGCGAAGAGTTCAACTTATCTAGCGCTGAGCACCAATTAGACGAGCTGGTCATTACTAGCCCGGCAAAGCTACACACCATGTTAGTCTTGGATGCCGATCGAACAATGAGCTCAGAGGATAGCGGAAGGCTATTTTGGGACCTTCTTTCGAACGACCCACAAACGACGGATAAAGATTACCACTTGAAGACGTTGTTCAGCAGCCCCCTCGGCTATTCCTATACAGCATTTCGTCAAGCGACCCTACTCTATGAAGATTTCGCAGATGATTCAAAATTTGCAAAGCTTTGTGATGAGACTGCTGTGGCGATAGCTATGTATCCAGAGTTTGTGGCACTACTCCGACAGATTGCTGAGCATGATCACGTCGGTGCAGTGGTCATCACCTGCGGGCTCCGTCGAGTCTGGGAGACGATTCTGGACAGAGAGGGCCTCTCCGGAAAGATCAAAGTAATTGGTGGGGGCCGTACAGTTGACGGGATCGTCGTTACTGCTGCAGTTAAAGCCGCAATGGTTTCCCGTCTCAAGTACTACCACAACGTCCGCGTTTTAGCGTTTGGTGATAGCGTCTTAGATCTGCCGATGTTGTGCCAGGCAGACGAGGCGATTGTTGTGGTCGGTGACACCAAGACTAGAAGTAAGATTATGGACGGTGCGCTATTAGACGCCATCGAAAACGGAGGTCTGTCGGCTAGACAAGTTCTTCTTCCCAGCAATGTCTCAGCTCGGCTTAACACTACCATTCTACCCGCCCTCCAATTAACCAACCCCGGTTTCATCAACTCTGTTATACAGCAACGAAGCCGGGGCCTTCCAAGAATCTTTCATGCCACGAAAAGGAATGCAGCTAAGCAACTGATGACTCCCATGCGAGACGCTAGAGTCTCTGGTCCAGCCCTTCGGGAGGCCCATCGCCGCGCCGGATGGTACTTAGCAACAGAGTTTCTAACAGACTTTATCGGAGTGGAGGAGTATTCCATCCCTCATGTCCAAGGAAACGAAACGACTGGCTACCGACTCCGAAACGAGAAGTCAACTTTGATTGTGGCGTTAATGCGAGGCGGGGAACCGATGGCGCTTGGAGTCAACGATGCTTTCCCTTCCGCCATGTTTCTTCATGCAAAAAGTCCAGAGGATGTTAAATTGGTGCATGTATCACAAAAAAAGACGATCATACTTGTCGATTCGGTGATTAACAGTGGTAAAACTGTGGTTGATTTTGTTCGGCACATCCGCGATATAAATTCTTCGATTCAGATTACGGTAGTGGCCGGGGTCGTTCAGGCCCAATCTATCTCCGAGGGAAGCCTAGCCCAAGAAATCGATTCACGCCCAAATTTGGGTATTGTCGCTCTAAGGTTGTCTCAGAATAAGTTTACAGGCCGTGGCACGACTGATACCGGTAATCGTCTTTTCAATTCGACCCATATCCCTTAACTAATGCTCGAAAACAAAATTTCAAACTTTCTCATAAAAATCCTAGCATTTTCGGTTGCTCCTTGTTTTCTTTTCTTTTATTTCTGTGTAGTTTATTGTCGAAAATTTTGTTAACTTACCTCGAAGAGGTAAATTCGTATTCCACCCACATGGGACTTTAAGGCCATTACTGGATTGACGGAGGAATGTAATTTTATGGTTTGTTTGCGACCTCGGCATCAGTTCTCGGAATAGTTCTGATGACACGGTAGTCTTGTATGCACCATGACTCAAATTATTTCTAAACTTAAATCCATTTAATTTCCAGAAAATAAATTTGTAGTATGTGGTTTCCTTCAGTAGTTCGATTCAATCCAAGATGTTGTTCAGTTGAAGTACCACGTATAGATCTGTATGCTGCTTGATCTGACAAAAGTTTGGCTGGAAACTACTGTTACAAAGGCTTTCGTTGGCTTACGAAATGCAATGCAAATTAAGTGCGCAGGCCTCACTAGGATTCAAAGGCCCTTTGGACATGTCAGCACGATAAGCTATTCTAACGATTGGGCCGAGACTATCTAAATGATACGCTATATCTCGGGCTCTGCTGGCTAGTTCTTCTACCACACCACCAGGCACTCAAGTTCGAATTCACCGATAAAGGAAGACTTGACTACTGCAACACAATCTTTGACCTGTTGCTGTCACAAAATCCCCCCCACCGCCGGATTCGTAATCCCAGCCAAACTTGTGTAACATGCGAAGGAACTAAACCTGGCCTTGGGCGACGTTGCGTCTTCATGGGGATACAATATGCGCAATATTGTTTGTCACAGTTGAGTAAAGTGTATTTTATGATATGGGGCGCGAAGATATGAAATAGAGCTTAGTTTCTAAGATTTTTGATCTAAGTTATTCAATTCGATGGCAGAATTGAATAATCAATAATGAGGTAACCAGATTTATACGGATTGACTAGACTAGCTATATCTCAAATTTATTTAAACGTCGACAAACTCAAATAATAGCATCGGCAACCCGTATTGCTTTTCTCCGATTCCTGAAATTTGACCCTGTTGCCGCCTTGCTGATGGGTGAAGTTCCCTCTGGGCCTGTCTTCAGGCGTACCTGCAAGCAGTGCTAGGACAGTACCCGTGGTCACAAGCAAAGCTACACAAACCCGAGTACGAGTCATCTAAACCATTGGCGGGTAGGCCTGTTCTGCCAGTTTCAGGTGGCGGTTGGACCTGCGCTCCATAAGCCGAGCAGGTGCAAGGTCCTGATGGACAATATCCATAGCCACAGCAGAATTGACAAAGGCCAATGTAGTTATTCGAACCAGTTCCCGCGACGCAAACACCAGTTGGCCCTCCAGGATTAGAAGTTACAGTGACAGTAGTGTAGGTTGTAGAAGTAGTGGTTACGGTAGCAGTTTGAGTGGCTTGCCCCGAGCAACTTCTGGTGGTGGAAGTATTGCCACCAGTCGAAGAAGTGCTGCCACGAGTGGTGGCGCTGCTTCGGGCCGTCGTTGTAGTGGAGGTCGGGCTGCTACCACCTCCCGGAAGAGAGCCGACGTATACGTTAAAGTTATATACGGTGCAGCTATTCTTAATTTCCAAGCCTCCTGTACCGCCCATGATGACCTGACCGCCTCGTTCTAACGAGAATCTCTGTGTCCCAATGCCCATGGTAACGTTTGAGGTCAAGACACCAGCAGGAACGTTAATTCTGACCACAGAATTGCTGCCGCTCTGAACAACGAGGGTCGCTGGGGCCATGAGAAGAGTAGTTACATAGACATTGTCGTAGAGCATATCTGCACCGTTCGGTCGGCCTAGAGTATCCGATGTGCAAGTTGCAGCTTTCGGATGCGGTCGGTACCAATAAACCAGAGAATCTTCAGATACCGAAGGAGCGCTCAACCCAGCCTTATATGCCTCGATGTAAGCTTTGGTAATGATGCGCCAACCATCGTGGGGCATTCCATCCGCCCATTTTGCGGATCCGTCATCAGTGTGATTTGGCTCCCAGGGTCCAATATAGTGAGATTCTCCGTAATCTATATGCGTCTTAGGGCTCAACAATTTGGCAGGCTAGAACTATAAATATTCCACTGACCGTTCCAAGTAATAATCTCAATCAACGCTGGCTTCAGCTGTAGGACCTGCTTCCATCGCTCCGTAATCAAATCTTCGCAGACAAAGACCCAGTTCTTTGAGTTAAAATGGGTCGAAAACCAGGGTGAAACGGCTACTTCGAGTTAGGTATTCCCTCGTAGCATCAGACGGGTATCAGGCACGTTGGATTTTAGCACTTACGCATCATATATGGCTTCCCGGCCAAGTTTGCGATGAATTTATCGTCCCATATTGTTGTCATTGGCAAAGGGGCGATGCTATTGCCACCATATGTTGGCCAAGCTAACCAAGAAAACGCGCCGTCGACATCAGTCCTACCAGTGACGCCGGCCGGATCTTGAAACATGGGCATCGCTGCGACCTTATGGGAAACTCCGTTTTTCACTTGCTGCCAGTTGAAACTATCGCCAACGAAAGTACTAACAATAGCTCCTCCATCATACAAGGCTTGTGCCGGGTGATCCGCATATAGGCGGACATAGTCAGTGATCATTCCTACATGGCCATTATTCCAATATGCAAAATCAAACGAGATGAAAACTTTGAACCCGACTTGTTTGGCAGCTTCATAGGCGTTGGCCAATTGAGTTGGAGTGTAGGAGTCAATGCTGGCACAATTGAGCGCAAAACCATCGATACCGGTGTCTTTAGCTAGTTCCATGTCCCATTTCCAATCATCGACTGTATAAAATTCCACAATCCCCACCTGTTATAATTAGGGAGAAATATCAGCGACGAGTCAGAAAAATCGACAAAGGCATATGGTAACGTACCATGAAATGCGCGTAGACATATTTAGTAGACTCCCTTTTTTCCAATCCGTACTCTTTAGGGGCCGCGAGAGACGGTGCGAAGAGCGCTGCTGCTACGCTGAGCAGATACACGTTCCGGATAGTTTTCCAGATCATCATAAATTGATTCGTTGATATCAGTAGATCTAATGTGCAATTCTGACTTGAGGGATTCTGTGGTTCTGAGCTGATGAGTGAGAAGAGATATCCTGAAGCCATCGGCTCTATCGGTATCCTTTTATAGAAAAGAAAAAGGGACTGTGGAGCCATTCAAAAAGCTAGCTGACACCCCGAGAGTGTTCAGTCCGCCACAATGATTGTTGTCAATAGTCTGATAATCCCAAATTAGTTACTGTTAATTGACGCGAGAGTCTATATACATGTGAAGTTCTAGTCGAAATTAGCTTTTGCAGGATATTTATTTAGCCGGGTAGAACTATGACAGGCAAATTTTGGAGCTCTACCGAGTGCTCCGCTTGTTTTCAGTCAAGCGACTGGTATATTGTGGGGTCGTTGGTGCGCGGTGCACACGCCGCCGAGCAGGAACGTACAAGCGAACTAAAGACGGGACGAAAAATTCAAGCGAAAAGAAAGAACGGGGTAATTTAAGTTCATACTTCCGAAATGCCGAAGAAACTTTGTTTCTGAATGCCCTAACTAGTCCCAAACGGAAGAAACATGTTTTATAACGCCAGAGTTCTATACCAGGGCCCGGATCAAAGTTAAAAGTTCAGACGGTCCGATCCGTTTCAAATTGATTGGCGTGAACAATGGCACGAGGTGTTATAAGGTTTACCCCGGAAAATCGCTAACTCCTTCCCTTCAAGAAGCTGCAGGTACAATATTAGGCGTCTCACAATCAGGAATGAAAATGCATGCGAAAGCACGAGCATAACTAGGTAGATACGCATTTGTGGTAAATACCGCTAAACCTTTAAAAAGCACCGGAACGGAAAAAACTGGCGAGGAATAACAGCGGAATTGTCGCCGCGCGCATTTTCTTGTCGGAGGACTTCCACTAACCGGCTAAGCCTGGGGAAATATGTAAAATTGTAAGCAGACCTCGTCTTTAGTTCTCCGATTTTGAGTCTAGATTTTCACAAGATTGCCCACGTCTGGTTCCCTGAACATAATGTTGAATCCGTCGTATCCTTTGCACATTCTACAGTACACACGATATGCAGCTATCTTCAGATGAATTATAAATACTCAGCTTGTGTCCTGACTTAGCATCCCAATCGACAATTCCATTTGACTCACACTCTCCGTCATCAATATTTTCTATTCTATAGTTAGCTTGATTATTTTGTTCTATAGCCTAGTACTACATCTTCCAACCTCAAATATGAGAATTGCGAGCTATTTGCTTCTCGCAGCTGCCACTATTGGCAATCTGGTAGGGGCGGTTCCTGCGACGGATATCCAGCTTGAGAAACGGCAAACTACGGATCGCCTAGTCTTCGCCCATTTCATGGTTCGTTGCTCCCACTCCCAGTGCAGTGCAGTAATCAAGGGAGTGCTCAAACTAAATCATTCGGACATAGATCGGTATTGTCAGCAACAGAGGCTCTCCAGCAGACTTTGATGATGATATGAAACGTGCAAAAGCTCTGGGAATTGATGCGTTCGCTCTCAATATCGGTGTTGACCCTTATACTGATGCGCAGCTGAACCTGGCCTACCAATCCGCCGCCAACAATGGCATGAAGGTCTTTATATCTTTTGATTTCAATTGGTATCATACCAACCAGGCCGTTGAGGTTGCGAACAAAATCAAACAGTATATGAACCTTCCGGCGCAATTATACGTTGAGAATAAAGTATTTGTGTCGTCCTTCGCTGGCGATGGCCTGGATGTCCCAGCACTCCGAGCAAATGTCGGAAAGGAAATTTTCTTCGCTCCAAACTTCCACCCGGAAATGGGAACAAACTTTGGTACTATCGATGGGGCTCTGAACTGGATGGCATGGCCGAATAATGGCGATAATAAAGCACCTACTGCAGGACGCCATGTGTCGGTCCAAGAAGGGGACCAGGCCTATATTCGTGCTCTCGCAGGGAAACCATATATCGCACGTGAGTAAATTTCCTTTGCTTAGTAGCTCTGTAGACCTGCGTACCGGATTTTGGGTCGCCGGGGCCACGGTAGTCGCAGCATATGAAATGATATAGAAAATTAACTTTATTTATTAGCTGTTTCTCCCTGGTTCTTCTGCCATTTTGGACCGGAAGTTCCTTACAGCAAGAACTGGGTTTTCCCCTCAGATCTCTTATGGTACGATAGATGGGTCGAAATCTTGACTCTAGGGCCCCGTTTCATTGAAGTCGTTACTTGGAATGACTATGGTGAGGCCCATTACATTGGTCCTCTCAGCTCTTCTCATACAGACGATGGCTCATCCAAATACGTGAACGATTTGTAAGCAAGGCCTCGTAGATCATACTACCGTCGTCACATGATTTCTAATAAAGATAACAGGCCGCACGGAGGCTGGATGGACATGGCTAAGCCGTTTATCGCTGCCTATAAAGCCGGGGCTACATCCGTCGACAGCTTCATCCAGGATGAGCAGGTTGTCTATTGGTACCGACCAACACCTCGGGCCCTAAATTGCGACGCTACGGACACCTGTATGGTAACGGCTGACAATAGCAGCGGGAATTATTTCATGGGTCGACCCAATGGATGGGAAACCATGGAAGACTCAGTTTTCGTTGTCTCGCTGCTCAAATCTCCTGCTACCCTGATTGTCAATTCAGGTAACAATCAAAAGGTGTTCAATGCGCCAGCCGGAACCAGTTCATATACTGTCCCGATGGGCGTGGGAGCACAAAGCTTTTTGCTTGCCAGAAACAATCAAGTGGTTTTCGCTGGAACAAGTAGTAAGGACATAATTGACACTTGTGTATGCGGGATCTATAATTTCAATCCATACGGTAAGCAAAGAGCATTAACTTCCGGAGGGTCCAAAGCTAGAGTCAAACATTCATGATGAACTAACCGCTTTTTAGTTGGCGCTATTCCACCCCTTCCGTACGATTCCCTGAAACCTCCAAGCTTGGGTAACTTTGTCAATGGTCTCAAAGTCCAAACTTGTCAAGCGGTACCATCCCTCGCTAGTACAACCCGGCCGCCACCAACTTTGCCAGCCACATTCACAACACCCTCAACTTCTTCCCGGGCTACGACCACAGGGAGTCCTACATCTCGTACGACTACTAGTACTACTAGCACTCCTACATATTCTTCTACAACTATAGGAGGAAGCGTTTGTGATATCATAACCACTACGACAACAATTACCACCGTCCAGACAAGCACCCGAACAGTTACGGTGACGGGAACTAGTCGTACTACTACAATGGCAACGACAACCACAAGCGCCTCAAACCCACAAGGAACGACCTGCACTGCTGGTATGGGTTCTGGAAACTACGCCGGGCTCTGTAGCTTCTGCTGCTCTTACGGCTATTGTCCCCCTGGACCATGCACTTGTTCCGCTTGGGGCGTACCTCCTCAAGCACCTCCAGCATCTGACTACGATGGAAAGCCAGCCCCTGGACTAGATAATTCTTATCTTGGACTTTGTAGCTTTGCTTGTAGCCACAGCTATTGCCCTTCAACTGCTTGTGCGAGAGTCTAGGTACAGGTGTTTATGCGGCGTGGATATGAAATGGGGTTTATATACTATAGTTCGAACTACAGTCAACCAAAACCCACTGATTGGAGTATTAATAGCTTTTGCGTTTTACTTGAATGAGAGCTGCCTTATCACCAATACTTCCATCCCCGCGAGGTTTGAGAATATCGATGTGCAGACGAGAACCTCGCACATACAAAATAGACTAAATTTTCTTTTATAGCCAATGAATATAAACCCATTTTGACTCTTCACGTACTTTCCTGAACCCGTATAATGGTGAATATTGTGAGCCCAGGCATGAAGTTTCAAAGTTCAAAATTTTACCTAGAGAGGCCAATTATCAGTCGCAAGATATAAGTATGCGTTACATTGATGGCCCCATAGAGCTTTCAATTTATTAAATGTCCGGCTAGGGCGGCTTTTTCATTACTTCTAATCTTGCGTCGATAGATCAATGCTAATAAAGCCATCTCCACACACTAACCGTCCGATCTAAAAAGTGTTTATTACCAGAGTAACCGTGTATATGGTGTGCTGATACTATTACAAGGTGATTAGAACTCGAAATCAGGGTGCGAACTCAACTTCAAATCGCTTTATTCTATTCCATCGAGACTACTATAGCGGCTAATGGTCATGTTATAACGCATAAATTTCAAATATAACTACCGCCACCTTGTTAGAATCTTATTACATCCGCACTAAATCGCTTGAAAAAATATAAACGGCTAGCCCGGGACTAGCCTAAGCCAATATCGGAAAGGGGAGAGAGTCATAGCCTCCAATGCTATCCGTACTATTGCTATCGTTCTCTACTTCAGGCGGTTCAAGAGTTAACCACCGTGCCCAAGGAACGGGGATATTCGATTTTGCCATCCGATCCCGCAAGCCTTGAAGAAATGGTGACAAACCACCGCCCACCATTAAAATAAGGTGTTCTAGGGCATGCAGTGCATCTCGGGCACCAAGAAGCATAGTGTGGCCGCTTGATGAGTGCGGGACACATACTAATACATCTAGAAGTGCATCGCCCAAACGAAATAATTTCAATTCCTTCAAGAAACATAACAGTTATTTATATGAAAGTGTCTTAGAGCCATTAGGAGCCAATAAAATCATGTTATGTACTCACCATTCCATAACCATGGACTTTGATAGCCCCTGGGGAGAATTTGTTAAACGTGGAAAGTGTCTCCTTGGCGATTTGAGCCGGCAGAAGAGAGGAAAACGCAGGGTCCTCGGAATTGCAAGACACTGGGAAGTGCGACACTGTATATTGCCATAGCAGGGTCCGAATCCATTGCCTCGTTACGGCTATATCAACTTGCTGTGATTCCCTTAAATCACTATCATCTTTTTCAGTACACAGATCTCGCTGGGCAGTGGACATTTCGTCTCGATGATATCCGAGACATGAGCCACAACCTTTGCCCGAGCGCCCGTAAAGCGATCTTGCAAATTCGCCATCGAGGTTAACAAACAACTGTGTCAAGCTAACAAATGCTGAAAGGAGCTTTCGATCTTGAGTCTCATCATTCGGTACTTCGGGTAAATATTCTATCGGCTGTAGCATCATGGGTGTGTCATTCTGGATACAATAGGTTCTATGGGCCGAATTGTGTTGTTAGCAAACCGTCATATTTGGGACGGCGCGACTACGCAAAAGCCTAGATCTACGAGTTTGACTTACCGTTCTGAGATGAAAAGTATCCAGAAGATCCGTATCTTTAGCTGGTTTTCATGGGAATATGTGGGAAGATAGCTCTCCGACTCGTGCATGCGAAGGCCGAAGGCGCAGCCAATAGCTTCCCGCAGGAGCGAACCCGCAGATCGTATCTTCTCTGCATTCGCGTAGAATATATGTAAGAAAAATGATGTTAGAAGCGAAGGTATGGAGACTATCTCTCTGTATTCAAAAAGCTGTCGCAATCTGTGCACTTCCTCTATAAACTGCGAAGAAGTTACTCCTCCATCAATCTCTTGGGTATCATGTTCCGGCAACCTCATCTGGGCTATCGTAGCAGCGCAAAGTGACGCAGCAAGAGCGTATGACTCGTAGTCTGCCTCATGAATAAGTAACTTGTGTATAAGTTCATCGCAGTCGACTACGGGCCAAACAGAATACAAGCGCTCTTTGAAGATATCTAGATATTTGATGTAATCTTCGTGTGTGATTTCTGCGTGTTGGGGCGGAATAGTCTCAGGTGACGAATTCCCCGGCGAATTCTCGTCGGCACTTGCACTTGTGAGCATTGCAGAATACAGGTCTTCTTGAATTTGCTTAATCTTTTCACTGGTGGAAACTCGAGGCCCCTTCGGGCCTCGTTTTCGCTGGACCCTGAGGAATGTGCAGGCTAGAATTCAGTCCAGGTAGGTAACTAGGTTAGCATCCTAGAATCTCAGGATCTCTTCTAATATTAATCACGGCTTACCTAAGGAGCGTTTTTGGCACTCCTGGCAAGGCTTGCCGCCGTTACACCGAACTCTCCTGATGGCGCAACCATCGCAGCGCCACGATGACCGCATGGCTATCTTCGTATATATATATATAGGCTACGGAGTATAAGCTGTTACAAGTCGCTGGTACCGATAAGTATAAACCTCCCTTAAACAAAAAGCTATCAAGAAAGGTTATGGTATACGAGGGGTGGTTGTTACTGACTAACAGATTCCGATATAGATGTATGGGATGTTGGGAAAGTTCAATCAGCCAACTGAAGGCATGGATGGGACTACAGCAATTTCAACATGCGCTAAATGCCACAATCTGGGGTTATGCGGGGTTTCTGTGAATTTCTAAGATCGGGCCATAGCAGCAGCAGGTGCTGTACCTTGCGGCGGGGGAAGTCAGGGGCCTGAAACATTAATCCATCGGGTCTGCGAGGAACGTGCGTTTTTACATAGTGAATAGAATCAGACGGACCAGGCAGCTCGACCCGGCTGAAAAACCTGGGCTGCGGCGTGCCTGTTCAACGCTCTGCGCAGGACGACATGTTGACGGCCTTCCAATTCTTATGTTTGCTCGCCGGCCACTTTTTTAAAAATTTTCTTCGACATCGAGATATCTCCAAAAATGATTGATTCAGATGAGGACTTTGATCTAATGACTGTACAGATTGTTTGAGACTGCCCCTAAAACCAAACAGTGATCATCTCACGTCCGTGCCTATTATATTATTGTGTGTACTTAAGTAGTTTTAGAAAATTGATGCCTGAGCGTTAAGCTAAGAAACAAAAATTAATTGGCCTCAGAAGTATCTCAGGCATCTCTGATCGTAGAGTTCTGCGACGTAGGATTCTCCGGAACATTAAGCAAACGTAACCTCAATTTAGTGTTTGCACTGTGTAAATGCATGCATATACGCGTGAAACGGGGTGAAGGAGCACACCCAATATTTCTTCTACATATATACCTAGTTACACTAATTTTCTCTTATCCAAAAGCAGCAATTCTGGAAATGGTTCAAAAAGAGAGTCACCTAGCCCTAGAGCTAGAAGGTTACTGATGCGAACGCGCGCTAAGCGGAGACCGACTCCTTTTTATGCTACCTAACCCAGATTGTATCTTTTTAGTCGATGTCGGGCTGACCAGCTGATATATATACAGCATCAATATTTTTCAACTTTTCTGTACTCGGCTGAGCTCGGCACTGTCAATAACAAATATCAAGCTAGGGATCTTGCTGCAGTGCTAGTGCTGAAGCGAAATCTTTACCATGCGAGGTAGCAAGTTGCTAGTTGTGAAAAGTCACCGTCAGATGGAATGCTCGGAAAATCGTGTTGCTCGGTTCCCGGTGGCCAGGTCGGCTCCGATGCTTCCGCTCGCGGCTGTTCGGAAGCTGTGCAATTGAGGTAACGTTATAACGTATATAACGGAACTCGATTAATATTAATGCCGACAAATCGAAAGTCGCATGAACCCTTCCAACAAAGCAAAGCGGAAAGTGCTCTCGATCAGCTGAAGTTTATGACTAATCCGCAATTAACCTTGAATTATACACAGCCATAATGCCATTACATGTAAACAGCATGAAGGCCGGTATCAGAATCGTCGTCGAACAACTCAAAGCGACCGTCCTGCCCAACTATAGCGGTCAATCACCTCAAAGCCACTTGAATTCGGCACGCCGTTAGGCGGGCACTCCGTGATACCAAGGGGTATAATCGCTCCCTCCGGGACAAGGACGGGACTCCGCTAAGTATCCAGACATGTCCGTGACACGACGTCTTAAACGATGCCAGCGAAATATCAACATGACGGCTTGGAGTGGCCCAACCTTTAGCCACGGCTAACCCTGTCCTTTCGTGGTGTGGCTTGACAATGGGCACGACGAAAGTCCCTAATACCAAAGTAATACCGACTAGGAACTGCACTTACAAGCTTCAGGATGGGAAGAGTGTAACCAGTATGTACGTATGCCGAGCCAATTAGCAGAGGCAGATCTGAGACCGTTATCCCTTTCGAAACAGATATCTAGATATGAGGGATCAAACGATGACGAATTCGCATGTAATGGGCCACGATTTGTTGGTACTCAGCATGGTAATTCCAATATTGTAAGGCTTTTCAAATTTCGATAACCAGTGGTTATCAAATGAATGAAACCTCAGGATGAGAGAGAATACACCAAACTGCAACCGGCGAGTAACTAATTAGCCACTTGATATCCATGAAAATGACAACTAATTCCACCATCCATACCTAATATTAGATGCAAGAGTAGTTGAGTTCTGCAGTAGCTATAAACTCTGGTTGGAAGACATTTACAGGAAGTAATGGTACCTCCTGAAAGTCCAACGGGCTTCTCTGGATCCCCAGTCCTGCGTATTGAAGAAGTATCAGAGGGCCCTTGAAATATTTCGCATTATCGAGAAAATGCTACTGGTTAAGGAACTATGGCGGATCCATGCCATCGAGCTTGGAGGAAGTAGCTTGCTGTCAATCAATCAACCGGAAATATTACGCCCGTTTTTCGATGGGCCTAACAAGCATCGGGATCCGGAACGGCCTGTTGCAACGTTGGTCGGATCGAAGATTATTGGAGCCTAATAGGTTGTATTATGCCCAATAAACCTCGAAATAGATTCATAAAATTCGTGACAGTGAAACCTGCCATGTGGGTGGTCATTCAAATCAATTCCGAAGTTCTGTCGGTGTATTTCTTCGCCAAAGCGTGCAGGATTTGTGAACAATCTCTCATTCCATGGATCCAGGTAATATATCGATATATCTTGTCCACCCCGAATGAGGTACTTTCTCCTCTTTCACAAGTTGTTAATTCATATCCAGCATCGCCACGGTCGAAGGTACTTTCTTTTCTGAGAGTTAGTCCATGAGGGCAAGAGGCTACCTTGCTGTAGGGATAATACCTGCTCCACCAGCTGCCTAGAGCCCATCTAGGCAGTTGTGGTTATTGTCCTGAGATACTGTATAGAGCCTTAATGTAATGGAAGCTTTATAACCTCGACCATAACAGAATTCTAGAAGAGTAACCATACATTCAGTCACCCGAGGACCGTGGGTCGACAAACTCATTACTATCGAAGAGTATTGAAGTTAACTGGTTGTGTCGTTGATGACCGCGATTCCGGGGTTTGATAAAACGCCATGTCCGACGGGGTATTGGCCATCGATTTCATCCAAGATTTGAGCCCTGCTTCCTAGGTGCTGAGTGTCCAGGTCTCCATACCACCAAACTGTGCCTCAGCTTTTTTTTTTTTTTTTTTTTTTTTTTTTCCGCCGCGACGGTGGCTGCGAACCCATTTGGGGTAAATCAACTTATATCATAGGAGAGATGAAAGAAGTTTGTAGAGATCCCAAGATCCCTTTTACCTTCTACCACCCAATATAATATCCTATGGTAGGGAAGTTTCGATTGATGGCGAATATCAATGCCCGTCATCAATTCGCCGTCGAATCCAACCCATCCATACCGAATTGGACGATCCGTAAGGACTGTAGACTAGTATTCCTCACCTCGAATAATCGAATCCGTTGGAGCAGTCGGCTTGGTTTCGCGGCTGTATGAACATGAACCCATTGGTAAAACATGTTAAGAGACGGATGCATCGATGCAAGAACTGCGACTGCAAAGCCAAAGCGGCCAATGCGGGATGAATGAAATATGTGGATATGTAATTTCATTTCACAGGCGTGACCTAACTTCGCGAGAATATCTAGTTCTATAGGATAAATACGGGTACATATCCAAATCATGAGTGGTGTAGGTCAATGATTCTTGGCAATATCAGCAGTCCCTTCAATTAAATTGTAGAATGATTGGAAGAAGATAACCGGGTATCCATCTATATCTGATGTTGTATGTTGCAATCCGGGCGCCTCGCTCGGGATCTTCAAACAAAGCCACGCGAGAAATTTTGGCGAGAAATTTCAACGGAGAAGTTTTGCAACCACAATTTCGAGTCCAGCCAGCCGTTTATCATGCACGTGGAACTTTATGGCACTTCCCACATCGTCGAAGTCCACTACAGTAATCGAAATTACACTACAAAAGCTGGATGAAATAATTTTCAACCATACTTGAACCTGTCACTACGACGCTTGGACCTCCCCAACGCTAACGGTCTCAGTATCAAGTCAATGATTAATTATTACAGCATTAATATTAAGTGGATGTTGTACTATAGCACCAATGCAATATTTTATTATAATATGGTGGGCGGTAGGGTTGGCAAAAATTATTCGCTTAAACTTATGATCTGTTCCCGTCATATGTGAGATCAAGATAGGTTGCCCGTGAATCAAACACCTAGTCAGTGCGGTTCGCCTGCCGCAGACTGGTTTGCTATCTTCGAAGCTATCTTAGTTTCTATGCAGTTTTTCGATGTAGTTTTCCTAAACATCAGGGGGGATTGTGGCACGACATCTCTAGCCATCTCCATCCTCAAGCAATTTTTTAGACTTCCAGATGTAGAAGTAAAAAAGGAATAATCAAAGACAAGGTTATAAAAGGGCGAGTGTTTCCTACGTGATCTGTTCCGATAAACATCTATCTTGCATTATATTGATATATTAGTCTAGGACTGTTATGAGAATTGGATCTCTTTAATCTCCACGAAGCTCTTTTCTATCCCCGATGTCAGCCAAAGATAAAGACATAAGGACTAGGGGAAATGTTCTGGACAATTTAGTCAGGAATGTCCCCGACTTTGCTGGGATTTCGCAGGAGGCCCAGGATGCAACAATTGAGGAAAAGTCAATGGGGGTGTGGCATTGTATTAAGACGCACCCGCAGGCCGTTTTTTTCTCCATGGTTCTATCCACTTGTCTGATCATGGGTAGGACTAGGCTAGTTCAAGCTTTTGTTAGCCCCGCTAACTTTTCTTCTCGTAGAGGGGTATGATACCGCACTCACAGGAAATTTTTTCGGCCTACCTCAATTCCGGAAACGCTTCGGAAAGAAATTGGATAATGGGGACTACCAATTAACCTCATCTTGGATGTCGGGTTTGCAAAATGGCACTCAGGTCGGGCAGATCTTGGGTCTTATGATTGCAGGTGTTGTTGCAGAACGATATGGCTATAAGAAAACTCTTCTTGGTGCCTTGGTATTGATGATTGGCTTCATCTTCATCCTATTCTTCGCCCAAAATATCGCTATGCTATTTATCGGTGGTATGGCCTGTGGTATCCCATGGGGCATGTTTCAGGTCAGTATATCTACAACGATAAAGTCAGTATGATTATCTAACCTCGAATTCTCATGAACCATGGCTCTAGACCCTGACAACCACCTACGCTGCAGATGTTGCACCCATTCCGCTTCGACCTGTACTCACCACATATGTGAATATGTGTTGGGTTATAGGGCAATTTATCAGCACAGGATCTCTTCGTGGCCTTTTGCATCGGACTGATGATTGGGCATGGAGGTAGGCGCTGCAGCACACGCTACTATCGATATTAATACCTTTTTTAGCAGAAACGCTAACTTCGCTTTAAACTAGAATTCCGTACGCTATTCAGTGGATCTACCCACCAATTATCATTGTCGGTGTCATCTTCGCTCCTGAAAGCCCTAGCTGGTTAGTGCGTAAAGGCCGCCATGATGAGGCTTGTAAGTCTCTGAAACGCCTTGCGTCTGGCCTTTCGGACGAGCACGTTCAAAAAACCCTCTCCATGACTGTCCATGTCAACGAACTCGAAAAGCACCTCCAAGAAGGTACATCCTACTTTGATTGTTTGAAAGGCGCCAATCTCCGGCGCACAGAGATCGCTTGCGTCGTGTGGATGACCCAGGTTCTTTGTGGTATTTGGTTTGGTGGAAATGTCATTTACTTTTTGGAGCAAGCCGGATTCGATACCAAAAAGTCATTTGATTTCGGCGTGGGGCTGAACGGCGTCGCTCTCGCAGGTACTATCGGTGCGTGGTTTGCGACTCGTTGGTTTGGTCGACGTACTTTGTACTTGACGGGCCTTACTGTTATGTTTACTATCTTGGTTATCATCGGGTTCCTGGGCATTCCGACTTCAAAACCAGCTTATGGTTGGGCGTCAGGGGCTCTCATGATGCTTTTCGTTATAACCTACGATTTGACCGTTGGCCCAGTGTGCTACTGCTTGGTTTCAGAAATCCCATCCACTCGTCTGAGAATCAAAACAGTTGTGCTAGCCAGAAACGCTTACAATATCACTAGTATAGGGGCTAACTTCCTGAACCCGCCTATTTTAAACCCTACGGCGTGGAATCTTCGAGGGAAAGGAGGCTTTGTATGGTGTGGATTCTGTTTTCTCTGCCTTGTTTGGTCTTATTTCCGTCTTCCAGAACCCAGAGGTCTGTCCCCAGCAGAACTTGACCTGCTCTTCGAAGAGGGCGTTAGTGCAAGGAAATTCCATGATGTTCATGTTAACCCTTTCCAAACGGACTCACTGGAAAAATCTTTAAACCAAGCTATTCCGATTGACTCAAAGAGTCCCAAATAGCTCGAGAAAATCATATACCTAATTATTCATTCCTACTATTTTTGTCTTTGGAATGCAGCTAGAAACTTTTGAACCTTTTGTTAAATATATATTTTGAACATTTTATTTTGCTCCAAAGCCGCTTCAATATCTTCAATCTAGCTACTCAAACATACAAAATTGCGAGAGTCAAAACTTTCAAAGGCGGTCGCAGCACCCGGGCATCAAGTTGGAGCTTTTTACTAGCTAGCTAGCTAGGACAAATGCTGCCACTGCTTACTCTTCTGGTTCTGCATCATCAAGCTCAGCGACAGCCACTCGCCTCTCAACCTTCCCATCAATGTCGCACTTGCGCTGCTTGTTATACTTCGATGCGCCCTCGTCATAATTATCATCAACGTCATATCCTGGATCACCATATACTGGCTCGGGCTCTGGCTCCTTGACATCAACGGGTTTGCTAGGAGGTGTAGTTGTCGGTGGGGGTGGGGGTGGCGTTGTCGTTGTTGTCTTAGGTGTAGTCGTCGTCGTTAATGGTCTTGGGGAGTTTGGATTCGCTGGGTTTGTTGGCCTTGGTGGTGGCAGCGTTGGCCTTGGTGGTGGTGGCTTCGGCGAGGTCTTTGGTGGTGAAGGAGGAGTTGGATAGATAACCTGGAAAGGAATGCAGGCTCCGAATGGACCATTCCTACAGATCACAGCATGCTTGTTAGAATGAGTCGAATCTATAATACTTCATATGTATTAATACGTACTTCGCAAAGTTTTCACAGCGCAATACGCAGACGTTCTTATAAGCCCCATACGTGGCTGAACATTTTATATTCTTGGGAATAGGGACCTTAAATCCGTGATCCCAACCATTTCCCTTATAGTTGACGCTGTGATCGCCATTGATATCCGGCCTTCCGATATTAGCCATCCATGGTCCGAATTTTGTTCCCGTGCCGGTTTCATCGTATCGGCATCTAGATATTGTTACGAGTAAGTACCTATGAAAGTGGAATTTGCAGGGATTCGAGATCCGGTACGAACCTAAAGGGGCCAGCGCCATCATCATTGACCTGATAATAAACGAACTCCAACCAGCCGCCAGGAGTAACCTTCAAGATCCTGTCTAAGGTTGTTGAAGTGGTATTGTCATAATAGAATACTCTTGAGCATGATGCTATATGATGTACAGTATAAGCTTACTTTTATTTGCGGCTGCGAGAATTGCACCCTTAGTATCGTGAAGGGTGTTGGAATCGACCGGCCTCTCGTAAAAGTGTATCATTCTATGTTTCCACGCAAGATGGTGATGTTCACCATAAGGTGTGAAGTGCTGTGGTTGTTTTTTCCAGTAGTGCGTGATTCTATTCATACTGCTTCCGCAACCTGTTTCTAGGTACTTGCGGGGTTGATTCTTGTACGGAGATTCCCATGATGATGGAATCACGGGGCTCGAGAAAGCAGACACATCCATCTGATAGGGGATTGGGTCAGCCTTGCCATTTCTTGCAAGACCGTGATCGAAATGAAGGCCATCGGAGAAATGAACACCATATTTTGGGTAATCACCGCTGCATCTGTACACACGCAAGTGGGCAGACACCTCTGGAATAACCAACAAGCCTGCGAGACCTGTAGTAAGGAGCGTGAAATGCATATTGCAAAAATCGATGAATGTAGATACGACGAAAAAGGATAGTCAATTTAAAAGAGTGTGATATGGATATGAAGACGATTTAGCTCCAATATCGCCAGGCTTGTTGCGAAGGCAAAGTTGTGATATTGAAAGAAAGCATTATTGGAAGGAGATGTTTTATAAATTTATAGACATCATTATAGACATTACACTGTCCTCTTGATGATTGAGATATCGATGGCAACACACAAATTAAGGTTCACTACTGGGCATTCTCGCATCATGGGAATCGCAGTTCCATAGGGAACTTGAATTGTAATTCCCGTTAAACGGTCAAAATATGCACGTGGCGAATGCATAAAGCCTACGCTGTAGCCGGACAGGTATGTATACGCCTCTGAGGTGAATCTCAATGCGGGGCCAAGCCACTTACAACTGCAATGACATATAGCAGAATAGATAAATATGTCCTTTTGTTACATGGTTTAAATATCTAGAAGTTTTCCGACCGCAGTGTAAGCAAGATAATATAGAAAGCCTCTTAAACCTTCCGTAAACAGAAGTTTGATGCTCTTATCTAATAGTAGAGAATTAAAATGCCATGTTACGTAGGTATGGGTATGGCACGCCAAGAGTAGGTTACTCGGGAATATGTCGAGGTGTTAACCTCGATCCAGAACGAGCAAGCGAGCACAAGCTTGCCCCAGTTCTATCGACAACCTTGTACCGACTAGTGAACCACCACCTTTTTCGGCTTTCTGTGGGTTAGCGCATTGGCGCGATTTGGCTGTAGCCTCCATAACCTACTATCTGGCTTCTGTTTACCCAAAGTGTTATAGAGCTATGGCGCCATGCTAATGGCACCTGAAATAACCGAGATCAGAGTGGGGAATTTTGGATGGTCTTTTGCTATCAGCATCCCATTCTCTCAGTTCATGGAATATCGCCAGTTAACGACGCAACCAACTAGGATTTCGTTGGGTTGAATTTGCGAGTGCTGGTATTATAACCTGATCAAGCCTATAATGCACGTAACGTTATAACTACATTGTCCCAGAGCCGACATGGTCGATATTGGTTGTATCCCCTTAAACGGCGACTGCTAACTGTTCTTCGGATTATTTCTGCCGATCCTGGCTCATAAAAATGCAAAACAAAAGAAAAAACTAGGATAAATATTTATTTTCTTTCCAAATCCAATCAAATTTGCTGCTTTAGGGCTTGGATCCACCCGCCCAAGTCCGATTGGGTTGCTGAAATGGTTTGTGCCAGGCCTTCGGTCTTGCGTATGATTTTTACCAGCTGCACTACAATCGATTTTTTTTGAGAGTCCGATCCTAAAGCTGACATCTCGATCGACTTTTCAATGACCGCTAACTGTTCGTCGTAATCATTGACGAGCTCATATCCACTCAGCACCTTTTCCATGACCTCCATTGAGCTGTTCCTTCGGCTAACATTCTCTAAACCCGCCGTTATCGTCCGGAGTTGGGACCTGATTTTCATCATCATATCAAAAAATACAAATGCCACCATTCTGAAACATTTTTGTGATAGTGTGCTTTTAGCGCCCGGAAACTCCGGCGAGTCCAAGATCTTAGTAATGCGTTTGTGTGTTGGATTCTGGTCAACATAGCGTGCGTTGCGCAAAGCAATGCCGCAGATTCGCCAATTTCGTTGAATAAGAGTCACTGCCTTGACCTGTAACTGCAGCTTCTCAGCCGTCTTGGTATCGGCTTCTTCTATCGCTTTGAAGTCATCGATACTTTGATCATCTACCGTTCCCTCAGTCCCCGAAGATGATTCAACGTTTGTATTCTTTGGTACTTGGAATTGCATCGTTGGCAATGAAGACAACATCTTCGGTTGCTGGAGCTTCTGGTTCAAGGGGCTGTATACGATAGGGTCTACCTCGCTTTGTACAACGTTGATGTTTTTCAGAATCCAGCCAAAGAACTGGTGATCATGTTTCGGTCTACTCATGACAGCATGGCGGGTCAGGGCGCTCGCAGATGGTAACCCTCCGCGCACTACCCAGAAATTTTCCTTGCCGGCTTGAGTGTAGAATGTCTTTAAAAAGATGTACGTTAGCTTGTATACCTAGCTAGTCCCCTTGGTCTTGGGAAACCATACCCGGATGAATTCTCTAGCACCCGTTATTGCGGTCGGTGTCTTTGAGTTAAGCATAGCGATGATAGATCCCGCTTCGATTCTGCGATACATGGCATATTTGTACCACAAGGGTTTCTGAGAGGACCGAACTTTCTCGGAAATAACGTTGTAGATGTCGACAATGTCGTATAATACATTATTGGCAGCTGCAGTAATTTCGGGGTTGATTTCTTTGTTTCCGTTCGTATTTAACGCGGGATGATGCTGTAGATACTCGAGCTGGGATTTCTTGAGCACGAGATTGTTGGTCGATCCCAGATACAACTTGATAAGGGTTTAGAGATATTCCATCAATTGGTAAACCTTAAAGTTAACAGTATAGCAGGAGGCATTAAGACACTCACCACAATTGCTACCACACGATCTAATCTATTGAGAAAAAGGTGAGCATCTTTGAATTCAGTAAAATTGGTAAGGTTCCGTTTAAAATTTTTCGCGAAGGCTTTCATCTTTCGATCAATGATTCTTAGCTTTATGTCAACTTTGATATTTTTACAAGGCTGATTAACTTACTGCCGATATGGTTCTCGATCGATCCCAAAGACAGTTCTCTAGCCTATCGAGAAGTTGCATCGTATAGCGACCATTCAACTCTATTCTCAAGAGATAGCTCCACCAAAGTTCCTTCTCATGGCTACCTAGCAGAATAAGTCAGCATCTGCACTAATTTTGTGAAACAGATGCAGCAAAAGTACTCACGGCGAAAGTTTGACGAAACAATCTTTTCCCAACAGTTTATAAGATTCCAGAAATCAATCTTTTCTGCACCAGGAAGGCTCATGTTGCGTATCATAGCCTTGAGTCTCCACTCGAATTTGTCTAGGCACCCAAGAATCGTGCTTGCTTCCCTCTGGAGATATTTATCAGTGTCGACTATGTTCTTCAGAGCACTTGATTTTATCCCCACAAGGTACAATCTTGTAAAAGGAGACTGTAGCAGATCCGAAGTGACAGTAACACACTCAAAAACCCGCTTCCACCATAAGTGGCCTAAGAAGTCTCTGTTAATGAAACCACAGCGGAAATAATGCTTTTTTGATGCTCCCACCTTGTCTTTTGATGGTATCCCATTGAGTTTGGTCCGTATCCCACCCTAAGGCTCCATTGCGGGAAAGGTACTCGTAATGCGATGTCAATAATGCCATCGACCACGAGATCTAAGGCCGCAGTTAGTAAAAAAGTTCTCAGCTCAACGTAGAATTCAGGATTGAGATCGTGAGATACATTCAGAGTCCTAATCATCTCACTTTCTCCTAAAACTGCTTTATGTAGTCCATGAGTACAATCTTGATGATAGCAGTACCCTATCACCAGACCCGTGTAAGATTAGCTGCAAGATAAAAATAAGAACTGAGAAATGTCTAGCTTTAGTTGTTACTAACCCCGGATGACAAAATGCTGGCACGCCGAGCTCCTCCAGTATTCCTTCTCTAGTTGGAGGGTACACTCCTTATACCCTTTTGCTATCCATTCGCGAAGAACTCGGAGAATACGGTCAATTAGCTCATCGCTAGTGACTTTCTGCGCTCTATAACCGTCACCTTCATATATGGGAGAAGATCTAGGTATGTTATATCCGTCTGAGCTATTGCCGGGAATCACCTCGAAAAAAAGTAATATGATGCTGTCATCAACTAAAACCCGGCTCCTGTGCATATCCAAAAGCCTATATGCACATTGTCTAATTATATGCATCATCAAAAATCCATTGTTCAAAGAGTACGATGGGTACTTCTTTCCGTTTAATGCGAGCACTTTGAGGATCTATGTTGCGCGTTATCAGCCCTGTGTCTAAACCATAAATATGAAAGTAACCATATACGTATATTAACATATTCGATTAATTGAAAGGGGAACTGCATACCATGAGGCCCTCTAAAGTACGGGCATCTCGTGAAACCCCACCAGGAACCCCTGAAGATGCGTCAAGTGAACCGAATATATCTTGGCTCAAGGCTTCTGAAAGCTCTTGAAATAGCTTTAAAGATTGTTGATATGCTACTAGATTTTGGCTAGCCAATTTTCTTTTAAATGGTCCTGATTTAATATTGCCTTTTTGGAGCGAGTCCTGCAGTGAGTCTGAAAGCTCGTAAAACAAGACCCTCTCAACGAACCTTCCGCCATTGGTCGTGAAAAATTCGGTGTCGCGGGCTGCTGTTGATGTAATCCGGTTCAAAAGATCCCCTACCTCCTCCCATTTACCTTCTGCGTAAGCGAGCTCAATAGCTTCTTCTAGACGGCATTGCGATATCAGTAATTTGCTTAATTCTCCATGAAATTTGAATTGCTTGTAGAGTTGCTCATGCTCCTGACTGCTCAAAAGTGATATTGCCATCCTCCTGAGATCATTTGAAGCGCTTTCCGATGAAAATATGGACAATGCGATAATCCTGGAGTTTTGGTGATAGAGTTTTGAATCTATCTCCTTCTGGTGCCTGAGATGATTTATTTATATTAGTAAACCTCTCAACCGTGAAAAGGTGCGGAATAAAAGCTGATTCAGACTTCTTCAGGTATTGTATCAAATCTTTGACTCGATCTAACTTCCGATAACCTTTAACCACAAGTTCATGCAGACCCAGATCCTTGTAAAGCTCCGTCGCTCTCAGCACCAGACCAGCCTGCATGAAATAATCGGCCGCACGGCGGCCATAGTTCTGGTTTGCATATTCTTGGATCCTCGACAATTCTTCACACAGTTCTAATCAAAGTTAGCTTAAACTTTTGAATACGAACTCAAACAGACAAGACTCCTACCACCAGCCAACTTATAATCCCTAATACTCTCATAGCACTTTAATGCTTTGTCGTTTCTGTTACATTTGCGGAATAAACGAGCTGCTTCGATGTAATGCTCTCTTGCAACTTTGAAGGAGTTTGGGTCGGAGATGACATCACGGCCATTCCTTTCTTCTATCAAAGCTTTGCACATATCTGCAAGAATGACATTACCCGCCCTTTTATAGCAGTACATCGCCTACCAATCGATCTTGTCGTTAAATAGCTACCACAATAGAGCTCATGAGTATAAATCATAGTCCTACCTGCTCGTACATCCTTTGGTTGACAAACTCATCGCCCTTTTCCTTCCACTCGTCTGGTTGCGACTGCCCATGTCGGATTTCGTCCAAACGAGTTTGAAGCTTCAATCGTAAAATTTAGTATGTAAATTCAAACTATAGTGCAATTCTTGTAAATTAAACTTACAGTGGGATCATCCGATGTCACCAAATCGACAACAGGATCTCCGGAACCATTTCCCCACATTTCTTGTAGTGGCTGTACCGCAGTCACATCGCTTTCGATTATATAAAGCACTTCCCTAGATCGCGTAATAGCAACATATAGATTCTATTAACTGTATTAGTGGCTGTTGGTCTAAGTTTATGTTGAGATTTTCAATTATACCTTTAGTTCGATGCATAATTCTGGGTACCTAGCGTCATCAAGATGTGCACCAGTCGTCTGAGAGTTCGACAAAGCTCTGAATGCCGTAGTACAAAACGAGCCACTGAAGAAATCGAACAAGAAGACGTCCTGGAACTCCATCCCTTTGGACTCTAGTATTGTTAGAATCAGAACCTTATCACCCATAGTGCCCATGAGCGTATCTTTTGCTTCCTCATCTCGAACTATCAGCACTTGCTCCGCGCCAAATTCCGATATTGTCGCGTTGCTCTCTCCTTCCCGAGGAGTGAATATCTCCGAAGTGAACCCACTGAAGATAATGGGTGCCGGACCATCAAAATCTCCAAGTTCGGGAGAGAATTTGTCGATGGCATAGGGAAAGGCGGTAGATAGGTTATCAACCACCTTCGCTGCCAGTTTTAGAACTATTTGTGACGAATATTAGCTAACGTACATCACTAGGGTCGGTGACACCCTAGGAATATTGAACTCGGCTTACTCCCATTATGGGTGCGATAGTTCTTGCTTAAAGTGAATCGATTTAGTTTTGCCAAATCCTTTTGGTTGGCTAACATTCCGAGGCGTTCATACTTTCGGAAAAAAACGCTCTGTAAATCCTGGAAGCGGAAGCACGAGTCCCTTGATATACACTGAGCAGTGTCGCCCGCTATACCAACTTCAGCATTCATAACGGACCATGGGATAATCTTCAAGCTCATTTTGGATAAAAAATCGGTTATATGGATGGAGTTACTACGCACCAAAAGCGAAGGCCTTAGTATCGTTCACCAAGTCTAGGAGCAATTCAATCTCCGCCAGCCTCTGATCTTGTACCTCGTCTACGAAAACCTCTGTTATCTGCGATCGAAGTCGAGATGAGAGCTTCTCATCTTGCGCCAACAGTCTCTGTATTTTCGACGTTCGATCCAAATCGTCCCACTCGCCGAAAGACGTTTTCCTTTTTTCATAGATTTCGTAAAGCACATAAACAGCCTCCCGTTCTTTACCTTGATGGAAGTTGGGTGCAGCTCTACGTGAAAGGCTTTGGTACTCCTCTTTTGATAAAGGTAGATAGTTCGACGCGGATGAATTCACTTTGATCACTCCGATGATTTCTGAAAACACCCCATCCGCAGACAGGCCTCTCTTTGCAGATGATGGAAAGCTCGGCCAGTAGGATCTCTTAAACTTTCCGAAATCGACCCGCCGATTAGCGACTTCTAGCCGCGATTCCTCCGAAGTGGAGGAAAAAACATTCCGTTGCGCAAATCTATTTTATCAGCAGATACGTACGGTTTTACAGGCATCCGAAATTTACTAGACTTACTTTAGGCTCTGTTCCAACATTGTAGCAAAAGAATCATATGTGCAAACCATCGGCCAGCTCTTATTATCAACATCAATCAAGCCAGTGGTGCCCATTTCTTCGTCGTCAATAATCCTAGAAAAGTCGCCTGCTTCCGTAATCCCGCTTTGAACGGCAAATCTCATGCAATGACTATTAATCAAACGGTTTACGTATTGTCGGATTTTCCCCGCCAGAACTGGTGAGCGTGTAAGAAATATTTGCCGAACTTCTTTACTATCATTCGTCAAGCGGTCGCGGATGTACGTTGACAATAGTCTAAAGACAAGGCAGGTTGTTTTACCCTAGTTTGAAATGCACCATAATATTAGCTTTGAATGGGGGCTGGGGGGGAAATAAAGGTAGATATTTTAAGAATCGTACCGTTCCACTTCTCCCAAGTATGCAGACAGACGAATCGAAGTAATTAATGATAGACTCTTCTTCAGGCGAAACTACAAAAGGAACTTCTGCCTGATGGCCACCCTGCAGTATCATCTCAGCAACTCTTTTGGTAAGACAATATTGTTTACCTAACCAAAAAAATGATAGGATTGTTAGCTTATTCAGAAAATTAAATCCCTTTCCCTCGAAGTCTCTTATTTAGTTACCTGTGCAAAAGATTTTGTGAAGTATCAATGCGTCGGCGGGCGGTAGTGCTTTCGAGGGAGACGATCCAAACAGAACTGCATTATTCACCTCAAGCCCAACCGCATTTTCCCCTGTGAAAGTTTGCGGAATCAAGCTGCCTGGCCGTGCAGAATTTGGAATACGTATCGTAGCAGCCTGTTTATATTCTTTGGTATAAGTGCGCTGAGCTTTACGGGCATCGGACTCCACCTTCTTCACGTCATTCTTTGAACCTATCCGAATAACCTTGACAATTTGGATCCACTCCCCGGAGTTTTCCTCAGTCCTTCCGACTCCCCTCTCCCAAATAACATAGCCGTCAACACTCCACCGCGCAGCACGAAGTACAGGCTCGAATTTCCCTTGCGATTTACCCTTTGAGACTGATAGATCCGGGTCAGACTCCCACATTCCGTCTGCTAGCTTCTGTAACGTTGTCAAGATTTTTGATAGAGTTCCATCGACCCGAGAACTTTTCAAATCACGCATTGCAGCGTCTGAAAGGTATATAGGAAAGACGCCCAATTGCGTCTTAATATCGGGGAGCCCCCGTTGGGACTCTGAACTGTAAATATTTTCATTTCCCGTCCTGATGATTCCGGAGAGGCGTGCTTGGCATGTTGAACATGGAAAGCTCGAAATAATCAAGCGTATATGACCTCTATACCGCTCCAGTAATGCTCGTATCGTGTGTCCTGCGGTTGTGATGTTATATGGAATTGCTATTCTAGCTGAATTCAAAAGTTCTTGCTCGTCTTCATTCAAGTGTATTGGAACCTCTCCGACTGCCGCCACTCGCACTCTTGACTCTATGTTTCGCACCTGCGTCTCTAAATTCTCCTGAAGCCCTTCAATTTTTTCCCAGACCAGCACTATGTCATCGATGCCTGAGCCGTGCGAAGCAATACAATCTTTGACCAACTCCGCCAATCGACCCCCAAAGAGTCTTAAGCTTCCGTCTCTGAAAACTTGCCGGACCAGCGAGTCTTTTGCCAATAACTCCGTGAGAAGGGCTGCGCCCGCCGTTCCCGAAACGATTTTTTCAATGATACGCACCCTACGCGGCATATCCAAGATTTTGGAAACAAGATCGCGTAAAGTAACGAGGGAGACGGTGGCTATCCCTGCGAGAGAGACGTATAGGTCTAGTACGCAAAGGATGAAATCATGATACCCTGATGAACCAATGTCGAATATCGCGGCTGGCTCGTCAGCAAGTACCAAAATAAGATGCTTTGTAAACGCAGCTGGAATCCTGATCAGCTTGTTGGCAGTGGCATATCCTATTCCGCCAACCGAGTTGGCAAGTTGTGTATTTTGCGGAAGAAGATTTTTCCTTAGACATCTCAGAAAATGAGATAGCCTGGGTAGCATTTCGTCGGGGCTAGCGATGAAGGCTGATCGAAAATTATGGTTTCGAGAGGACCTTTCAAGAAGGGCAATAATAGGTCCGTCGTCGTCGACAAGAATCCGGTATACTCTCTCATATTCGCAGGGCTCAGGCTCCTTCTTTGAGATGATAATGTCCTGGAGAACTAGTTTGTTGGACGTAGGCAGCGGTATAGCCCTGTAATCCATAGTAGTGGAAACCTGGAATAATTTCCAACCGATATTGTAAGCTTCAGAAAGTCGTCTGCCGTTCAGATTAGGGTTAATTAGATGCCCTTGGAGAAAGCCTTCTAATAGGTGTTGTGAAAAAGGTCTATCAACCCCGACCTCAGAAAGGGTTCACGAGAAGTTTCGTTAAGCAAAGTTTGCTGTTATAGTATTTAAAATCAGTCTTGTATCCTATAATATAACGGCTTAAGGTCAGCGATCAACATAAATGCAAATTAAAAGACAAAATTATCGACAGGACAAAATACCAACAATTCTGGGGAGATCAAAGGGACAGGAATGGACGCGTTACCAAGACAAATCCCCAGAAAATCCTCAGCCCTCTGCCGTCACTTACATTATTATTTCCAGTTACATAGTGAGGCACAGTTGTGCCTCGCGGTCCTCGAATGTTCAGGCATTATATGTCAGGTGACAAGCTACTGAGAGGTCTCGCTGCAGGAAAGTGGTACGGCTAGAAGATTAAAAGTGAGGCAAACCGCCTAACGAATCAAAGGGTAGTGAATCACAGCAATTGCAGACGAGGCGATGACATTTCAAAGGTCCATGAACACGAGCCACAAACGATATTATTGTCCGACCTTTGATTCCTAATTCTGGGCTGTGTAATAGTACACCGAGTACTGTATTCGGTAAAGTATCTATTCTTGGTGGCCGGTCTATTCCAACTTCGGGATGGTTGCCAAGTAGCCCTCCCAAAGACGGCTAGCCCTTTCACTGATTCCAACAAACCAACCCTTACAACACCGTAAACCACACTTAAACCACAACATACCATTGAGCTGCCATCATTGCTTCAGGTTACTCGAGAGGCAATCCCAGCCAACATAATTATAGACTCTTCTAATCCTAATCCTAAATAAAATGCACAGACGCAAACTCAATCTGGCCTACTTTGGATTTTTTGATATATCGATATCCTCCATCCATAGTAAATTCATCACTCCAATTCAATGTAGTGGCAATGGAATCAAAATCCGACTCAAGAGGTTTTCGAACGACCCATTTGTTCACTAAAGCAAATGTAACTCGCTAAATCAAGGAAAGAACTGGCATGAATATGTAGATTTAAAAAAGATAGAAAGACCAATCCGGAAACTAGCCTCATTAGACTTTATGATAGTTGTATGAGAAGACCGGGAACCCAGCTCGAGTTTGATATTCGCAATAATCGACTTCGGGCCTATGCTGAAAGCGGCGTGATGGCCGCAGCCCGATGTGATTAGTCCTCGGATCAAAAATTGATACATAAAAACTTCTGAAGGTTAGAAAAGCCACAAAGGTTCCCAGTATAGCGCCACCAACAATGTCGTATGAATGATGTGACTACGATATATGTTAGCTCTTATATTATTAGCAAAGACATTTTATGACCTTACCATATCAGCCGAGATAGCCCCACCCATCAGGACAGCCAGGGTCAGTGGTGTTAAAAACAGAACCATTATGATGGGATTAACACGGTAATCCGAAAAGATTTTGAGCTTCGCATTGATGTAGAGTGATAAAAACACCGCGGCAGCAAATGAAGTCGCAACGTGACCACTCGGAAAGCTCTCTAAGCTAGTTTTTATTAGTATCCAAGCAGCGTAGCCGAATGAAGGTCGTGCAAACTCACGCCCAATTTATTTTTTCTTGGTCCCCCGTGCAAATGGTCCACTTGTACCAAGTTCCGTCGAATCCAACTCCAGGGCCGTCCGGTTGCGGTTTGCAAATCTCAAACCAGCTAGGTCGATACCCTCCAGCCAAGGTTTTAACTATTATTTGAACAAAGCAGCTTTAAAAGTGAGCTAGGGTCGGACAAAAGCAAGGGGCTGCGCAGACTCACCACATGATAACGCTGTTTACCGCCCCAAGCATTCCTCTAGCAAAAATTATAAAGCTTCGGCTCGTACAAATCTCAAGAACCGAGATAAACAAGGCCGGTATTCCAACATCAAGGCCTGCACTCGTCCAGAATGTGATGATTTGCTTTCGATATGGGTGGCCAAATGCTTCCATCTGAGGAGATGTGCTTTCTCCAGGAAGCAAACGAAAATACCTCGCCTTTCCACCGACATCTGGAACGTATTTATCGATCATCAGAGCGACAATACCAATCATGAGAATAGTGGCCCAGTCTAGTCCAAACTCTCGCACGAAATCTGCGATCTTTGACATCAGACCACTTTGTCTCTTTTCGGGGCGCTCAGCTCCGTGGTGATTGGATGTCGGTAAGATCTCGTCCCCGGAACCCGTTCGATGTCTCATTGTCGGTTTCCTCTCAGATTTCGATACCAAGTATACGTAGGCTAGCTATACGTCGGATCAGATCGTGGTCGCGAATTGCCAAGATGGATATTCACTAGAACTCGAAACACCGAAAAAACTAGGCAATTTCGGCATGCGTTTTTACGCTAGTTGTAAGATTAAATCGAATCGACCCAAGTATATAGTACCCTGCAAGTGATATGGTATAAAAGTTGACGAGATAGCTTAGCTCTGGTGAGGTTAACGTTAATTAACTTCGAGGTTGGTGGATGCAACGCGATCTTTCCACGCTTTGTCAACTGCGCAGTCTCGTAACCAGACTTGTGTGTTGCGATACCAATTTTTCAACTGCGAAAGAATCCAATGAATTAGAAATTACTAGGAAAACACTCTCGTCAAGAAAAAACATTTTGTGTTCGTGTAATACGATTCCTATGCTAATCTTATAAAGATATTTCCTCGACAAGTCCTGACTACGGTCTCTGCTCTTCTCTGCTTCCGTGGCCTTGTTGTGGCTGTCATTGATATTTCTTGTCAGTCTTGGCTGACGTTCGCTGACGTCTGCGTTGTGTGCTGGATGCACATATGTCGCGTGCCAGGAACAAGTTTACAACGTTTCGCACGTTAGCGATCTTATTGAATTATCCTTGCAAACCGTCAAAGGAGCTTGCCGTTGCATTGCATTGTGGCTTTGCTTCAGATCATGCGATAGCCTGCAGAGTTTTTACTCTTCGTTCGGAAACGATCAACTATCACGATCAACTGCCATCCTCCGATGCCCAACTGCCGTGCAGCTCTGGAGCGTGTCACAGGCCGTTACAAACCAAGGTTCAAATTCGCAGACAGCTGGCAGCCCAGCATATCAGTATAGGCCGGAGGGGACACCACAGACAACTCGCTTTAAACTCGTGGTCTCACAGCTAATATCTATGTGCGTATGTAAGCAAGTACCTACGCAATCATGTGGATTTCCCTAGACAAAGAGTTCATGCGGTAATACATATACGTATACCTATGTACCGGCATTTATATATACGTGCAGATTGGCACTCACGATTGATGCTCAGTTGATAATCTAATTGTAAAAGAGAATACAAATTTTACACTCGAGCATGATATAACCAATCACTACACTAACTGCTGATACTGCACAGGTTTTCGCGCACAAAGACTCGCCACCCTGTTCAACTATGGTATCCAGATCAAATATCGCAAAAGGATAATACTATATCACCCAAATGCGCAGAAACTACCGCTTTCAGATAGCTGGGACATTGACCCAAAACCTAGTATCATCCCACCGATACTTGGAATTGCTATCAATCTGAGATTGAATCCACTGGATGGCACTTTTATAATCTGGTTCCCAAACTTATTAGTCCCGAACTCTCCCAGGAATTACTGTATTCTCGCATCGCAATGCAAGAGATAAAGCTTACTATTAATGTCTTGAGTCCACGGGCTGTTCAATCCAGTAGCTCCGTTCCGATGGCCTGCCATCCATTTATCATATCCATAGTATTCCTGGCAATCCCAACGAGCGGCAACATCGGCGTATATATCCCAGCTATTGAGCAAGATTATTTGGTTAGTCGGAAGATCGATCTCGGACCAGAGATGGGAATTCTAGAATTACTTAAGTCTGGCGCCGTTGTTCCATTGGCTCTCAGATTGACCGATAAATCCTCCACGTCGACCACAGACCCTTAGCATACCCCAGTTCTGTTTGAATAGACCAAAGTTGGCTGCATCATACGACTTGTTATCGCCATAGGCATAGTTCGTTTCCATTCTCTCTCTACAATAAGATTAGGTGAAATCATGTAAGGCTTCAAATCGACATTTTGGAGAGATTTATAATCTACACTTACGTTTCAAGCATCGCTATAGCAATATCAAGGGTATTGCCTCCAGCTCCGAGGATAGCTTGTTTGCGAGCTCCTAGACCGGAAACAGTATAGCTACCGCGATCAGCTCGAGATTCAAGATTTGGCTCTTGATCAACACTGGATATTGGAGAAGCCATAGCTGCAGCACATGCTACGAGGACAAAGAAGGAAGAAGTTTTCATGGTAGAAAAACTATAAATAATTGAGTTGATAGGTAGCTAATAGAATGTCGAGGAATAGCCGAGATAGCTGGGCAAGTTTTACTGAGTTTTGCACTCTCCAAGGCAAATGCCATAAGTATTTGGCTTTCAGGTCTTAAGGAAAATGGGCTCTCTATATATAAAGATTTTCTCTCTGCTTCAGTGAATAAAGTTATAGAAGTCTGTCGAGGTAGATTACAACTCGAGGAGCACAAAGACGACCACACACGATAGATCGCTTTCCCCCCATCATCGTACGATATCGTCATCTCACGGTACTCGGGCCGCATTGAGGCTCATATTGCAGCGAGAAATGTATATGTTTTGTGCAATTCGCAGGACTCTAGGCCTGTAAGGTAGACAAAATTACTAACTTCGTCCCAAGGTCTGGAGAATATTAGACCATGGAAGTCTATCTCCTTCCGTTCGAAACGGTGTTTCCATAGATATCTCCATCGAGATCATTTCCAAACACAGCAATGTCAACGATGTGCCTGGTAAGGAAGCTATGATTCGATTTGAAGTCCCTAATGGAGCCTCTAGAATATTATCCGTATATTGATCTCTGTTAGGGACAGGGGGAAAAAACCAAAGAGGTGTCGGCAAACTGATCGATGGTGTCTCGGATATATATGGGCCGCGGATTGTATTGATTTTGGACCCACACTTTCGCGTGGTAAATTAAACGAAAGCCTAGAAACCTTCTAGTTATATACGTTATCTAGTAGTTCTATTGCATATTCATCTGAACTTCCCCGCACTGCATGCACTACCCCCCCGCATCGTCCGATAGTGTTATGGAACGACACCTTCCGAGCGAGCTTGATGATATTAGGCGTCGGTGTTAGTGCCCGCACCCTTTGCGTTTACCTTTAGCTCTCCCTTTTTATCCGTTTATCGGTTGTATTTCACGGGCGCACTTAAATTTAATTAAACTAGTTGAAAATTGTCCGCACAGGGATGAGCAAAATTCCAAGCGAACGACGCCTGGATTCGGCTATATCCAAGGAGTTCCATTCTCGTTTGAATTTTTGCGCGACTAGGGGAACATGCTAAAATAGTGTGCCTTTAAAGCGGGGTGGTTGTCTAATCTTGGCTTTCTTAGCTACGAGATTATAAGTGATCCCTGCCGGCCTATAACATGGAACAGACGGGAAATATTGTATAACTAGTTCCCTGCCAAATACCGGAGTAGATCGCACCGACAGCAAAGTTAACCGGATTGAAGAATAATAGAAGACCACGGTCGGAACATAATAATATCTGCACATGCACAGATACTGCAGATATACTCAAGGTATACAAAGCACGTGCGCGTGCACGTAGGGCGATGCCGTAGCCAATGACATCTTTTGCGGCAAAATCAAGACGAAGTTATGCATATATGTACGATCTTACAACAGGCAACCCTAGCTAACGGAATATTCTCCTCTGAGCCTGTTTGGACTTCTTACTGCTATCACTAGCTCTCTTTTCCCGGGGAAAGCATGCCCGCCGCTGTTTGCAGCGTTAGTAATTATGGCAGCTTAGTATTTGGAGTTTAGATTGATCCATGTTGGCAACCTGAATAAACAACAGAGTTAACGTCGACGATGCATGCAAAATTTAAAATTGTATGTAGCCAGCGAGAAAATGAGGGTCACCATTCAATCCTTCGGACGGAGTATACATATAGCTCCTATTAGTTTCATTGATTGACTGGCATGTTCTAATTTAAAAGGAACCGCGGACCGCCGCTACCGGCAACATCGTGGTCGGATCCATAGCTTTCTCCGATTTCCGCCTTCAAGGGCCGCAGCGCTGAAGTATTTCGCCGACGATAACACGGTACATATAATATAAGGATTTTGGCTAAGAGACTGGATTGCACGGTCGCGCAACCCTCGGACATATCAAAATCCCTAAATCTGCTATATAACCCTATATAATGCCTCTCTGACAAAGGTTCGAAAGACCTAAATTATAAAACTTTAAATACAAGAAATCTCAACCAGCTCGTTAGTCATATCTCGAACATGAAAGCTTTCATTTTGGCATACATTGGCGCCATAGTAGCTGCACAGCAGACTGCATGGGGGCAGTGCGGGTAAGAATCAAGTTCTCAACAAGCCTATACTATACTAGTATAAGGTTCATAGCTAATATACCATGATGTCTCTTAAATGCAGAGGAAATAATTGGACTGGCCCTACTAGTTGTGTCTCTGGATACTATTGCTCGTGGGTTATTTATTCAAATCTACTTCCTATAACCGCCCCTCTAAAAAGCACATCAATCGCGATTTCATAGCTATAACAACGAATGGTATTCCCAGTGTACCCCAGGGTCCGCACAGGGCACTACGAGTAAGTCCTATCCCAGTTGGGACGAGTAATTGTAGATTTCTTAGGAAGGGAGGGCAATTGATGTCTTACGAGATACTAAACACGTGCCTTTCGAACCTTTAGCAACCTTGAGGACAACTACTACCACTACGACCACTTCTCGAGCGCCAACGACCACCTCTGGAAGTGGTAGTGGTGGCTATGTTACTAGGTCCGGAACTAAGTTTAATATCGACGGCAAAGTCGGCTGCTTCGCGGGGACAAATGCATATTGGCTATCCTTCACAACCAATAATGCGGATATCGATCAGGTTATGAGCCATCTACAAGCTGTGAGGCCCCCAAACCACATACTTTTGGGAACTTACAAGAATTTGACCACTGTAAATTTATATCTTGGACCAGTCGAAGTTGAAAGTCCTTCGTGTATGGGGCTTTAATGATGTAACCTCGCCGAGTGGGGTGTACTTTCAACTATTCTCCGGAAGTTCTCCTACAATCAATACCGGTTCTAATGGTGCGAAACCTTGACTGTTATTTTTTCAATCCCAAGTGCAGATAGGCTCACAACTTTGACGCAGGACTGCAAAGACTCGATGCGATAGTTGCTTCAGCAGAAAAGTATGGTATCAAACTCATCATCCCTTTCGTTAACTACTGGGTAAGCATTAAACAACCCTCTATACTGCTAAAGATGTTTCCTTTACCAAATCAGTGGTTCTGGTTTTGGCTAACTTGGTATATATAGGATGACTACGGTGGCATGAAAGTCTATGCAAACTACTACGGCGTTAGCAAAAATGCATTTTACACTGACTCAAGAGTCATTTCCCAATACAAGCAGTACATTAACGCTCTTGTATCTCGCTACCGAAACTCAAAGGCCATTTTTGCTTGGGAGCTTGCCAATGAACCCCGATGCAATGGGTGCCCAACATCCACTATTACTAACTGGGCCACATCGATCTCTCAATACATTAAATCTCTGGATTCTAACCATCTCATCACGCTTGGCGATGAGGGTTGGTTTAACGGGGGCGGAGACGGCTCCTATCCGTATTCGGGTGGCGAAGGCATTGACTTCGTCAAGAACCTAGCTATAAGCACTTTGGATTTTGGAACCGCGCATTTGTACCCTGGGCACTGGTCTAAGAGTGACTCTTGGGGTAATACATGGATCCAGGAGCACGCCTCTGCAGCGACGTCTGCAGGGAAGCCGTACATCTTAGAGGAATACGGTGTCACTAGCAACCGCGGTAGTGTATATGGAAGCTGGTATAACACCATCTTGGGATCGGAAACTGCTGGCGATATGTACTGGCAATTTGTACGTCAGGTCCCCAAAACAGATATAAAAAGCAGCCGCAATATCAATGCTTTGATCGAAAAAGCTAATCGGGTACAATTAAAAATCTATATAGGGCGAAACTTTATCTTCAGGTCAAACTCATAATGACGGTTTTACCGTATATTATAGCAGCAGCGAGTTTAACAGCCTTGTTGGCCCCCACGCTAACGCAATGTCAGTAAAATAACTACAGACCAGGGCAAAATACCCATCTGGGACAACTATTTATCTGTTCTTAGATCCTTGTTAGCAAATTTTAACAGTGCCAGACTAATGCTACCTAGAGTATTGGCGCGGTACCGCAAAATCTGGTGGACAAGGATATATATGTTACATCTAGAAACCTTCTGCATCTAGCAGATGAGCAACCTATAAGACTGCAAATAAATATAACCACTTATATAGTTATTGATGTCGGTGTTCATCAATATATTTCATGGATTCTATATACGGCTATATAATAGATTCCGCACATAGCCGGTTATTTACATAGACTGTCAGTGATAGACATAGACAGTTTTGATCTCGCTTGAAATTCACTGCTGGTTGTAGGCATGTAAATAATTCCGATGATGAATGTGCTGTATCTTTCCTCGACATATATAGTTCAGGTGATCCCAGAATTTATGCTGATTATATATAGAGTTCCCTCCATGTTTTTTCCAGATAAAAACCCTAGTCTGTTGAAGGCGAAAAATCGAAAACTCTTAGTTACATAGAAAATTTTGCTTTGGGATTGTGCATAAAAAACCTGTAGACGTTAGACTTCGTAGGAAGGTTTTTATAATATTACTTCCCATAATTATATAATACTAGATCCACATTCCCGTGCGCTGCTCGTATCAAGGTATACAAGGCTGTGCAATCCAAGCTCGGACTTATTTGACTGAAGAATACCTTTTTCATCGGTGGGAACCGAAATAACTATGCTTAATATTTGGGATGATTCTTATATTATGAATAAAACCAATGGTACCAATGAAATGCAACCGAGGCCGGCCATATGCGCTTAACACCACCTCGCAACCACAACCCCAAAATTTGCTGGTAAATTTCTTACTTCTTTAGGATAATTATAATTAATTCAAATTGCGACATATTCATACGATTTTTGTAATCCAATTCAGAAACGGATGTTCTATCTTCCATATATATAAGGTTAGGCCGTTAGATGTCTTTGTATATTCAAAAATCAACTGATTTTATTGGCCGTTGGCCGTTGGGTGATTCGCATCAACGCAAATTCGGTACCATGCGATATGTCCCAGCTTTTTCTTTTCTTTTTTTCTTTCTTCGTTTCGCTGGCTTGGGTGAAGGGGTAAGAAGCGATTGAATGGAAAGCTCGAGATCTTCAGCTCAGCCGCATTGCATAGAATATTCGCAAAGGAGCGGCGTACTGTCCCATTCACCCTTCAAAGCTCTACGGCGCTCGAAATATACCTAGATTCTTGTTGCAGTTGGCAGAATAAATTTTGGTCAATCCCGTATTTGCATTTATAAGTACGAGTGGAGCAGTATGCCACAGAGTGGCTCTCTTCAGCGTATTGATGGAGAACAGCGGCCTTATGATATATAATAACCGTCAACCCTTTGACGTCACCAACGCCCTATTTAATCAGAATCTTGATGTTTCTGGCGTCGGGACCCAGTTTACCTCTTTTGGGAGCAGCGGATTCAATTATATAATACCGAGAATGCGGACATCTTAGATCTCGCAACAGGATGGGGCCACAACCAGAATCTCGAATTTAGTTCTAGCATCGAAGAGATCGATATTAGTGCTGTGATCGATGTATTCCTCCACGAGTTTAGTAGGTGCAAGAGTGGGTGGCGGCGCAAACTCACTAGGTTCAAAACCTTGATCTCTATCTTGGCCCATATGGAAATTCTAGGTTTGGATATAATTATTCTGACGAGGAAAACGCGCTTGTACCCGATTTGCGGAAGATTGGCTGGTCAGAGAATGGTACTAAAGGAAATTGTTGCAACCCCTCCCAGGGGGGTTTCGGGGCAGCTCTGGCTCCGAGACTAGGTTTATATTATGAATATGATGCGGAGTTGGCCTTCAATTTGGAAATGGACAAACATTCAGGAACCAACTTCATTAATATATTCAGGGGCCTCGCTGACGATCCGCTAAATTATAATAGCCTCTGGAATATCGGACCAAACGGCGGGAGCTGGGAGGAGCAAGGTCAACAGCAGCAGGACGAGAGACAGCGCCCTGAGGTTGGATTGGACTCGATGTTAGAAGATCGAAACCGTGTAGGCGCTGCAGCTGAGCAAAAAGGTCAAGATTACATAGAAGGGCAAGCCATCTCCAAACACGAATCGGAGGATGAAGATGGAGGAGCACGGGGTGAAGGGCAGGGGTTCTTCCATCCTCCTCTAACGCTTATAGACGAGCATCGCCAATACGGGCAGCAAGATAATCTCGAAGAACAGCTGAGCATTACCATAGCTACTACATTTACTACTACCAACGCTACCACTACTACCACCGATCCTACTACCAGCGATACTAACATTACCACCGCAGACTTGGACACGGATGATGTTGAAACAGTTTACTCGGAGACATCAAGTTTTGCCACGTCGGAGAAGGAAAATTATATATCCGAACTAGCCGCAGTTCTTTTTCATGAAATTCGTGAACTATTAAGAAGCGATAATTCCGAGACCGCGATCTGGGAAAGGATCTCTATAGCCCTTCCCGAGCTATTAAAAGCGTTCGCCCTTAAAGTTGGTTATAAAGCCCCCAGTCAAATGCATCGTGACATTATGTTTTTCGTCCACAAGAATCGAGAGTTAGTTTACATTTTGTCAGTTGAAAATCAGGTGCTAGAAAACTAGAGAAGTCTAACAGAGGTCTATTGCTAGGAGTGTTGCGAAGTATTTTACGGAGAAGTACTCTCATGGCGATGCTGAGAGTGTCCCTAATACACAGGTTGTGGAGAACACGAACATGGACTTGGCTGCTAAAATGGATCTTTGGCATGAAAAATCCGAATACCCCCCTTCACACCCTCAACATGGACCCCTAGAGGACCAATTCGAAGAAAACACTTTTTGGGGGGACGCCGAGGACGAATATGAGAATGGTGGAGACAAAGCCCAGGGGACATGGATGGAAACAAGCAGAGCGCAGAAGAAAAAGGTGAGTATGGGAATGGAAGTGATGGTGGGGACCTTTACGATATTACGGAAGATGAAGAAACCAAGATGGGAAATACCGCTATTGATCGTGCAATTGTTTGTAGAGATTTTATCCTCAAAACCCCAGCATTTGAATGGCTCGTTGGAGTTTTACGGAGAGAAATTATTCTACTTACACCGGCGGAGCTGCCAAACTATATGGAAATTACGAAGAGGAGTGTTAGTGAATGTCTACCGTCATCTCATAGAATCAGCAAAAATAGATCCGCAGAGGCCTTCAACACGATCTTTTTGACAGGTTGGAAACCATTAATATTTGTCAATGAACAAGAATACGAACTCAAGCCCTCCGAAGCTATCGAAAGAGCTGTAATACTCACAGGGTCTACTGAGGATGTTCAAGCACTAACATGCGTGGATTATTTATGCCAGACCTGGCTGTCAACCGGCAAATATATCATCGAGCTAGTTAAGGATGTCATCGATGAATCTGAAATACTATATGTGTATGTTTCTTAAATGTACAAGACGGCTGCCTTTTTGATCTCACTAGTTGCCCCTAGGTACTCTTCCTGACAATACAGCTCTCATAGCGTATTTTCGGGAATCATCCGAGCTAGTAGTTGAGGCCGTCGGAACGAAAGATTCCGTAGCAGAAATCGGCCAACAACTAGCATGGCTTTGCACTGCCCTTAGCCCTTCCCCGCTTGAAACTGGGGTCGTTGCCTTTGTACCCCTGATCAAGAATTCACAATCTCTGAATTCCCGTGGGAGAGGAACCACAACCCCTCCTACAGATCCTAGAGGTCTGACGCATGCAAATTTAAATTTACCGACATTCTCTTTTCGATTACATTTTAGCGCTGAGGAAAGAGAGCAAAGCATCATTCCTCCTAATAGCCAGTATTGGCATAACATGTTCAAAAACCCAGTAATTATCAAAGGATACCCGATCCCATAAAAGCTTAATCTTAAAACAAAACTTAAAATTCCACTTAAAATAATAGCCGGTTTGGCTCAATCACACTATATACAGGCCTTTAATAAACATATCTTCATAAAAGGCTTCTCAACACTTCTCATTCCAACAAAAACAAATAATAACATAACTACCTAGCATTTATTATATAACAAGCACGGGAATTGTATTTCTTATCTTAAGAATATGATCTCACACGCTGATGGACTCAACATTTTAGAATTAAGAACATCTCGGCATATCCTTAATTAGTGTTCCAAGACTGATTACTATGCTAGTAAAAGTATATAGTAGCTAAAAATAAGACCCTTGCTAAATTTGGTTGTTAGGTGCCGCGGATACCGACTACAAAATTCGGCCTTCATATCTATCGCGAACATATGAGAAGTGCCTTCTCTACAGGGCACACATATATATCTAAGACACGCGACATTCGGGATGGTGCTCTATTTACTCTTGGTAGAAAAGACACTCCTTTTCATATATCTGGAAATATTTTAGAACGAAAAATACAACATATTCACACAAAGTTTGTAGTGCTATAGGATAATCAAGATAAAGCTAGTTTATCAATAGAACTAATGTCCTACTACATATTTTACATAGATCCTTAAAAAGTAATTGTACCAATGACTTTAGTTTCCAGTTTTATTATAAAGAGGAGAATATGCAGGAAACACCGGTAAAATATAAAGGATTTTCAGCCATACACATGCATCTCAATGAAAACAATCTCAAACAACATATATATCCAAAAAAGGACGGATACTTTTGCATTCGAGATTGTCTGGAAGAGTTTCACAACACTTTGGAGTACAAAGTGCTAGAACACCAGGATAAGATTGTTAAAAAGGAAAATTGCTTGAATGACGGAGAGCAGAGACAACTTGAAAGCTAGGACTCCAACCACCTAGCAGCAGGGCAAGATAATATTTGCTCTTGTGTAACAGAGATTCCAAAAGCTGGTGCGGGTTGGGTCGACCTCAGCCGAAGTATCCGGGCAGTCGTTTTATTTGGACGTGGATTTGGAGAAATCATAAAACCACTTGATCCGTTCTTCCCGTGTACTCGATGGGCAGCCTTACCGAAAGGGGAATATTATCTCGCCGCTACAGTTAGGGATCTAACGGAAATAATGGATGCGAACGGCGGCCAAGAAACAAATCCTATCAAGCTAACAGATGACATTGTTTGTCATAGTCCCGATGAACCCTTTGGAAAATGCGAATGTAAAGGCGAAGGGAAGTCAGAAAGGCACTCTCATTTCGCCCATACTCTACTTCCGTCAAAGCTATTTCGTACTCAACTTACAACTAACCCAGTTCAACTCTGCCACGGTGGCGCATTGATCTTCGGAAATGATGAGAAATCCAAGCAATATTTGGGGGATCTCGGTCATCCCGAAGTTAATGCACCCCTAACTTCGCCTGAATCAGAAACTTTGTCTAATGATGTCGACAGCGGTCTTGGGACAAGCCTAAGTCAGAGCTCTTTTTTCGATCCGAGGACCAAGCTGGGTACCGATCCATCATTTACGAATTCGAAGTCCCGGTCAGGAAGAAGACTGACATCAGCTCAGACTAGCGACGGCATAGGGATAGCCCAGGCTAGTCTGGTATTCAGGCGTGAAGAATATAACGTTGGAATAGTGTGCGCGCTTCCCAAAGAACACCTCGCAGTGCGTGCAATATTCAACCGCAAACATCAAAACTTGGTATACCCACCTGAAGACACAAACCATTATGCATTAGGTTGCATACATAACCATAATATTGTTTCCGCCTGTCTACCATCAGGGGAGTACGGTACATGTGCTGCCGCCGACGTCCTTATACACATGAAGAGGAGTTTTCCAAACCTAAATATTTGTCTCCTAGTTGGAATCGGGGGGTGGCGTTCCTTCTGAAAAAAACGATATACAACTCGGTGATGTTGTGGTTAGCCATCCGGAAGGGGATTCCACGGGTGTTATTCAATATGATTTTGGGAAGACCCTCAAGAACAACGAGTTTGTAAGGAAAGGATTCCTACAGTCTCCGCCGCGCTTCATAATTACTGGGATAAGCGACCTGGAATCGGACCCGAACAAAGCCCGTTACCCGCTTCAAGCATGTCTCGAGAGTATCGCAACTCGACATCCAGAGTACGGATATCCAGGATATCAGTTTGATCCACTTCTTGCGGCCAATGCCGAGCGTAATCGCTCTAGTTCAGGGGACGGACATAAAGAAGAAGAAATACCTAGAAACAACGCCCAAGTGTCCAAGCTATAACTTAGGACCCATCTAAAAGTTCATTATGGTTTGATTGCTTTCGGAAATCAAGTTATAAAAAGCGAGCAAGTTAGTGATAAATTAACATCGCAATACAGTATTCTTTGTTTTGAGATGGAGGCAGCCGGTATCATGAATGCATTCCCTTGTCTCGTCATCAGGGGAATTTGCGATTATTCAGATTCTCGGAAGAATGACATATGGCAAGAATACGCTGCCGCCACTGCCGCTGCATATGCCAAACTGCTTCTTTCCTACGTGAGGATTCCTAAGAACTCATGAAATTGACACAAGAAATAGTTAATCGTCAGAAGAGATATAGAAGTACCAAGACCGCACGAATAACCCTAAAAAAAAGACAACAAGCAAGTTATCAGATAATTTTCAATGGCAAAGAAGTCGAGGGTGGCAAGCTACATAGAAAACGGAGGCGCGCGGGTATAGGACAGAATTAACATTAAAGGGGGGAAAGTGCATACCAAGATGGGTTACAACATTATAGTTGGGTAACCGTCCACCCCCCGAACGTACATAGAACGCACGGAGACACTTACGATCCATGGCACCAGTTCCAGATCCGAAGAATTTCTTCATATAAACCCATGGGACTTCCTTACTGTCTTGAATGTCATGATTGGGTGGGTTTATTATTAGAAAGTATTTGTACATAGAAGTTCTTGAAATCCACGGGGTCGGATTTTCTACAACAAAAACTTGGTAAAATTCGTGCCATGGAAAGCCGTCCCGTCTTCGCCAAATTAAGCATACCAGTTGTTTTACGTTTAGCCGCAATGATCTATAAAATCCAACGGGGTAAAAAAGCCATCAATCAAAACCCCTGTTAGTTTTCGTAAACTTAACGGCGCAGTCTGCCTTGTACAGTTTCGGGAATAGGTTCGGGTAGCATCCATAGAACCGAATATGCCCTTGTTTGACGCTTAAGCTGACGAAGAACTCATTAAGCTGGATCCGTGTAGCCCAATGTTGGAATTTGTAGTTAGGATCAATATTCGCGAATTAACCGAGCCAGCTCACGAAAATCCAGGAGTCTTGGTTTAGTAGTACCATGGTAAATTTAAACGTACCATGGTGCGCACCTACCAAATGTATTAATTTTCGGTACAACGGAATGTCTTACCGGTTTCTACCTCATGATAACCTTCGATGATTCAGACCCCCAGAGTATATCTATATAGATACAAATCTGACCTTGATATTTTCTAGGCACAGAGTTTGTATAAATGCTGCGGATGACTTTTATTTCTGTTGCGCTTTCAAATCTGCCATACACTTGCCAGGCCTGTCTAGAATGCTTTTGATTTTAAAAACTTTGAAAGAAATTTTAAAATCTAGCTTTATATAACAAGAAAAGCTATAACAAATCTCCTTCTCAACATGAAGATGAGTAGTCTTCGAAAGCAGGTCTTTACACCTCTAGCAGTTTTGCTTCTATCGCAAGCTACTGGAACGCAAGCACAGGCGCAACCATGGGCACAATGTGGAGGGTATGTAACCCTCTTTGATTAAACTCGGAAGTTTCCTAATGGTCAGTGGGCCTAACCTTAAAATCTTAGACAAGGATGGACTGGCTCTACGACGTGTATCTCGGGGTGGACATGCGTATATTCGAATCCGGTAAGCTACCGCGCATATAACCATCGTACTAAATGATTCTAAGCGAAAGAATGTTCGTAAATCAAGTACTACTCTCAATGTCTTGAGGGATCAGGCGGACCCACAACCGCAAGCACAACTACTCGTACCACAACGCCACCGGGAGGCACGACTTCTCGCACCACGACTACAGCGGTCCAAACGACATCGTCCGCTTCCTCGTGGTCAGGAAATGGTATCGGGAACACTTTCAACAACCCTGTTCTGTGGAACGATCTCGCAGATCTCGAAGTCATTCGTGTCGGCGATGTATACTACTACTCTGCTAGTACCATGGCCTATTCACCTGGCGCGCCAGTTCTTCGATCCTATGACCTAGTAAACTGGGAATATATCGGCCATTCGGTTCCAACTTTAGACTGGTCGTCAAAATACAACCTTGCAAATGGAGAAAGGGCATATGTCAAGGGTATATGGGCCAGTCTCTTTGGATACAGAAAATCCACCGGAACGTTCTATTGGGGTGGATGTATTGAATTTGGGAAAACATACATGTATACCGCCACTAACCCCACTGGGCCATGGAGCAAGAAGTCAACAATAAACACTTGCTATTACGATGCAGGGTTATTGGTAGATGACGACGACACAATGTATGTGGCATATGGAAGTTCAACTATTAATGTTGCCAGATTGACATCCGACGGGCTCAGCCAGGCGGAAACAAGGGCTGTTTGGACTTCTCCCTCTAGCATTGGGTACATCGAAGGTGCCAGGTTTTATAAAGTAAACGGAAACTATATTATCTTCCTCACAAAGCCAGCCAACGAGCAATGGGTTCTCAAGTCGAGCAGTCCGTGGGGCCCTTATACTGAACGGCGGCTGTTGAAAGATATGGCTCCACCTGTATCTGGTGCAGGAATCCCACACCAAGGTAGCATGGTCTCGACCCCATCTGGGCAATGGTACTACATGGCATTCATCGACGCTTATCCCGGTGGAAGAATGCCAGTTCTGGCTCCAATCACATGGGGCAATGATGGCTACCCAACAGTTAATACTGTTAACGGGGGGTGGGGCTCTTCCTATCCATACCCAGTTACCAAGCGCCCACTCAAGGCTCCCTATGGGACAGACACCTTCGCTGGAACTTCCCTGGGACCTGAATGGGAATGGAATCACAACCCAGATACATCGAAGTACAATGTCAATAATGGCTTGACAATGTCTACCGCCACTGTGACATCGGACTTATACGCTGCCCGCAATACCCTAACACACAGAATACTAGGCCCAGTCTCTATTGGAACAATTGTACTTAACTACGGCAATATGAAGGACGGCGACCGAGCCGGCCTCGCAATGTTCCGTGACCAGTCAGCATGGATCGGAATTTCCAAGACTGGAACGGCAACTCGAATCTCGTTTGTGACTGGAATAAATATGGATTCTAACTGGAACACAGCATCTACGGGTTCGGAAGGAGCTGGGGCGGCGATATCCGGCACCAAAGTTTGGCTTCGAATTCGCGCCGACATTAGACCTGGGGGGACTAGAACAGCCACGTTTAGCTACTCCACCGATGGTTCTAGCTTCAGCAATCTCGACAGCGGATTGGTATTGAAAAATGACTGGCAGTACTTCATCGGATATCGATTTGGGATATTCAATTACGCCACCAAGAGCCTCGGGGGAAGTGTCAAAGTTGATGAGTTCTCGATGGTTTTAGCGTAAAAAGTAGTAAACAATCCATAATACTGTCATATACCGCTCTGAGTTTTCACGAAGTCCGGCGCGAGACAACTTGTAGGCTAGTAAATATCACCAAACATCGAACCCATATTCCGCTGTACTCTGTCATAATCCTCCAATTCTAATTCCTTTCTCTCTATTTCCATAAAATTATACTCTTCTGCTAGCATCGTCCCAAGTTAAGTACTCTCCAAATCAAAGTATTAGTCAGCCATTGGGACGCGAAGGGTCCCTATTCTTTCTTTCTTTCTTTCTTTCTTTCTTTCTTTTTTTTTTTTGAAGATTCAGGTCCGGTTGTTGGGCAAGTTAAAGCCGATCGACGGGGTTCCTTCGTTCCAATAATGTAATACTTCGATTTGCATGATTTCATATCCGTTTGGGCCGATGTAGAAGCCTATTCAGCCGGTAACACAAGATCTCCATGTGTTCCAACTTTACGAGCTTGACTTCTATATTAATCTTGCGAATTGGAGATGCGTCCACGTGGCCACCTCGTAACATTATAACCAGTGCGGGCTTTGCCCTCGGGCACTACCTTTATTGCAATTGCAACTTACAACTAAAACCAATTCCGCGTTGGTGAGCGTCCCTGAGACAAATAGACCAAAGGAGGAAGGCCACACTAACTAATATTAGCTAATATCCAGTATATCATTGTACATCTCCAAGATTCAAGTCGAACATGTCTTGCTAAACTATGTTCAAGAATCGTTGACATTTTAAGCTTTCGAAGCTTTTTCCGCACCCCGGTTACGTAACGCTTAGCTTGGCCATGGATCACGGCTGCACAGACACACTATGCTTTGTGGCCCCAAGACTCGCCAGTCTAAAATGGAGCCCCTCTTCGCTATTGAAGATCTTTAGATCGATTCATTGCATGATCGTAGAAAATAACGTTATCTAGAGAGATGTGCGTGCGTGTGATTGATCGATCGAAGGGACAGCTTTGTTCTAAGACCCGGTAGCCGACCCTCGAGCTATGAAGCAATAATCCGTCATTGACTCATGCTATGCCGAGTCAACTTGCAAACCTCTCAATACCATGTCAATCGAAATACTGAGAATATATAGTCCGTAGTTTAACGTGTCACATCAAATTTGCCTGATCAGCTGAGTGTCCGATATCAATGTCCATGAATTTCTCAGCGCTATAGCCCACAAGCTGTCGCATCCAGTCGGGATTCAATACTACATATTCCAATCAAACGGATCGAGTTTACCAATTAATCTGAAAGCTTCACAGCGGTCCATTCGATTCTTATATTACCACCAAGCTCCCCCGGATTTGTTCGTCAACCGACCAGAAGTCAGTATCGTAAATTTTTGTCAAAAATGCTACGAAAAATCAAACAATCGGAATATCTCCTCGCGGCTTTTGGTTTTACTCTGGCCGTGTGTGCTTCACAACAGTCTTGCAAATGTAGACCTTCAGACCCCTGTTGGCCAGCACCGAATGATTGGAACCAACTAAACGATACAGTAAACGGACATCTTATTCGAACCACGCCGCCAGGTATAGCTTGTTGTCTAGGAGAATTTTACAACAAAACAGCATGCGAGATGATCACATCAGTTTATCAATCTAGCGATTTAATCGCCAAAAACCCGTATATGATCGACTTTCCAGGGTACGCTGGTGACCCATGCCCCCAAACAACGATACACAATCAACGGGCACTACATGCAATGGAATCGGTTGGTATCCAGCCTACGTAATAAATGCTACCAACGTTGAAGCCGTTCAAGCTGGGGTTAGATTTTCAAGGAAGCATAACATCCGCCTAATAGTTAAATCAACAGGCCATGATTTCCTTGGGCGGTGAGAATGTCAGATTGGTATTGTAAGGAAAAGAGTGTTAGATCGTCTAACAAAATACATAGATCTACAGGAGCTCACGCATTGTCGATATTCGCCCACGGCTGACAAGAGGCACAATTCCACAGTGACTTTACGCCAGAAGGCTGTGCTGTTAGCATGAAAGGTCAGAACGCTGTTACCATATCGCCTGGGATGCAATGGCAAGATATGTACCGTTTTGCGGACGAGCCCAACAGTATCATAGTTGGAGGTGGTGCTAGTACCGTCGGTTGCATAGGTGGTTTCCTTCAAGGTATGATCCCCCCAAATATTCTGCGCCTTTATCCTACTGCATTGCGACTCAGAGTTATTAAATATAGGCGGAGGGCATTCCCCTCTAAGTTCTATTTATGGCCTAGCTGTGGACCAAGTACTCGAGATGAAAGTCGTATTACCCAGTGGCGAATACATTACAGCAAATGACTACCAAAACCAGGATATATACTGGGCTCTCGGAGGGGTACAGCCCCGAAACCCATCTCTACCCAACTGGAGACAGTTGTTCAGGCTAACTCAATACGAAAGGGAGGGCCAAGTACCTTCGGTGTTGTTACATCAGCTACCGTAAAATCATTCCCTTCACAGCCTTGGTACACGTAAACCGTTATCTTTAACCTGACTAAAATAGATACGCCAAGGGAAATCTTCCACGATGCGATCACTTATATGCATACCCAAGTCCCATGGCTCAACGACGGGGGGCTTATGGGCTACTAATTTGTCGTCAATATTACCGAAGTTGCGGGTGGTAGCAAGACACCTACATTTGCTGCTACATTATACATGCTCAATGGGACTGTGGAGAGATCCGGGAAACTTTTAGCACCAGTATTAACCCAGCTATCCATCAGGTACGGGAAAAATATCACACTTGTCGTCTTCAATCAAACATTTCCATCGTTTTACAAATATTTCAAAGACAACTTCGTAGACTACGCAGTTACATCAGGAGCGCCAATACTTGCCAGTCGATTGCTTACGCGCCGATCTCTAACTGATAACGTACCGCTCCTTCACGACACCCTTAAACTTAACTTCGAGACAACTGGGATATTGCAAGGTCACATTGTTGCCGGTCGAGGTGTGGCTCAGCATAAAAATGTTAGCATGGCGCTGAATCCCGCGTGGCGAGAAACATACTCGCATATCAGTACGTCAAAGGCACATAATACGTTCCTGGCGGCACAGATAGTCTTTTCTAATGATGACGAATAGTTGCGAGTACGGGCTTCGAGAACAATAGAACCGGTAGGGTAGAACAAATGGAAGTGGCAAGAGATGTATTGGAATATGCATGGCGACAGTTGTCCCCCAATAGCGGCACATATCTCAGCGAGGTGTGTTGATCCTTCCCCTTCAACTCAGTCTTAGCCCTCCGGAGCTTTTTAAGGAAGGCTAATTAACGTTAACTCCGTCTTAGACGTTTATCAACTCCAAGTTTTGGCAGTCGACATACTGGGGCGAGAATTACTCCAGGCTTTTCGCCATAAAAGCGAAACATGATCCCCACAACATGTTATACTGTGTTAACTGCGTAGGGAGTGAGCGACTTATCGAAGTAAATGGTACTCTATGTAATCTTTACTGATCGTATGATCAATTTTTTCAAAATTAATATATTTTAGCAAACTTATCGCAAACCTTAGACCTATAGGCTTAGATGTCAAAGGATTTTATGAATTCATCTGCATATATCATGCAGATATGCCAATGTGCATATCTAATGTGGCCTGTACCCTTTGATTATATTATATATAGCTGAAAAAGATTCCTTCCCGTTACAAATAAAAACGTTACACCCCGAAATCCTATTCCCGATTTTGAATCCAATTTTAATTCATGATATATAAGAATGAAGTCGATGCAAAGTATTAATGCTGCTGCATGTTGGGTTATAAATTCAGACTATACGTATACTTAAGTTTTCAACTCCATCCATAAATTTACCTGCATCTATAGATACGACATTCCATTTGATCTCTAGAATACGAGGGTTGAGACATACTCTCCAATATTTCCAAGGCGACGATGACATGACAGCCTTGAAGCTTATGGTTGCGCAAGATATATATGTGCGGCTGTGGGACAGTCCTCATGACAATTACGGGCTGGTAATCTGTTTAATGTGTTGCTGCTGTTGGATTATTGGCCCTGGTCGTACCGTTGGTAACAGGGCCGAGACTAGTCAAAGTTCGCAGGGCTCCCTTTTGCATCTCGCATCCCAACCACCAACAATAACCAATCGATGCAATCGTGAAATCCCGGCTGAGGTATATTAATAAAACGCCAAAGATAGGTTGCAAGACTCTCAAGAGGACACCTTCTCAGGTAGATTAGGGCCAAAGAAGAAGGTCAACGGCCCCACAAGCATTGGCCGTTCTTGTCACAACTTTGGAACTCTCTGGCCAAGGGTATGTCCGTTGAGTCCCTCTAGATCAGTGAAGTTTTTCTCGGATATGAAGAAGATAAATCATCGTGATACAACTTTAGTCTCACCTTCAGGCTTCGAAGCTCTCTTTTTGGCAGCATGACAAGCTTGAGCTGCTTCGGCTGAAATGCGTTAGTCTAGGGACCCATGCATCGAGGTCCCCACCCAAAGCTCTGGTCGCGTCCTGCGAGCTTGGTTTGACAGAAACAGGAGCCAAAATACGAGACAGGATCTCCTCCAGATGACGCGCATGAAGCGAGAAGCGGTCATCTTCATCGACCCATTCAATCTCCATTATATCAACGCGACGCTTTGAAGCATCATGGAAGGCACAGATACTGTACCGTTCAGTGACGACAATGGGACCATGTATACTCTCAAGGTCATCATCCTGCACGTTTTGATTTGATGAGTCGGCTCCTGAATTTCCGGGCTCGTGGGACCTGCGCTGGTCAAAAGCAACCTTTTTTGGGCACCCTGCATAAGACTATGCCAAACCGGGCATCGTTGACGTACTGTCCAAGGACATCTCATCACGTTGTGAACTGGCTTGCAGCTTCAGGCCCACAAAAAGCAACGCTGCCCGAAGACGAAGGGACGAAAAAGATATTTTTTTCCATGGCGTGTGCGCAAGATGCATTGGAGACCAGTTCTTGCTCGATGAGGCTTGGGTCACCCCAAAGCAACCTTCACCACCATGATGCGCTGGCACAGGCCTTTTCTAGTCTCACACCCATTCATTTCTCTTATAACAGAGCAACCGCCATCATAACGTGCCACATGGCAAGCTAGGAAGCCGACTTCTTCTGCTCGAAGACCAACCACCACATTGAGGGCATCTCTACGATTGGGCGTATCGCTGCCGTGCCTTTGTTTTGTCATACGAATTTCATTTGTTGCCTCACGACTTCCCGTTTAGCATCGTATCATCATTGCATTAAAGATTTCGAGTGGGTTCTCTTAGCCAGCTTGGAGTATTGGTTCAGATAGGCTTTTAAAAACCACTACGCCCTCCACGTCGCTCTGCATCAACATTCACTTCTTCGCTGCTTATCGGTATCGATAGCCTTCCTTATATTGCAAAAAATACATTTTTCTCTCCGCCCCTTGCAGATATCAATCGTTACTTTAGATTACAGGTGGTACACCCGTCAACGCCAAGATGGTGAACCTCAGTCGCTGTATCGCACAAGTTGGCTGTATCCTAGCTATCTGCCATCAAGCATCTGCAGCGCCAGCACCGCGTCGCACGGTCTGGGAGGTTGTAACCGTAACCTCTTGCCCAAATAATGCATGTGCTACCACTGCACCTTGCACAAGTACCTTAAGCCCTGTGACAAAAACTCTCACAACCACTGAATGTTCAACATCAGAGCCAGTCACGACGACATTCGAGTCAACATCTTCTTCTTTAACCTCAACATCCACCTCGTCGAGATACACAGCGCCACCAAGTGGCAATCCCTATCGAGACCGTAATTTCAATACTATCCATCACATCTATAATCTAACAATCTTCCCCAACCAAGTCCCCATCATCGCGTTCGGGGCATCCGCTGTTCCAGACGGTCTATTTGCAGATCATGCAAGTGGCAGAATATCTCCAGTTGGCAACTTCACAGATTTCGAAGACTCAATTGAATACTTCTTCGCTCTGCCTCCACTTCCAATCTCTAACAAGAACTCTGCCGCATTCACCCGCTTCGAACTCGCTCAATTCTCCTCAGAGTGCCCTGAAATCGCTTCCAGCACAGTGTATCTCTACGCAGAGGTAGTAAACGCCACCAGCCCAGATAATGGCAAACTAGTCTCGATCCTTAAACAAACAGGATTCTGGAGATTCAATGAACGGGGCGAAGTTGTCAACTACGACCTCGCCCTTATCGAAGTCGACCACTTCATTGAGGAGCTCACATCTACCGACTATAATGATCCAGCTGCGCAGCAAGAGCTGATTCATACCACTTGCAATGCCCAAGCTTTGAGGTGTAACGGTAAAAACGCACAGTACGACAGCATTGAACATTGCATCGAGAGTCTCTCCGCCAAGCCATTCGGTAGCTACACCAATGTCTGGAGTGACTCGGTTGTCTGCCGCTCCATCCATATCGTTTTGACCATCACTCGCCCTGATGCACATTGCCCACATGTAGGCCCAAGCGGTGGGATGAAGGTAAGCCAAGCACCTATCATCATTGGAAAGAAATCTTTACTAAACTCTTTTATTTAGTGTGTCGATTATGACTACAAAACACGCCAATTCGATGATGAACATTTATGGGGTCGAACCGACTTATTCCGTTGCATTGCTTAGAATCATTAAATATCACCTCGTTCCCAATCTTGAAACGACCTACTGACGACCCAAACTCTTACGACTCTCCTTATTCTCTCATCCAACCCCTAAATATTTCCTAAATCTATCAAAATATCGACCAAAAGCTTCATCTTTATATCAAAACGATCACCTAATGTTTATACAATCCTAATCCTGTCTAAAGACATACTCTGAAAAGATCTGTCTATTTACGCATCATTTAGGGCGATTTACATCCCGTCTACCTCTACTTTTTTCTTTGTTGTCTTTCATTCGCATCATCACTGCATTGCATATTATTTGGGGATTATTTCAATAGCGTCGAGCATACATATATTTCTGTATTCCTTAGACTTGGTTTCCGGAGCGGTGTTTTTTCTTTCTTTTTCATCTATTCTTGATACCTCAGTATATAACGGGTGGTTTAATTTTCGTTCAATTTAAATATCTTTTCATACCCTTCACCAAGAATCTCGATACCCTTCATGCAATTACATGTGCGCACCCAAAATGTACCTGTCCATAGACCATCAACCTCCCATTTTAACCGCCCGTCGGAATCTTAGTCATTTCCCGGGGGCTGATCCCAACATACAAGCCATTCGCCATCTTGCATGCATATGCCGTGAGGAAATATTTGGTGTCACCTCTTAACGGGTTCGCTCTATCGGATGACCCTAATAAGCCGCCTCAGTAATTGCCTGAGATTAATTAATTATATTAGATTACCGCTATCTTTGCTCGCTATATGTATGGATAACGAGGCCTTATGATACCAAAGTACATATATAATAACATGTGCAGGTAAACGGTCCTAGCTCCTGCAGGGTCAATTATCATCCGCATGCCCGCCATTAGGCTCCCCGTCACGGCCTTCTAGAAATCATGTTCTCGATGTGAGTTTTTTTGATCTGAACTTGTACCAACTGGTGCCAGGTAGATTTTATATGAAGTTTCCCTCCAAAAGATGGATTTCAGAATATTATATACAAATACATTGTAATACGTCTTTCCTTTTTTTTTTGGAAATGAAAGAAGGTCCTTCGCAGGACAGCATGGGTATTTTCTAACCCAGTAAGCAAGAAGTAAAAAAGGAAGAAGAAATAAGGGACAAATGCCCATCGCTAAAAATGAGGTATAAAGGATTTTGGTTTTATAAAACCAGTCTGTGAGTGCAAAGAGGCAGAATAGTAGGGGGAATAAAAGCATAGACGGCCGTGATGGTGCTAGACAAATGCACCATCAAGCTTGAGGGTATCGTAAGAAATGAAAGGATAATAATAAATTTCGAGAAGACGAATTCCTGAATTCGGGGAAAGCAGTCCAGAAGGTGGAAAGAGAAAAGAGAAAAAAACTCGATAAAGAAGCAGGAGTCGCTAAGATAATGACGAAGTTATAAGGTTTAACCAAATTCTGTGCTAGGATTTCTTGTCGAGAAGGGGGAAAAAAGGCAATAGCAAACGAAAGGAGCGGGAGACGCATATGGCAGTCTAGGTTGATCAAATAGCTGGTGAAGGAAGGAACCAAGAAGGAACGGTCAATCTATGGAAAACTTTTCCAAGTAAAAGCATTCATCGCTGAATGACGTTTTTTGTTTCTTTCTAGACGCCTGTGGCATCTTATTATGGTGCAGGTAGAGTATTTCAAACAGAGAAATGGTTTATATGAACGAAGGTGCTCTTTGGATTGAATCGAGTCTAGGATTCCATCTCGGGTCAGACCTCGATTCTGGTCTGTATTCTGATGGCGAGTGTTCGCTAGTTTTTAATGATTTTGAATCGCTGTCGGAGCCAATGTAGGTTATCTCGTAGTCGTGGCCATAGTTACCATCACCTCTAAACGGCCGAGAGTAGTGGGTAAATTGCGGGTCTAGAGGTGGAAAGCCCAGATTAGTATGTTGAGTATGAATGAAACTAAAATAACGTCTTACCATCGTCGTCTTCAATAATAGTAGCTTCAAGATCTGTCTTCGTGTTTGTGGTCACAGACACGGAAGTCGTAACAGTAAGCTCTACTGCTCCATCTTTCCCAATAACCTCGCGCTTTCCACCTTTCCCACTCCCGGCAGTACCCTCAGCAGATCTCCCGGACCGACCGGACTGGTTCGTTCGGCTTCGGTTCGTGCCGGATCGGTCTGAGGAGTTGACAAAGAGCGCTTTAATCGCAGGAACGCATGATGCAATGATGCCAATATTGACTTCTAGTAAACTCCAGGTTCCAGATCCATTGATAGCATTGGTATATGTGACGTCGCCGTTCGTCGAGTTTGTGACTTCGCTGGCGAGAATGATTCGATTAATCGAGGCGATGCAAGCAAAGAGACCTAGGGAGAATATTCCAATGACCCCGAGCCTAGAGCGAACGGGGAGTTTGAGTTTCCAGATGATAGGGACAGGAAGAAGACTGAAGGATTGATTAGCGGGTATTATACCTAGGTGCAAGATATGTAACTTACAGTGTCATAACGTCGGTGATAATAATGAGGATACCACCAGCGATAAAACTAGCCGACCGGTCAATGCACTCAGCACCGATCGGGTCATTCCAGTAGGCAATAGGCTTGCACTGGAAGATGATAGTCCCCAAAGATACACTGACGCACGCAAGATTGACGAAGAAGAAAGCAATCACGGCGTTTCGGAATATCAGGTGTGCTCTAACAGCCGACGAGCGGGAAGGAACCAGAGACCAGTAGAATATCAACAAAGAATTCCTAACGAGGAACAAAGCGATGGGGTATAAGAGTTCGCAACCCCAAAGCCACTGAAGATAACCCTTGAACTCGTCGTATGTAAGATCCCATTGATGAAGGGTACCCTTGCCAACTCTCTCATCAGAACCTATACCCTATTAGCTTGTGTGCGTACGTATGTATGCGTCGGTTTTCGGCGTCTTACCCAAGGCGAAACAACCTCCAAGTAGTACAGATACGATCTATAATTCAATACAATTAGTACCGACTATCGATCTCGCTAAAGTCAGAAAGTGGCACAGGCTACTCACGATAGCCGGAATCATAGCCCAGTCCTCGGGGCGGATTTTCTTTGTCACAAACTGTCGGCTATACAACCGAACAAGTACAAATGCAACAGAAACAGCTGTCATAACAATATAGGTTGTAACGTTCTTAAAGCTAACATTGTCGTGCGGAACTTCTTTTAGAACGAGGCTTAAAGCCTGAAGTGCAAGAACCGGCCCGAATGCCATTCCACCTTGCGCTAATACCGGGCCTAGAAGTTCGGTCACGTTGACTGGCGAGTCCTTTGCAAGAAGAAGATCGACTGTTTCCGCCATTGTTGTATTATGATATGGCCCGAGTGCCTGCGCCAGGAACCCCAACTGAAGGAGACCATTATAATCCGTCTCCGATAAACCCAAAGGATAACCAGTTGGGTTACCGGTACGGTTTGCTGCGTTCATACTGCGTCGTGCTTCGATAGAGGCTTTTATGTATATAAATCGGGATTCAAAGTCGTCGGTCGACTGCTACCTTGTGACCTTCCAACAACTGCATGTGCTATAACCCTTTAGCGGACGGAAAGTTGCCAGAAGTTTGGTAAAAGAAATAAAAGAAGGTCAGGTGCAATGCAAATATCCAAGTAATGTCCCACCCTTTTGAATATATTTAATGAAACGAGAGACAAAGGTTACTCGGATATCAGGGAAAGGGAGGGCCGAGAGGGAGGGGGAAGAAAGAAAGAACGCGAACGGGAGGACATCAAGCAGGATACATCTTCAACGGTATTGTTTCACATAGGGCCATCAGGTATTTATAAGGTACCAACGGCTGCTACCTTCTGCAGAGTACATTAGCTGGTTCCAGATTGCCTCTTGCCCAAATTGCTGCTGAGAACCAGATGGGGGCGTACGACTCGACCCAGATATTCTGATAGCAGATTCGCGATTGGACAATAGCGGAGGCGCCGTGCCGGGATTGGACAGTACCCACAGCGGGTTGTGATTTTCTGCAGCCCTGCTGGATACGTCCGGGCTTCTGCTAGTGATCTTTTTCATTTTTAAATTCTTGTCAAATTTCGAAGACTAGACAATGGGCGAGCAAAACTGTCATGCGCGAGATCTGATTAGCGGAGCAGTGAGACCTGGTGCGAATGCGTTGAACTGTTGTCGTTCAACAGCAGCCAGTCATCGCGCCAAGGAGGCAGTCTGGGCTTAGCAAGGTGGGGCCAATCAGTTTAAGCGGGACCCGACAGTTGATGGCAGAGCTTTCTTTGGAATCGAGGTCGCAGTTTGTGCATATGGGTGGCTTAAAATGCTGGGATTTAACCTTTGGGACCTGCTGAATTCCATGCCTTTGCCTTCCTAACAGCCCTCTCATGATCCCTAGCTAGCTAGTGCCGCTCTAGATTCACCTATCCGAATCTTCAATTCCCTGCGTCGGTGGATGATTCGTCGACATCAATGTTAATACCAGAAACTTTCCCTTGAAATCACACCACTGTATCCTTACTGAAAGAAGGCATCGAGCTGATAAATGTGGCCTTCTTCTTCTTCTTCTCCTCCTGCTCTTTTTGTTCCTGCGCTCCCTAATGTTTGAATTTTCCTAAATTCTGCCGCCCATCGGCTATATATCTAGATGTACTAAGCATTTGATCAGCACGGCAGGATTTGAATCAGACCTGCCGAAAGATGGCGAGAGGCGAATGCCTATCCTAACCGCCGCTTAGAAGGATTCGCTATCGATTGGATCTGATTGAAGGAAATAAAGCTCTGTTATCACTGCACTGTTAGGAGTTCCTTTGAAGCTGTCGGTATTGCCGCATCCGTGAGCAAGGCAGCTTGAGCTATCGAGGATTCGAGACATAGCTCCGGCATAGCATCCTCGGGCGTGTACTACACAGCTGCTGCACAGCCTATTATAAACCTAATCCTTGCCAGCATTGAATCGTTTGTCGTGGCGGAACAAGCTCAGCTAGCTAGCTGGCTTCAGTCGCGCGAATCTTTTTTTGGCTGTCCATTCAGGCAGTCCTGAGATGATGAAATCGTGCATTCGAAAAGGTGACTGATAGTTAGGAGGTACCAATTGAGTTAGAGATGCGGTACCTGGAGAGTATTTTGAGGTTTGGTCGTGATGTCATGATCATTACTTGTATGCTGAGCTGGTTTAATGTTGCGGTGAATCTGATTGCAATGGGCTGTGTGTTGTGTGTTGTGGCTATTAACCTCACACAACACATTCAGCTTCAGGCATGAACCGGAGCTCCCACGACGCGTCTTCCCTTCCTCTCGCACACCTTTCGTACCTAGCTCTAAGCTCCCGACCCAGCTTTGTTACCACACGTTTTATATCACCGCCACTATATCGCACGGCCCAAATAATCGCTCAAGCATGGATGCTATTGATGATTTCCAGACCAATCGGAAGAAGGGGAAGGCTCCAGAACGGCTCTCGATCTCAGAGGTTCAAATTCATGAACGAAAGAGACGTCGAATGTCCTCTCCGAAGAGCACGTCAACCGGAATATTCCCCGTCGACGTCTGGCATATGATTGCCGATTTCATTCCCGTGAGTTTCCCTCTTCTTTGCGGTTTAACTGGCTTAGAGGTTATTTATGGGCTGGTTGGTAGAACCATAAGAGGCTAAATGTATCTTCGCTGGAGTAGTCTCAAGACACTCAGACGCTGAGTGTTCTAACAAGGGTTTCGAAAACGCTTTACAAAACCCTTAGTGCAAGGCTTTATCGAGACTTGATTGTTGCCGCTCCATCTAATCGAAATTTCCCAGGGTGTATCAAAGTTCTGGATAGATATGTCTCGATATCCCAACGCGATTCGCTGCGGACAAATATTCCAAATCCAGGCCCAGGTCCTATATCTGCTCTCTTGAGCATTGCTACAACCATCCCCGAAAACACTGACCAAAACTTGGTGCCTTACTGTGCACGATACGTGAAGCGTTTGCTCGTGGGGTGGAGCAATCCTGGTCCAGAACGTCTTCCCATATTAACAGCATGCTTAGAACAGGCATTCGAGAATCTCACTGAGCTTGAGGTTTTGATGTAAGTATATGCATGCATATAATATTCCATGGTTATTTTCAAGTATTCTTGCCACAGTTGCTGATGCTGGACCTTTACAGATGGCTTGATAACCATATTTCATTTACGGGCACGATCGGCCAACGTCTAGCAAAGCTGAACCTAAAAGCATTTGCCTTCAATTTCTCTTGCCCACGGGGCCCTTCTTCGTTATCAAGTATTAAGAATTTGGTGTATTTAGATATCTTTCGGACTTACGACGGAAGTGGAATTAGGGACCTGCTCTGGCAGTCGAAAGACACGCTGAAAACTCTGATATACGAAGAAGGTGTTATCCCAGACTCTGATCAAGTCGATTCTCTGAAAGACCTTCTTCATGATGGTGAAGTCATCAGGTTGCCAAACCTTACCACTCTTTGTCTTAAGATAAATCGGCTCACTTTGCCTGAAGCCCGGTGCCTTCTCTCCAACATCAATTTCCCCCGTCTCACATATTTTGAATTTTCAACTTTTAAGAGGAATTTGCTTGCGGGCCAAGAAGATGAAGAACCATTCACCCACCAAGCTCTATTCGAAGCCCTATTCGAAGCGTACGGCTCGAACGTTCAGTCTGAGCGTCTTATGCTAAAAACATTCCGATTCCGATCCCAACTTCCTGTGTACCCAGACCGGTATTTCCTAGGGCTTCTTGGATCATTCTCAACACTGGAAACATTTATCTTTGAAGAAACTGGTGATAACAAAGGGGATGCAGGCAAAGAAGATGTAGATGGATTGCTTTCGGCATTATCCAGCCACAAAAACCTCGAGTGGCTATCTATTCACATCCCGTACTATACAGAAAAACGATGGCAATTCTCCCTCGATCACTTTACCAGATTACGCGATTGTTTCCCGGGACTAAAGCATCTGGCTTGCTCCTATGAACCTAAAAAGTCCACATCAAGGATGGGGCGCCCTATCTCGCTCGCGGAGCTCTATGATATGGAACCAGAAATGAAAGAACAACCAACTTTCAGCGTTCTCCCAACTATGACGAACCTCCTTTCCTACGCCATGCCAGGCATCCGTCAGACCAACGGATGGATGAGTATTTCCGGCGGAGCACGGTTGGGTGTAATACTCCACGAAATCATGCCGGAATTCCTTCGACAGCTGACAATCGGCGAAGGAAAGAGACCAGAAATACGGCGCTGGGAGGATAGATACAAACTATCAGTGTTAACGCTAGGGAGCATATCCTTCGAAATTAAGTCGGGATCCCCTGATGAGATGAAGGACGAGTATGAAGAGGTGTTCAAGTCTGCGGACGGGACTTTAGAACACATTTATGTTAGACGGATTCCTCCAGGACGGTTGTATGATGGGGATTATCCAACCGTAAATTCCATGAAGGCTGTCGAGTGGAGGGTCCGAAACTACAATGGGACGAGAGGGGACTGGCTCCAAGGAATTAAGCTGTAGATATTGACTAGCTATAGTTACCCTACCCACCTCATCATCACATGAAGTACATTACTATGTTGCAATATAGTGTAATAGAATATTCGTAATAATAATAACTATTCCCTCGAATCTCAAAACTAACAGATGTATGGATGTATGGAATATATAATAACAATAAGTACTTAAGAGGTATGTAAGTGCCTAAATATATGTATTATAGTAATAGTAGGCATAGCTAAGGTGGTCAAGATCGAGCCAAAGCCTTCGTCCAACATCCCGGAATCACATAAAAGCTTTAATTGGCAATTTCTGAATCGGGAAATGTTACACAGACAAACAATTTCTATAAGAACCCTCCCTTCAGTGGAATGCAGATCAAAATTAGTATCAGCCTCCTAAGGGAGGTATGTGTAAAGATGTAAAATGAAAATCTAGAAAATAGAGTGAATTATGAATGTAGCTTTTATAGTTTAGCATAAAATTATTAGTGGTTGTTTTAAGTACTAGTATCTGGAAGACTGCAAGTATACTTAGTAGCTTAGCTTAGGAACAGAATGGGCCACCCAATGGCAAATAAGAGGGCCAGGGTTAATTACTTAGGCACGTTGCAAGTAGTTAACCGACATGCGACATTTGAGTCATGCGTTTTTGCATATGCAGAAGATTGCTGGCTTCTCGCCTTTCCTTTCCCAGCTAGCAGCTTAAAGCTCCGCGAATTTGAATGTTGAATCAACTGCGAATAAACTGACGCAGACATTAATATTGGTACCAACAAGTGGCCACCGCGTAAGTATGTAACGTATGTTGGCTGCATTAATTGCTGACAGACAAATGCATCCCTCCCCCGCTTAAGCCCCCAAGAACTTAACACAAAGCATGCCTGGACCTTGAAAACGATGAGCCTTCTTTCCTCGTCATTTTTTCGTTCTTTAAAAAATACATCAGCGGAACCCCGTCAGCTGGAGTACTCGTAATTACGAGCAAAGCAGAGCGTTTTTTTTTTTTTTGACCTTTGTTACTCGAGGACCGCTATATACGTACTTATATATATACTAGTATATCATATCGATTGATTGAAAGCCGTGTCTGCAACTTTTGGCCTTGCAAGCTCGCCTGGATCCTTCTCGATCAAACTAGACTCCCGCATAATATCCCCGTCAGCCCGACCATTAGGCACTGCACATGTAACGGATCAATACACGGTTTCCCTATATATCCAACCCCACCCAGTACACGATCAAAGGCTTGAGGGTAAGGACGTCAACTTCCATCATTAATATTCTAATTAAACCTATCGATTGCAATATTGGAGGAATCAAATCTCGGAAAACAAGGCGGCAAGGGTGTTTGCAGAGGAGCACAACAAGGCTAAACTGAAGTTTCCCTCATTGCATTCCGATCTAGCACGCAACTGAAAACCAGTTCGTTAGCAAACTGCAGCCGCGCCGCTGTGCTGCCAGGCTTCGATTATTCGGAAATCCTCGAATCGAAGGTGCCATAGCATCAAAGTGTCAAGTGATAGATACTTAGAAAACTACTTCTTCTGGTCAATACCCTATTTCTTTCAAGTTCTTCTTTTATCTCTTTCTCTTTCTTCTTCTTCCTTGATATTTTACCCACGGTCATAAGGGTAAGCCAACTTCGCAACACATTGTGTCTTGTGTCATTTTGAAGTCCCTTAGAACATCTCGACTTCAGCGGAGAGCGAAGTGCCTTTAAATTTGTTTACCTGGCTTGCCCACACTGTCACCGTACTTGCACTAACCTTCACGCACCTGGTCAGCTGGCTTCTGCCACTATTTCCCTGTCCAGAAGAGAACTACTTCTATCCGTCTGCTCTCCATCCAATCAGTCCTCATCAACGGCTTAAATTCATCCGCCTCCGTTCAATTCAGTAAACGGTCTTCGCTCCGCCAACATACTTTGGATACTTGAGTAGCTAGATATAGCTAACTCTACTTTTGAAGGGCTTTTATTGTCATCCCCATCATGGCGATGCTATCGGATCCTGACCAGCGAGGGGCGACTCTCAACCTCCTACGAGGACCTCCAGGTACTTCTTCATATGCCGGCAGCGAGGCTTCAGTAGAAACTGCAACCGCTAGTTTTGCTACCGATTCAACTATCGGCGACTACTTCCGAGAATCTTCTACTTTTTCTCAATTCAATTCGTCATCTCCAATTCATGCTCAAGTTCCAAGAGAACCAGGGAACACTCTCCCATCAAATCCTTCTACAAATACACCCCTCCCTCTTCTTCAGATGACGGGAGGTGATACTCTCATCTTCATAAGTCCACCACCATCTACTATCACTCCAGATATAGCTTCCAGGAGATTTGGACGATCTAATACACCGTTGAGAGTCCGTTCGGATACACTTCTCTCTACAGGGTCCCAGGTCTTCGTTCAGCTACTCAGTCCTTCCATGCAAAATCGTCATATCACCCGTCTAGTCAAGCAAAAAAAAATATTTCTAAATGATGGCAAGCTACCCCTTGGCGTTCAATATGTCCTTGACCTGACACCCGAGGACGAAGGAGAGAAGGCTGTCGAATGGCAAGAAAAACTTTGGTGTCCCGATGTTGTCCTTCGATGGAAATCCAACCTAGTCGACTATTTTGAGGTCCCACCAGTCACAAATGAAGATATGATAGCCAGGAACCTAGAAGAATTCCGTCAGAAGGCATGGGGAGACAAAATGCCAGCAATCGAAGGAGAAGATGGTTCTCCAACGCAGCCATTAATCCCTCCTCCTCCACCACCCAAAAAGGAATGTCTCCCGGAGCCATACTCCTTCGGACGTCATGTTTTAGCATTGGAGCGTTTGATTCACATTATCCATGGTAGCGATCCTCTCGTCCAGACAACCGTAGATTGGTATACTCTCCACTGCCTTTCTGTGGCTTTCGGAACTACAGATGCGACTAGAGATTACGTCGCTCGATGGATTTTCTCGAACTCTCTCATGATCGAAACACACCCAGCTTTCATCATCAGAATAGCTGCGGAAGCCGGATTGGCTACTATTGCCTCTGACGCCTTTGCAGCAGCTGCCATGCGTGCTTCATTCGATCCAGAAGAAACGGCACAAGTCCCTGGAGCAACAGAAGCAGCTATTTCCCTTCTCACTCGGGCACAAAATGAGCTCAAGAATATTTTGAGCATGGACTGGATCGATCAGTATCTTCCTCCAACCTCAGAAGCTGATAAAAGCTTCTTTGAAACCTTCCGGTTGTCTTTAAGAAGCTATATATCCAGACGTATGAAACAGTTGGGCAATCTAGAGCTTGTTGGTATAACTGATGGGGAGCTCGAAGACAGAGCTGTTCAAAGGATTACATGGGTGAATTTAGGTGAAACGAGCCTTGCTAGCGATAACTCAAGCTTAGCGCCTTCAACCGTCGACACGCCGGCCCGATTCGACCTGGAACAGGCAATCCGTAATTGGGGTCAATGGGAAGCATCTGGCGAAGGAGCTAGCCATGAAGTTGACGACCTATGGAGGGATGTCAAATCAGGAGCTCCCCACTATCCAATACCATCCGTCACTCAACAAACCTCAACGCAAGAAAGCGGAATCCACCTTGGAGTCATGAGCTATGAGGATGATGCAACCAGCGAGGTCATTAGCAATAACGGAACGGAACTTGCAAGCCAAGATGATGACGTCAAAAGCATTAGCAGCACTCACACCATCAACATAGCCATGGGTGCCCTTAAGACTGAAAACGATAACTCCATCTTCCACGATTCCTCTCAAACTTTAGTTGAACCTCAAGCCTCTGTCGACCCTTTCCAAACTGGTCCCTCCAACTATGATGCAGCACCAATTGCTTCAACTCAACCCTTACGGGACATCCTCGATGTCCAATCACAATCAACTATCGGAATCAAAACGGAAGATAAAGATGAGAAGTTTTATCAGTCAGGTTATCTGACTCCACCAATAGCAATCAAGCCAATCATCAAAACCTCCACCCCACTGACCCCCCTCCAAAGCTCCGATGCAGAGACCCCACTATGGCTCCAGGAGCAACTGATCACCCTGAACAAGCAGAATAGCCCTGCCCACTTCTGGGCAGTCATGCACCACCCATCCCATGACATCAATAGGCCTGCAGAACCCCGTATCCGCTGCGCGGACTGCCCAGACATGTTATACTTCCCAGGTCCCGGTGCGACATTAGAAAACTTTCGAGTACACCTTCGCAATATCAAACACTTGAGTAGGGTCGAAGCACGAAAACACCACGAAAATGCATATGCACAACTCTCCGACTACGGAACAGAGCCTTATAGAAAAACCGGTTCGTTCGAACAATCAAAAGTCGAAATTGAGATCCCATTCAGTCTCCTCAATATCATTCGACTCTGTGAAACATATATTAAGAGTAAATGTGCAGAGATGGCCGCCCGCAACATTGTCTTCGAACCCATTATTCTCGAAGAGCAACTTGCCTGTTTGGAGGATCCAGAAAGAGCATTTATGCCGGTTTGGTCTGGCGGCGAAGCTGTGGGTGGCACTAAGGGTGTACCGCATCGTGGTATTTCAGACCAATCGGCAAACGATGATATGAGCGTCAATGTTAGCACCGTCGGCGTCGGAAGCGTCTGTACAGCTTCTACATTTTCGACCACAGGCAGTTATGTTGATATCGAGACACCTAGTGCTAGTAGCAGCGGCAGTGTCATCAGTTTATCCGAGAGCGGTGATGACGATGACGCGGCTATGTCTGCTCCGGGTGAAGGAGACGATTGGGTTATGTCTGATGGTGATGATGAGGATTTCGAAGTTGACGATGATGTTTATTTCTCTTAAGCTCTTTTCAGTCCCTTGCCAGAGAACGAGGTCGTCTCCTCTTAAGGATCTTTAACTATCAACTATTCATTTTTTCGTCTTTTGTAGTCGGTATACGTGGCGGCGGCGTCGAGGAGTGGAGCTTTACGAATGGGAAGGACATATGTTGTTTTTCTTCCTTAGTAAACAAATCGGTCGATACGAAAAACAGAATATGGTTCCTTCTGCCCTCTTTTTTATTATCATAATTTCTCCAATAAGATTTCAGAAGTTTCTTTTCCGCCATGCTTCCCTATTCTTCCTTTCCTTTTTTGTCTGCCATATTTCACATAACTCCATTATTTTCGGTGTGCTATTCCTCTGAATATTTCGAATTTCGAATCTCGTATCCTTTAGTTCATCTCGGTCGTTCGTAACCGCTAAGGTACATGAAAACTTTGACTGTTCTCCAATAAAAGTATTGTTCGAGTCTACAGATCGAGCAAGGTCCCGTAACTAATTAAATTCCTTGGAACAAACCTAACTCGAGGCTCAAGCTTATAAGAATTGGTTCCGAAACATCTCTCCAAACGTTCAAGGCTCCTTCTAAAACCCCAACTGTTGCAAAATGATTAAAGCAACACAATTCCAGCCGATCAACGTCCGTGCCCTCGAACAAATGTAACCTTTCGGCCTCCCACATTTTAGCTTCCTCACGAAATCGTAATATCTAGCCCCGATATATTGCTTTTCAGCCAATATACAGTAGTAGCCGAAGGAGAACACTGAAAGCAAACATTAGAGCGGGAGGGGCCGCGCTAAATCATTTGATTATAGCTCCAATACCATGGATTTAGCCAACCACACCCAGTAGATCCACGGAATGTCAATATGCTTTTTCGTCCGGGGTTTTATATCTAGTGTATCTACTGTATCATAACCCACATTTACCGTTCCAAGGATTCTCGTAAATAGTGCCTGCATAGACGCACATACCTCTACCGATCGCCGAGGGCCGAAAATATATTGAACTCTATCTCTCGAGTGGCTTTAAAGGCAAAAGTGTAAGAGTTAGTAGTTGGGATGAATACTAAGAATAGATGATACACACGATTCCGCTGGCTAAACTTTCAACCTCGGTATTTGCAGGTACTATCATTTGTAAATTAATAATGGACCGAGCCGAGCTAGATGATGCACAGGTCTAGATAGTTATGGGGCTAGTGGGGGTTGTGCTTCAAGTCTTGATTGAGAATAAAATAAATACCGTCAGTCCACCCATGTATGATATCTACCACTATCTTCAAATTTCAAAGCTTTTCACCCTAGCAAGCAAGCAAGATATCCTAAATCATCTTTTCAATTCTTAAGGCCGGTCCTTTCTTTTCTATATACACACATTCAGACCAAAATTTAAAGTACTATCATCTCAAAAAATGTACCTCCCAACTATCCTTCTCCTTCTCTCAGCTACAGCCCCCCTCACAACCTCCCACCCCACCCTCCTCATCCCACGGCAATCCCGTACAACCCGCAACGATCTTCAAAATGGATCCGCCTGCAAACCATTCACTTTAATCTTCGCCCGTGGCACCACCGAAGTCGGAAATCTTGGGACCGTGGTGGGACCACCTCTCATCAGCGCATTAGGACGTGTACTCCCCGGAGGAGCAAATTCCTTAGCTGTACAAGGTGTCAACTACCCCGCTAATGTTGCCGGGTTTGCTGTGGGAGGAGATAGAGCTGGGTCGAGAGATATGGCGGCGTTGGTCAGTGGGGTTTGTGAGGGAAGTAAAATTATTTTGGCCGGATATAGGTAATTTTCTCCACAGGCCCATTTATTTTATTTGTTTAAGGTACACAATTCTAACATTGATTTTTTTCCCTTTCTTTTTTTCTTTTAAAAAAACATAGCCAAGGTGCACAGTTAGTCCACAATGCCATTCCTCAGCTTCCACAAGCTGCAGCGAATAAGATAGCTGCGGTCGTTATGTTTGGGGATCCAAAGAATGGAGATGCTCTTGGAAAAGGAGCAGATGCCAAGTCAAAAACCTTTTGCAATGCGGGAGACTTGATTTGTCGTGGACAAGCAGTGATTTTAGCGCCTCATTTGACTTATGGATCTGATACGGGCGATGCGGCGAGGTTTGTAGCAGGCTTGTCTGGGAGGTAGACCACTTTCGCTCTGCAGCTATCTACAGTCTTTGGGGTTCGAATACGCGTAGACACAGATATATACATATATGACGGAGCTACAAGTATAGGTATCTAAATTAGGTCCTATTTCGTGGCCTGAGAAGCGCTCTCGAATTGATAGCTAGAATATCCAAATATCGAACTGACGACAAGGGATGTAAGTCATGAGCTCATGAGGAGGCTGTGATATATTCATACTAAAAACATAAAATTTATATAATTGTGTATTCTAACAAATAGATAGACTGAGCGATGTAACTAAATCCTCCAGATTCAGTTATTTAAATGTCTCGCCCTCAAAACCAATAACCCAAACTATCATTCAAAAATGAGTCCTGATAATCAAGATATGTATCGATCGCATCGATCGGAAGTTTTGAATAAAAGAAAGAGAGAAAAAAGAGAAAAAATTAACCATGCAAGAGTAGAGAATGCCCTGTAAAGATTTAAACTCCAAGAATTCAAGAGGAAAAAAAAACCCCCTTTCGCCAACCTTCCTACCAAGCACGAACTCAAGAAAAATCATCCAAGTAAAGATATTACACATCAAAATACAAACCACCCTCCAAATGCATTAAGGATCATAAATTAATCCCTTCCCGCAACCTGCATTTGCACATTCTCTTGCTCACTCTGCTCATACGACGGCGGTAAATCATCCGGGTCATGCTCATCAACAACTTGTCTCCTCTGCTCGAATGCCGCTGGGTGGTTATTATGATGATTCGGTGGCGGCTGCTGATGTTGTGGTGGAGGAGGAGGAGGAGGGGGCTGGTTTGAATAACTCGCCGAAGTACTTCCATCTCCAGGTCTAAACACTGCCGGTCCTCCCCTCTCCTTCTGTTCTTTATTCCCTCCCTGTCCGCCACCGCCACTTCCACTCCCACCGGTAGCGGTAGTAGGTCCCGAAAACCCTGTCATACCTCCTCTCTTCCTTGCCTCTTCCTCCTCGGCCCTCACCTCCTCCTCCGTCAAATTTCTCAGCCCGGGCACCTTCTCAAATCTAACATCCACACTTCCCGTTTTAGTTGTAACCTTCATAGTACTAAACTCCTCCCCTTCTCTCGGATTCCCTCTTAACGCAAGTACCTGCCTTTCCCTTGTATTCTGGTTCACAACATCTCTTACTACCACCGCATCACCAAGTTTGTATGACCCGTGGGTTATTGATAGTTCAATCGTACCACACCAATCGTCCGGGTATATGGCCTTTATGCTACCCGTCATTGTCGTATGTGACGAGTCTAGCATGAATGGGCCGAGGGAGGTGGAGATGGTGATATGTTGTGAGCCGGTATTTGTTTGGGTGGTCAATTTTCTGAATAGTTCGGTACTAGGGGTCGGGGAGGGTACGATATCTGCCTTTATCGAGCCTCTGTTTTAATTATGTATCGTTAGAAACCTACACGTCTTGGGTCTTAAGTATATGAGAACTAAAAGGGAAAATACTCACGACATAGTAGATATCGACACCGACTTCTTCAAATTGAACGAGTTCTTAATAGCCTGAGTCCAGACTTGGACCACAATCTCATCATCCTTCGGAAAAGCTGGTATCGTTGGTCTCGCACTCTCACTGCCGTTACTGCTACCGCCGCCGCCGCCGCCAAAAGGCGACCAAGCGGGAGCGGCATGGTGGCCAGGACACGGCGGTCCACCCCAAAATCCCATATTCATGGGCGGCACACTCCTCATAGCCGATTCAACGCTATTCCTCACATCTGCGACTATTTTACCCACATCGACGGGGATCTGAGAGTATGCATTATATTGGTTATGATAACCGTTGTTGTTGTTGTTCGAGTTCGTACTGTTGTTGTCTGACGGTGGGGGCATTTGGTCAATCTTTGATCTTCGATATATATATCTTCCGTGTATGTATTTTGAGTATGAATATAAGTTATGAGAGTTATTGAAGCTTCTTCAAAATCATCGGTCTTGATCGTTTCCAAAAAAAATCGTAATCACTAAACAGCTGCAAGGAGAGGGGGCTCTCGAACTTTATATCCCAAATCCACGGTGCAGAATACCTGCTAGGGCGGGGTTGGATGCTAGTCAGGCAACCACCCACCAAACGACGTGGAGCCCGCCGTACCGATTAGCCCCAAATTTGAACTCAGTTTTTCTTGAATGATAATAGCATGCATGAGGCTGACCCAAGGCCGACCGACCGACCGACCAATCTGACAAGCTATAGTCCTGTGGTGGAACTGGTAAACCACAACCGGGAGAACGCGTAAGCCTCGTGTTCCTTGCACGCTGCTTACGTCAATCACACATATACCAACGTTTTTTGCTTCGAGCTCAAGAAGGAGGCCTCGTCAGCGACTTCATAATGTCATTAAGGGAAGTAAATTATGGTGGTCCCAGGAAATTAAGAAAATATGGAGAACAAGTTGGTTTTGGAAGGCGGTTTCCAGATTGCTTCATCACAAATCACAACGTTGTGCTTTGATTTGGCTTCTCGGCCAAAACTTCAGCACATTCATAAATTCTTGCTTGATATACAAAGAAATGAAGGAAATAAGCAGAGAAGAAGAGAAAAAGGAAAACGATTCGCCCCGAATTAAACAAAGTTTGAAAATCGAAGGGAAGAAATAGAGTTGAGAAAAGAGGTCCCAAACGCACAGAAAAAAGCCCAAGAAACCCTTGCCGAAGGAAAGAAAGAGATAGCTCTAACAAATGGACCATAAAATAATGACAAAGGAAAATAAGGGGGGGAAAGCAATTCAAGATAATATCAAAGGCCAGAGAAATTTACATATATAATTAGGAAACCGAAATCATTAGGAATAAAAGGAAAGGCATGATAAGCAGAAGGGAAGAAGAGTAGGTCGAATTCAGAAGGAGAGGGGTATTCAGGGTTACTAATATCCAGCGTCACCAAGCTCTCGTGCCAAAACCCTGACGTTATCCACAAATCCTCTAACCAAGTCTTGGAAGCCATTGGGTTTTCTTTCCACAATTAGCCTCCCTTGTTCGCGCACCCTCCTCGCGTCAATTTCAATCTCTAGCTCATGTTCCTTTTTTGGACCCTGCGGTGGCCCGCCTCCTGCAGCCGCGGTGACCTGGGTCAAGTCCACACTAAAGCATAGGTGCTGATAACTTAAGCGATCCTTGTTCCTCTCACCGCCACCTTGGGGCACAAGTCTGTCAATATCACCCTTCCATGGCATTTCCATGTTGACACTGATACGCCAGTCAAAGGCCGTTCGTGGCGAGAATATGTTAAGATCGGCGATCCTAGCTTTTACGATCTTATTGAGAACTCTCCCTGTCTTTTGGTCGTGCGTAACTCGCAACTTAACCCGAGAGCGATGGGCGGGGACTCGCCTGACGCACATTGGGAGCTGCTCTTTCACTTCATCAGTTAATTCGTAAAATGAGTCACGTTCGCGTAAATGTTTGTATGTGAGCGGGATACGGGGGGTAGTGATAGCCGGATAATCTCCTCCCGATGGCTGTTGTGCTTGTACTTGTGCTTGTGCGGCCTGTCGCTGGGAGTCTGCAAAGGTGCGATTGAGAAATTCGTTCATTCGTTTGTGTTGGAGCTGTCAAGACATATTGCGTTAGTACAGAGCATTAGCAGTAGAAAAGCTTGGGAGTGACCAGAACTGACCTCGGTCATACTGCTCTTGAACGCGACTTTCAGGTTTGGGTCATCGGAGTCAAGAACCGTCTCAGTCTTCACAGGCAAATAGAGTCGTTGTCTCGTATTATGATCAACTAGGATGCCGATCTTCGCCTCGATTTCCAGTTGCGGCCTATCGGGGTCATCCAATTGGAATTCCTGATTGTCGACGACGTGAATAAAAAGAAAGTCGCAGATATGCTTTGTAAGCTCCTCGTATGGTTGTATATTTGTAATAGAAGGCTCCCAGGGCCCTAGGACGGTGGTCGCAGTCGATGTTTTAGCAGCATTAGGTGACGGTCCCTGCTGCTGCTGTTGCTGCTGTTGGGATTGGGGTGGCTGTTGCTGGGACATTTGAGTATTTTGTGCTTGCTGAGACGGGTTTTGCAATTGTGGTTGCAGTTGAGGTTGCGGTTGCACTACTGGATTCTGAGGATTGTGTGGTGGCTGGGGTGGTGGTGGTGGTGGTGGTGGTGGTGGTAGTGGTGCTGCTGCTGGTGGTGGTGCTGCTGCTGTTACTGCTGCTACTGCTAACGGAGTTAGAGGTTGCTGCTGGGACATTGCCGACGGGCCTGGTGGAGGTTGTCGCCTATTCTGAATGACAGGGCTGCTAGATGAACTTCTCGAGGCCTTTCGTGCAAAGATAGGTGGCTCATCATGACGTGGTCGTTTCCTTGAAGGGCCAATGGGTGATGCAGCTGACCCAGGTTGGGGAGGTTGGGCGTTGAGCGGAACTTGAATCTGGCCCGGTTGCGGACGTGCAGGTGTCGGAAAGGAATTCCTCTTTGCGGGTGGAGAAGGCTGTTGTTGGCCTTGCTGTGACGTTGGCGGTAGGGCTGCCATTTGGGTGCCGGGCTCCTCCTTAATAAGTGGCTTGCCTCCAGCATTCGATGAAGATTCCTCCATATTGGAAGGTGGTCCCATGTTTAGATGGCTAGAGGTGAGGCTTTGGTCTTCAGGAGCAAGATGTGGTGGAATTTCTGAGTCGAAGCCATTAACTTTCTTTTCTGTTTTCACCTGCCCTTCTTGTGCCCATTGTGGAGTTGTTTGCTCGCCATTTGGCGGCCTAGCGTCCGAATTTGAACGGCTATCGATATCCATCTTCTCGCTATACCCCATGGAAGGGAAACGTTGTGGCGATGGCGGGGGGTGTCGAGGCGAAGGTAGCCCCATTGTTTGCGAACCGTGTGTAGGCGTGGGCGGCTGGCTCCGCTGTCTCTGCCCTTGCTGCTGCGATTGGCTTGGAGGTTGTCCTTGTTGTTGTGGTGGTGGGAAGCCAGGGGGAGCCGGTGTTCCTGAATTCACCCTTTGACTGACAGGACTCTGGCTCAAAGAGTAGTTCTCGTTGGTTCTTCCAGCTACCCAGTCTTCTTTTTGTCCGCTGAGGCTTTCTTTCCGATCGTCTATGTACATTGGCACGCGAGTTTTCGGACTGACACTGAGATCCCTTTCACGTTCGCGTTCCCTATCAATCCTGTCTCTTTCACGTTGTTCAGTTTGCATTTCCTCAAGCTCCTTTTCACGTTGACGCTCCGCGAACATTCTTTCTCTGACCCTCCCATACCCTGCCCCGCTGCCCGGACTCATAGCAACCCCTCCCCCTCCTCCCCCTCCTCCATGAATCGGTGAGCCTGCCATCGAAGGTGGATTTGGTGTTGTCGGAGTATGTGCGTGTGGGTGTGATGGTGGAGGCGGTGGAGGCGGCGGTTTCCCTCTTTGCTGCTGCTGCGATTGCTGCGGATGCTGATGCTGGGGGGGTAGTGGATAGCCGGGACCTGGCGTTCCCATCGGTGACATTGAAGCAAATTGATTGCCGTATGGACTCCCATAAGACGTAGCACTGGTGGGTGTTAATTGTTGCCCACTTCCGGGGTGGTGGCCGCCAGGTGGTCCAGTGAATGGACTTCCTCCTCCAGACTGCGCGCTGAGGGGGTGTGGGGTATTGTAGGGACTCGGGCTCTGCACGTGGGGGCCGTATGGATGTTGACCTTGCGAGTTGCTTCTAGCCGAAGGCGAGGGAAACGGATATCCAACTTGAGAACCGCCGGAGCTCTTGCGATGGTGAAAAGGTGCACCGGGCTGAGGCGCATTAGCATTAGAGTGAGGTTGAAAGGGACTCTTGGGTGGTTGCAGCGGCGGCGGGGCAGGTCGGCCTTGTCCTGCGTTCCCATAGTGATGGGGTGGGGGAGGATGTTGCGGGTGCTGCTGTCCAGGGTATTGCTGCTGCTGCTGGTGATGGTAAAGATTGGAGGGGTTCATGTTTTGGGGCGGGGCATTTGGAGGCTGCTGGATGGGCGATTGCTGGCGATGATAAGGATGCGAAGGCGGCTGCGGAGGAAGAGGGGTATGAGGTTGATTCCGCGCGGCTCCACCGCCTGAGTCGTTCATGATACTGCGAAGATCCATCGTGACGCTTCCCGCGGTGGAGGAGGAGGCGCCAGGACTCGGCAAGAAGGAAGAAGCCGAAGGCGGCTGAACGAGGGGAGGGCCAGCGGCGGAGGTATTGCTAATACTAAGGAAGGTCGTAGTTGAAGGGGAAGGCAGAAAGGTTCTAGGTGGGAAGAGCGTCGAAGATGATAGAGACGACAATGGTGATGATGAAGATATCGAAGCGAAGGCCGAATCAACGTGATCGATATCCCTATCTGTGTCTATCGCCCCCACCGACTTGAAACTGAGCCTCCGAAGTAGGAAAATTTTCGCGGGCGATGAAGGAATGGATTGATATAAAAATTAAATTAAATTGTCAAGGAGAATAAAAAAAAAAAAAAAAAACNAAAAAAAAAAAAAAAAAGAGGTAGAGTTGTGGTCGGGTTAGTTATTATTGGAATGGTCAGAATCAGAACGTTGCTGAAACCAGAATCAGAATCAGGCAGAAAGTCCAAGGAGAAAGAGAAAGAGAACAGAAGCGAAAGGTCGGTATGGAGGCGTGGGATCCGCGCGGTGCGGTTAGGAAGTTGAAGCGAGATAGGCCTGGAGTTTGCAGATATGAAGTAAACCAGTGCAAGAAACTGTGGCATGCATCGAGAATTGAGGAGAAGACAATGTCGAAGTCGAGATCAAACCAATGGCTCTGATTCTGGCCGTGTCGTTGAGAATTTTCTTTTTTGTCTCCTGTCTCCTCCCCTTTCCCTTTCCCTCTCCCTTTCCCTTTCCCGGTCCTTTTTTCTTGTCGTGTATTAAGTTCTCTTTTCTCTCTTCCTTCTCTTCCTTTTCCCTTTCAGGAGAAGAGGGCGGCTTGTCGGAGGAGGGCGGCAACAACAGTAGCCTGACAGCGACGAGGTTGTAGTGAAGCTGACGGTGATAGTGTTTGATAGCGATGATGGTGGTGATGAGAATGATAGTTTTCAGCCATACATCCGGTCTGGAATGGAAAGAGAACGCGTGCGCGCCAGGGATCGAATCACAGCCGAGGGAAATGTGCAGGACGTTTTGAACGACGGTAACAAGGACTCTTCGGGGCTACTGATAGATATAACAATAGTACTTGGCCCGAGATAGAAGATACGGTCGATAAATTAATGATTTGTCGTAAACTAGAGGAGGGTGAGTATGTCGGTGATGATGACACTGATGTTGACGTTGATGATGGTTGGAGGCTGATGTTGACGTTGATGTTGATGTTGACGTTGACGTTGATGTTGAAGTTCAGAAGTCGAGTCCAAAACTCAAAAATTACCACAATTGCGATGTACTTCAATATTAATCCACTCGTTTGACATATGTCGATAGCAACGACGACGAATTCCAAGATTTAAAAATAAGGATCATGGGTATAGTATACTCCGCTGTATACATACATGCAAGTAATATAATGACCAATGTAAGTACCAAGTACTAGTATAAGGAGGAGAAGTACTTATAACAATACACAATTACCCCGTATATACCTATGTATATCGTAAATGAGGAGTAACTAGCTTTACTGTTCTAGAAACAACAGAGTAGCTATAGGCAGAAAAGTGCAAAGGCGGTAAAAGAGGTCAATCTCCTCCCATCATTAACTTCCAGGAAGAAGGGGGAGTCTAAATATATGTCAGTATATAAAAAATAAATAAAAATGTGGCCGCGGACTAGTTCATGGCTTTAAAGCTTTTCAGGCTAACAGTTTAGCAATTAGCAGTCAAAACCAATAGCCAACAATCTATATTATACCTATAATACAGTTTTTTGTCGATGCTTGAAATTGTCTTACGCTTACTATATATATATATGCACAGGTCTAGATTGGCTTACATCTATGCTGAGTTTTCCCAGAGTCTGTCATGTTGGATTCGATTCGAAGAACAGTCTAGATGAGCCCTATCTGCATCGATTCAATTATATTCTAGCTAGCCCCCGTTTTTCTTTGACAGCCCGCAAAAGTTTTGTGCATGACGCAGGTCCACCCACGAAAAAGATACCCACCTCCCGAATTCACTGGCGAGACCAATCGTGAGGAAGAAGGGCCCACATTACCCGAAAAACCCAGGCGGAACCAACCCCACTGGCATTCGCTGTTTCGGTGAGAAAGTTTCTGCTGAACTACTAATGAGGTGACCAGGCAGCAATCAGCACACGTTTCAGTTTCAACCAGCTATGTAGTTCCCATTATCTTAGTTGAGTGCAAAGCCTCGTTTAAAGAGCGTTTGTCAAGTCAAAGTTACGACAACCTCAGTTACTAGAATCAGAATGGGTCAATACCTTTGATATCGTGAAAAGTAGTGAGAATAAACAAATTTTACTGGTATCATGCGTAGGTAGGACGCGTCAGTACTTTGCCCACTCCAGGCGGGGCGAGGAAAGAAAAAAAAGTTCTTTCATGATGGCGGTGGCGGTGGAGCTCATCGATCGCGGTGGGTCTCTCGAAGTCCCAAAAGAAAGTTGGTTTTCTTTGTTCAAGACCCACTGACACCAAAAAATACCACACGTCACAACAAATGTACGTTCCAACAATGCCAGACCGGCCACCGGTCATCACGACCCAACATACATCCAGTAGACATAACGCGCCAGGTTCAATTAATTAGAAAGAAAAACAATGAAGAGACGAGACCTCTCTCATAATATCTATGAACACACTTGTTATTAGATATACCTTTTGAATCGTCACCAGGCGCGGCCTTTAAACCTCTTTTCGTTTCTTCTGTGACTCAATTAGCGTATACATCTCTATCATTCAACAGCTTGTGGTATACGCATATCAGCCCCTTGGGAATTTTATAGGCTTCATATATCATACTACCCCTCTCAACCGCAGAGTAATGCTCAGAGGCGGCCGAGCGCTCTGGACATGGACCTGAACAAACATCAACGGAAACATCCACCGAAATCTACTAGGTATGTTCATATAACTACAGTCTACCTTAAATATAACTCGGCATCTAGTATTATTTACCATCGATAGTATCATATCTAACTCTCATAATCCCTTGGAAACAAAAAGTGGTTCAGTATACCAAGTTCCCAATATTCCCTCCGACTCTTTCCCATTCACGGTTGGATCGGCCCAAGAACCTTTGCAGCCAAACCCAGGACCCTGTTTATTCAAAAACAGTATTCTTCCGAAATACAGCTTTAAATCTCTCCATAGACAGCCAATAGATCCCGAAGCTTTAGGAGTATCATCTATGGGGGCACTCAGGAGTAGAAAATGGAATGTCCAAGCTGAGCCCGTAGAGGCTGAAGAGGAGGAGGAGGCTGAAGGAGAGGAAGAGGAGGAGGAGGAGGAGGAGGAGGAGGAGGAGGAGGAAGAAGAAGGCAATGTACTCATGGGAGCTACTGGAAGATATAAACGTCAGGAATCAAAGAAAAGAGGTGTCTCCCGACCCCACGAGAACTATCCGATCACTGACTCCAACAGCCAGAAAACGGGTCTTAGGGTCATTACGAGACCAGACCAGCAGGGTCATTTTCAGCTTTTTAGAAAGGTTTCATCCACATATATTCCACTATTATCAGCCTCTAGAATTGAAAGAGGGACATACTACTAACTCTGCTCTCTCTTTCCATCAGTTGCTCGCCCCCTTTCAAGACGATAAAGATCCAAAGGGAAAAAATTCCAAACCATCAATTATGGATTCTAAAGGTCCGTTGATACTACTCACCCTCAATTTGTTAAGATAAAAACGCCTAGCCTTCTACGAATTCAACCAAATAACCTAAAACTCGTGTTAGGCAAAATCCCACCACTTCTCGATGAGAGAACAAAAGTTGGTAGTATGTTTGCACAGACAATAGCTCTCTCGTCCGCTGCCCACAGTTCTGGACCAGATGGAAAACCACTTTTCGATCACTGTACGCTTTCTTCGCCCCTCAAAGCCGAGCCGCCGGTAAAAGGATATCTTTTTCTAATATGTAGTAATACTCAAAACAGACAACATTAATGAAGCCAACGCCCGAATTTTGAATATGCTCAGTGGCTCGCCAGATCAACTAAGGCAAGCAAAGGAAACAATGAAAAATTGGGGCGACAACAGCGTAAGAAAAGATATTTCCTTAGATTCGGCCTCCAATGATCTAGGGAAATGAATCCCGTATTAAGTCTGATACTAACGAAGCAACCATCAAATATAGCGCCAAGTCTCATTAAACCTCAACAGAGCGCCTGATGCTCCACTCCTTCAGGGACGACATAGCCTTTGGGTCCAGCGTACTAATACATCAAGTGGGATGTTTCTACGGAGAGAAAGCCGAGAATATTGTCCTGAATGTGCGAGGTCAATCCCTGTCCCTGCAGCTCGGGAAGTAAGTCCTCTGATAACTTTACATCCATTGATTGACAATGAATATAAAGTAATTAAACAAACATCCTTTTAGACAGCAGGAAGATATCGTCTTTGCCCTCATTGGCGTGAAGTAACTGGGTCAGGGTATACAGAAACTACACACGTTAGCATTCCAAATCCAAAATTTAAAGCCCTAATCAGTACCCCTCGAAACTACTGACACCCCAGATCACTAGGCATTTGGCGGCTCTCAAAACTGCCCATTCTGTGGAAGAGCCCGTGGAACTCAGGTACGTAGATACAACCTTACCTACATCACCCCAACTATCATTATCAACATCCCCCTTTCTAACAGTTCCACTCTTTTCCGAGCCATAGTCGACACGACACTCAGACGCCTGTCCCTTCTACATGCCCATAGGCCCTAGCACAACTGCAGACGAATATGACGATGGCCTAGCCGGAGACGACGATTTCAAAAAGCTTAGGGCAGATCCTAAAGCCTTTGACGACCCTACGACTACAGCTACGATGCCAGCTCCTGCCCGAGCTGCCTCAGTGCCACCTGAGGGACTCAACCTAAACGTAGGAATTGTTGGCGACGACGGCTCCGAGTATTCAGATGAGGATGACAGCGGGCCCGATGATGATTATTGGAAAATGAAAGATGCACCGAAATCCGTCCCACCCCCACCACTACCACCAGGCCCAAAGGAGAAGAAGGGAGAGAAACCTAAAAAAGGAGTTGATAACAGAGCCGATAAAAAAGACGATAAAAAAGACGATAAAAAAGAAGATAAAAAGGACGATAAAAATGACGATAAAAAGGATGGTGGGGAAACTCCCACAGTGATTGTTGTCACTAATGGCGTAATGCCTCAGGGGCATCTTCGAGCACTCGATGCGGAAGACCAAGCCACCAATTCTCTACACTGTACCCAAGCCGCAAATGTCATAAAGCTAGCTAAGGGCTCAGCCGACCTCGAACAGAAATCTAAAGCACATTGCTTCACAGGCGTAAGAAATGTAACGAAGATATCCCCAGATGACCGCCAACGTATAGTCGACATTGAAGCTGCTGTTAAAGCCGCCAATATCCCGCGACCTTTCTGGGAGCCAAACACCTACATCAACGTCTCCACGAAAGATTTCTCAAAGGATACAGATGGCAGCCAAAGACTCCCGGACAATGTTCTTGAAAATGCAACTACAATACGGCCTACACTAGGTCAACCTGATCCTGCATATTCAAAAATAAATTACACCGGTCCTAGAAGAAAGCTTTTTAGAGGCAATGAAACATGGTTCTTGACTCGATTCGGCGGTAGCAGACTCACTTATGCTAACTGGATGGCTGGTACCGCTACTTTCGCTGATGTGCAAACGGCTGCGCCGATGGATACCACAGCTGCTACCCACCCTACGGAGTTTTATATTAAGGATACTTTGGAGGGCGTTAATTGGTATGGTGACACAGGGGTAATGACTCTTCCGGGTCCAAAGCCTCCGCTACCCCCACCAAAAGGCACACCGAAAGATAAAAATGGAAAGCCGATCATCAAAATTGATGGTAAATCTCACGAGGAGATAGGAAAGCTAGTCAGCAAGTATTTGCATCAAGTTGTACCGGCTGTAGGGACAAGAAGCAATGGATCAAAGAAGACCGATCCATCATTCTGCATAGCATGCAAGAAACAGACTACCAAGCTGGTAAGATAAATACCAATCACGAACCGAGAGGAGGAATTACGAAATCCTGTTTTCTATAACTCTTGCCGTCTCAAAGTAAATACTAATATCACCACGACTATATAGGGGGATGCTAGAAGACACCAGCATTACGGTAAGTGTTGGGCTAGCTGGCCCGGGCCAGGTGACAGCGGCGACGGCTCAGGACCTCCAGATGGTGGCGGCGGCTCAGGCCCCCCTGACGGTTCAGGCCCCCCGGATGGCAGTGGACCCCCTGACGGAGCCACTGGCAAAGGCACAAGGTCCACTCGTCCGGCTAGGAGTCCAGCGCTAGGCAGACCTTTGTGCTGTCTGCCCTCGACCCCAGATATGACCCGTAAGCGGAAACTATGGGAAAGTGTTCAAGGATACGTAACCGACAGTGAAGATGAAAGAGACTTCCTACCTACGGCTAAGAAGGAGCAATCAAAAACAAAAGATGACATAGGAACACCTCGCGACCCTAGCAAGTCTTTCAATCTAGGTGATGCGATGGATACTAAGATATTTACCGAAAAGAGGCAGAAGCGATCTTCGAAGAAGGCTAAACGGGATTATAAGTCGTCAGAATTTATTTCTTCGACCCCGACCCCCCCTCCAAATCCAAATTCACCCGTATCTACGGGCCGACCCGAGGGATCGGAATCGAAAAAGACAGAACCGGCGGAACAGGAATCTGAGGTAGAGGAGATTGAACACGTAGAATCCCCTCTTCCATGTCCCAGCTCCGAACCATCCCCTCAACCCTCCGGCCCAAGGAAACGAAAACAGCCATTAGCCACCGGTCTCCGCAGCACCGCTGCAGCACCACCAATTCTCCCTCAAAAGAACCTAGTCTCAACTCACACTTCTAGAGCAAAATCAAAACCCTTCATCCCTGCGAGCGCTACCAAAGCGACCACCGCCACCAAATTGATTGTTTCGAAGACTTCAACTTACAAATCACAGGATGGTCAAGATGTCACTCTTGAAGAACGCAAGTTTACTCGCAGGACCAAAGGAAAGACTCCCAAGGATTTTACAGAAGTAATTGAAAGTATTAGAGAGCCAGGTAAAGATTCAGCTCTTATACGACTATATAGGTTCCAAGAGGGCGAGGAGACTGGGCTTGAGAATTCTTCGAAGAAGAGGAAAATAGATGAAGAAACTCAAGAAGATATTCAAGCCGAAGATGGAAATGAGGTTGACGTAGTCTCAGAAGAAGGGCAAGACGAAGAAGATGAAAAAGAAGCGTCTTTGGGAGAAGAGGTAAGTTTCTAAGCCCATAGGAATCTTCTTATACCCGATACTGATGATTAAACAGCAACAGAGTGAATTGTCATTGGAGGAAAGCGAGAATGAGGCTCACGAGAAGGATGATAAAGAACATAACAATATGAAAGAGGAAAGGGAGGAAGGAGAGGAACAAGAAACAGAGGAGGAAAAGGCTCCTTCACCAAAAAAGAAACTACGAGCCCCACCACGCAAGAAGCCGGAACCTCCAAAGGAGGTGAAAACCCCGAGTCGCCGCAGCACTAGAGCGAAATCCGTCGGCGAAAAGGAAACGGAAAAAATAACGAGCAATAAAACACCTGCCAAACCGAAGACTAAGAAAAAGGTTACACTTGATACCCCAGTGACTGACGAGGTAAAACCTCCTAAAGTGTATAGAAAGACACCACGTGTGACAACAACGACAAAGAAATCCGCGAAGACTAAACAGAGAGAAATCGGAACCGAAACCGAGACACCTTCTAAGCCTCCAGCTAAGAAGGCCGTAGCCAAGGCCACTAAGGATACTGCTACCAAAACAACCAAAGAGCCTACTGTAGCTAAAAAGGTTGCAATTAAAACCCCAAGAAAGGCTGCAACAAAGGCCGCGGAGGCAAAGAAGGCCAAAGCTAACACTCCAGCGAAGACCACTGTAGCAAAGAAGGCGGGCGCTAGTAAGAGGGTTTCTAAAAAGTAAAGGATCTCCACAGTACAAGTTTAGAATGCAGTTAGGTGCCAACAAAATGAAACCTAAACGCTGCCATGTCAAAAGTCATATGGAGAGATCTAGAGAGGAAATATTGGGCTGTGGTACGTAGTTAAGGCTACACTATCACAACTAGGAAAGGAAAGAATCAAATACGACAATGAGAATTTATCAACGATATATCGATAATGTCTATAGCACTCGTGTCAGCAGTAATTTAAATGCAGAAATTATCCTTCAGCTCCAAAATTTGCAAAAAATCTACTGTGGTACTAGTGATATGTTGCATTTTGATACCGCAGTGTTGGAGAAGTTTCGCCAGGCCCGAATGCGAACGCGAATAAACTAGCCAAATATGCAAATACATCATGATCACTTATCAGAAACTGAACTATGATTCAGTAAGCTGAGTGGCGATAAAGCATCAGCCAGCTTTGCCACATCCAATATCCAAAAATTACCATCGAGCTCGAGGCTCTCTAGCCAATGCAAAGTAACAAAATAACAATGGCCGTTAGGCCTAGCTGGAACTCTTAAAAGCATATAAGGCCGACCCTGTGCAAATAGATACGCAGATATACTGCTCACATGCAAGTGCTCGACGGTCCTTTCCCTTAGCGATCAGTCCGATCCCCTCCCATCGAGAATGATAATGGTATGAACGACGGCGGGGACCCACAATTAATGGCATTACATTCCCCGCTGACATTAACCGCCCTCAAGGTTCAATAGATTAACTACGCGGAGCCAGACTTTCATTCAATCTTTACGAGACACTAAGCTGATAAACAGCCGGCAGTCAGCCAGCCAGCTCAGGCTATATACCGCCAAATTTAATACATATATACCCAGTCTCTCAACATAAGCGTAGTCTACAGGGTCATAAATATCGACCGGTTTCGTCAATCAACGCCATTAATGCGTGTGCTCACTGAATCCCAAAAGCTATAAGTGCCTTATACTTAAATCGACCATGCCTCGCTGTCGTAAGGTTCAAAATCGGACCATCCACGAATCTATAGCCGAACAAAAGTACCAAATATCCAAAGAACTCGAAATTCTCAAGCAACTCAGGGGAAATTCTTCAACATGGAGCTTAGAAAATGAAAAGGAGAGCGAAAGACTGAGTAAAGAAATTATAGAGCTGTCATGTCAGTCCGTTGTGCTGTATAATCAGTTTGTAGCATCGCCTGAGCGGTTGGGGAAGATGCGTATTTCATATCGAGAGTTATGTCAGATTTGGCTAGTCTGAATATAGACTTATATCTGGAGCGGATTCACCGATGCCGGCCTACGGCATATCCATATCGATAGAAATACAAGGGCCATATTGGCAAAATATTAAATTTAAGTAGAATGAACGGATCATATCGTCGCCTAGACTTGTATATGGGGCTTAAACTCACAAGTAGCCCATATCACAGCCCAATAATAGAAGTTCTTTATACATCTTCCAACTGAAAAAAGAAATCTTTAAATAAGGTTGTCTAAAAGATTAGCATCTTAGGAATTAAATCCTCAGGCTCATGACAGCTTTAATCTTCATGCATTTAACACGTCTAAGGATTAATCGACGTCACTCCCTTCTGCTCGAATCTCTAAACCTACCGGATCGGTGTACCAGGTCTAGCCATCAAAAATACAATGTAATCTCAGATTAATGTCTTATGTGCCCCGAAGATTGGGGCCAATATCAATTATGTGTATTAATCTCATTTACCAAAGTTAACGATGAATCCAGTCAACAGCCTGTCAGCCTTGATGTGCAACAAGACTAAAAACATCGAAGTATAGTACCCCGGTATTAATTCATATATATCGCTCATTAAAACCCATTTTCTATCGCCCAAAAAATCGCGTGCGGGTCCTCCAGCCCTATAGGCCGACCCCTCCGCGATGATTCCTAACTAGCACGTACAGTTCGCCTAACCTGTCCGTCCAGCCTAACCGTTAAGACAATCAATACTTACTTACCGACAATGCAATAAAGTCCAAAGCTATACATTAGGACACGCCGATAGTTCCTATTACAGTATAGTTTCCCCCAAAAACCGGCCGGATATGCACGCCAGAAAACTGCCATGATATTAGTCTATAGTTATCCACAATTACGAGCCCCATACTCATGACAACTTCCTAGCGGATCAGACTCGACTCTTGATAAATGATCGCAAAACTCGGTAAATCTACGCGGAGGAATTTGTGTTTATAATTGAGGAAACGATACTGAAACTCGGTTGTTGTTGGAGGGGAGGGGTGTAGTGGCGAACATGACCAGGGTCACCGCTGCTAGGCGATTGAAACATTCAATTCAGCGAGAAATACCACGCGGACATCGAGATTTGAGACCTCCTCGCGAGTGTCGACTCGAGGTCCAATTCGAGAATTTGAGACAGAGCGCGCAATTAGGTACCTATAAACAGGCACCTTGGGTAGATTCTCTGACTCCTAGCCAGAGCTGCGGAGTGAAGGACTTAAAAATACCTGAATCCTCCCGATCCCAGGACCTAGCTACCCGAGAAGTTATGAGACTAGCTAGCTCTGAGGGGTAGTCGGCGTATGCAAGTAATGCGAAAGGTTCGAACAAGTCAATTGATCAAAAAGAGAATGCACAGCCAAGCTTTGCGAGTCAACAACATTTGCAACATTTTGACTAACTGCATGATACATACGAACATTCGATATCACAGTGTCTATCCGATTCGATTTTCCAAAAAGCCCAAAAAGCCACAATCGTAGGCAGACCCCTAGGTTGCATCTTCTGGAGTATTCCCTGCAGCCACGGCTTTTCAGGCAGTGCGCCGCCAGAGTGCATAAAAACATGACAAGCAAGGCCGAAACGGACGTCAGAGAAAAGAAAAACCCTAATAGCCCAAACAAAAACTACACCAAGAGAGCACCGACCATCTTCATTTGTTCGGATCTACTCTTTCTTTGGTTTAGTGTCTATGTACGTCCATGTACACCCGATCCCGAATGGAGGAAGAATAGCATTAAATCGGGTATACCGAAGCGTACGAGCCAATGTCAATACAAGAGGATGATTGTCCTATGAATCTATCGACAAACCCACGCTAGCGCACGGAATGTTCTGCCACAGGTCCCAGCTGGAATTTTCCCACCATCCGAAAAGGCTGCAGGGTTTAAGTTGCCTATCCGCAGCAGCCAGACCAGCGTTTTGAGGGGGGTCTGAAACAGCGTGCTATTCGCACTGCACTGCCTGTCGCAGTTGGGCAGCTGCTGTATAGGGCCCGTCGACGTTGTGTAATTGTATTATTTTGCATGATCCGAAGCATGGCGTTCAAAGGTCTATATATCACTGGCCTTTGTTCCCATGTCTAGTCTGTAGATTTTAGCTCTAAATTAACTAGACTATAAGCTATCGAATACGCTCAGGATATCAGGATATATCACCGTCTCAATATAGTTTAATCGAATCGAAGGCACAAAAAGTTCATACAAAACATGGTTAGCTTCCTCTCTCTGCCTCGCCATATTCGCGATAAGATCTACGCTCAAGTCGTTCTATTCGATGAGCCAATCCTTACGCAGGAAGCCATCGATGACATTTGTGGTCGAAAATCACCAACAGCCCACAACTTCGCCACTCCCTCAACAGTCGGCCTTTCAATTTTCCGTGTGAACAGGCAAATCCACGAGGAGGCATCTTTTATTTTCTACACCCAGAATGTCTTCTCTATCAAGGTTGTCACGGAAGCCTATGAGTCCTATAACCAACGAAAACAATGCTTCAGGGCTCGATGGACCACTCCATGGGAAGATATTGCCTATGAGTTTACTGAAGAAGGTGGAATCGGTCACTTCTGCCCGGGCGATTATGGTGGAAACCTCGGAAATGAAATCCTTCAAAAGGATGTCAAAACCTACATCTATCCATCCATCCGATACCGCCACCTCCTTCGCAACGTTCGTATCGAGATCGTTGATACCTGTTTTATGGAATACTGCACTCAGCAAGTCCCAATAAAGAGACAATCATCTGTCGGAAAGAGGAAGACTCTATACACTCTTCTCAGAAAGCCCACTTTCAGAAAGACAAATCCTGGGAGGATTCCACTTAAAACAATCTTTATGCCTTTGGCATGCAGACTTCGATGTCTTCTTGCCGCTTGCAGCACTAATGTCAATATTGCCATTACTGTTTCCACTACTATGCTTGACAACTTCGATGAATTGAGCACTAGAGCTTACAAAGATCTTGTTGAGCTTGCGTCCCCATTCACTAAGGGATACAAAACCGGAAATGTCGACCTCCATATCCAGTACGAAGAGGATTACGAATTGGATCCGAAGTACGAAGGGTTAAAGACAAAGGTTTTGAAAACCTGCAATCGGGACGCTAAGATTGATGGACCGGAGGGACAGAAATTCGAGAATGTCGATGTTGAGTTAATGTTGCACTGGAGGTTGTTGAAGGGAAGATTGGTGATCCGTTGAAAAACGACGGCAAATTTAATGAACTCATGGCAAGCATTTATTGGAGTTTTTGTTTCTCTTTGGAAGCGTTTATTATGTATACATGTACTGCATCGGATGGCGCAAATTATGGCAATTTTGGGTTTGGGATAGGTTGGGGATATTAGATAGCATGCGTTACCAATTTATTACTACAATGTCTAATACGATAAATTCATCACTATTCAAATGAAATCTTTCTTATCTTGAGATCAAGCTCTTGATTTTGTAAGCCATTATGGATAATATGTATATGTGACGCCTGTCTTGCGTTAAAGAATGGCAAATGTATCGTACAGTGACTGGTAATGCTATATATTACACGGCTATCTACAGCTCCCCCAATTTACAACATAGCCCTCAGCCAACCCTTCTTGGGCTTCTTCTTCTTCTTCCCTTCCGACTTAACATCCATCTCCTCCGCTTCAAACAATCCAACCCCTAATTTCTGAGCCAAGCTCAGAACTCTAGACCCGACAGTCTGGCTGTCTCTCCTATTCTTTCCTTCTCTGCGGGTTACCGCGATCTTTTCAACCATTTCCCAGAGTTTCCCTTGCATTTCTATCTTCCCATCCGATCCGATCTTCGGACGCCATTCGGGATTTATTCTTGTCTTTCCATTCTTCACCTCAAGTATGTGATCACTTGTAAACTGAGTAAAGGCATTCTTCAAGCTTTGGCTGTTCACCGCCTCGAAGTAGCTAAGGTCGCCTTGGTGATAAAGCGTCTTTCCTAGCAGCTGCGATACATCCAAGAATCGCTTGGAATCCACCCAACCTTCATCCACCCCGTCTTTCCCTATGGGGGGTGTTATCCCCACTACGGCAACACCTGCAAGCCATACACCTTCGATGAATGGCCAGATCATAAAACAATAAAAGTCATAGTTTTCTCTGCCCCTCTCGCGTTCTCGTGGACTAAGCTCAACGTAGTCCACCTCATCCGGTGAGCTCTTGGAATGTACCACATTAATCACGTCGTCGGCCCCTAGCTCTCGGAGAGTTTTCCGAAGATTTGTGACGAGACCTTCCGTAGGAAAAACGAATTCATTTCGGAATAGACGAGAAATAAAGGAAACATGGTCGTAAAGTTGTTGCCAGCCGATACGTTGGTTCGCAGGGCCGCCGCCTTGTTTGATCTTTGTGTACATGGCCGCACATACCACGGCCTCTAGGATGAATAAGTGAATGACCATATTGCGGTAGAAGGAGAGTTGGAACCTAAACAAATGTTAGTTTTAGTGGACTACTTAAAAAGGATAGACTGGGATAGCTTACCGATCCACGGCATAATAGGTTTCCTCGGCAAGGTTATCGAGCTTGCCTACAAGATCCCCAATAACCTCGAGACCTTTCTCAACCACCGCCTCCGTTCCAACCCCACCGAAATGAGCCACCTTGGCACCTTTAGAAATGATCCGACACTTTAGCCATTCTATACGTCTGATAAGTTCGGTTTTTCCAACACCCCTTCCCCGCAGTGTCAGTAGCACTGTTCCTATTAGTGCCGTAGGCATCACGACGGAACAACTGTTGATGTCGCTAAGAACTTTATATCCTAGACTCCTAAGCAACCTCACACGTTGATCCTGTGTAAGGACAATTTCTTCCATTACGGCACCATCCTGTGGAGCCGCTAGAGTTGGTGGCACGGTTATGGTTCTCTCCATCTGCTTCAAAATAAAGTTGCGCAGACTCCAGGGCTCGTGGAACCTGACGTCGACTCTACCCATCTTGAGGGAGAGGACAGAGCTCGCGTTAAGAAAGTCGTAGAGATTTTCTTTCTTCTTTGGAACGCCCAGGAGCTCGTTAATGTAGCTCTCGGATTCAATGACTTTATCGTACTGTGTGGAAACAGGGACGATTAAACAATCCTTGACCCTCCCTGAGAGAATGCTGGATAGGATAAAATTCAGGATTCCAAATTTCGGAGGCAGCAGCTTTCCTGTGCGACTTCTGGTACCCTCAACGAAACATTCCATATTGTACCCTCTTCGAAGTAGTGTATCGACGTATCCCTGGACCATGGTTGGGTATAGTTTGTCGTCTCCCATCGATCTTCGAATATAAAATGCTCCAGCGTTTTGAAGGAATGAGCCAACGACCGGGAAGTTGAGGTTATCTCCAGCAATCACAGCCGGAAGGGCAATGCCTAGTCGATAGCAAATGACTTGTAACGAAACGTAGTCTATATGCGACCGATGGCAAGGAAGAAAGATCATTGACTGTTTCTCTTCGGCCGCTTTACGGGCGTACTTTGTGAGTGTGACGACTTCATCCATGGACACGTGAACTCCCTGGTGGTATGTTCGTGAGAGGACTTGAGATGCAAGCCAGTAGGCTGTCTATACCCGCCTGTCAGCCTATGCGAAAACAAAAGCTCCTGGTCCTGTGTTTAACATACTCGAATGAAGCTTTTGCTCTCCATCTTGCATATCATGCCATCGACCGTCCTGTCAGCAAGCTCTCGCAGCTGTCGCACTACTTCTTTCTGTCTCTTCTCTTTCTTGGCGCCGGGGAGAAAGCCTTGGCCGGCTTCATAATCAACAGTTTCCGTTGCTAGGTGTTGGATCTTGTTCTCGACAAGCTTGGACTCCAGAATCGCCTTCTTCATGTCGTCCGTGAACCCGTTGTAATATACCGGCTGGCCAATTGGGTTATCGTAAGCTCTCCATCCAGTGCCAGAGTACATCATCTGAATTTCGCGAAGAAATTCTATAGGGTGGTCTCTGAAATGCGAATGCTTTTGGGCAATATTGCGGGACATATCTGGTCCATCGGCCGTAACTTGGATGTTAGCAATGGCTGCTTCAGCTTCGGATTCGGGGATGACATCTTGAACGAGTGGAGTTTGAATTGGGTTTTCTTGGTTGAGGATGTCGATGTCCAGTCCAGAATCAGACCGGGAACTAGGCGGCCTCCGAGGAGATTTCTCCTTATCCTCCATTGTTGACGTCAGTAAGGTCTGGTAGATGAGTCTTTAACTCGCGATCGAACAGGTTGGTAGTTTGGATGAGCGGGTACTATCGAAAGGGGTTTGATGGTGAAGCCGGAGATATCCGTCGCAACCAGCACATCATCAGCTCGGCGGGAGTAGCAATTGATAGATAGACAGATGGCGGATAGAAGAAAAGGTCAAGTCACCATGATGACGCTTCAAGTTTAGATACTTGCTTGAATAGTAAATTCGACCTGCCTTGTCGAGCAAAGAGCATGAGTTCGGCCACTTTCCATTATGTGCGCTCGCTAACAAATAAACCGCGGTTAATCGTTTAACTGGGCGACTGCCGAAATTTGTTTTTGTTGGGGATCAAGATCGCAAGAAATTAAATTACCCTTGATATGAGCTCACGTGATCACGTCTTGGCGGTTTGTACGACATGAATCTTGTTACACGTACATAGCAGGTATGCATAGTATAACGTGCACAATCATGGTCCTCGAGCGCCTGGGTTCGAGGCTAACGAATCCCCAGATTTTTTTTTGAAATTTTATATTTGCATTTGCATTTGCATTTACATTTGCAACATCTGTACATACCTACAGCCAAATATATGTGTTATAGCGGATAATATTAATATTAGTATTGCATATATTGTATATGCACGGATTTTTTACCGTTTTCGAACTTTATAATTAATTATTTATATAAGAGACACCGTAGCTTATGATTTTTTTTATGACTAGCCTAGCCCTGCAGTGATATCATGATACATCACGATCGACATTGCATGCATTGCGCATCGACATAGCTTAGCTGATACGATACGCTTATATATATTTATACCAACAGAAATTAAATTAGGCGACTGACCAGAGTCCTTTAAAGCTTTGGCAAAAGTCCATGTAGATTTATAAATTTAGTTCCTAGACGTAGATTATGACGAGATTCTGTCCGTTTGTATGTACATACAATTGTCGGGCCCGCGGGGTTAACGTTCCTTGAGGCCCGTTCTCGAAAAGTAACTGGCATTAGACTCTTACACGCTGAATTGTCCAAAGGATGGATGGCCGGATGGATGCTCAAATATTGTGGTGAGCTGGAAGCGCGCATATTGATATTTAATGGTCATATGACACACAGGCATAATCCCATGGTTCACAGTATTCTATAATTGATAGTCGAGAGTATAATTGATAGTTTTTTCAGGATAAAATTAATGAAGTCGGTATTGATCTTAGCTAATTATAAAGAAACATTCGATGTTTGGAAGGTATCTCCTTAGGCTCTATTGTTTTTTTTTAGATGTAATCCAGTCTCCTAAGTTTGTACTAAGCAGCAGGCTTCTAAGCTAACATAATTTCATTTGATCCTTGGATCCTTCGAAAGATTCACTTTAACTGAATTACCGACCTCGCCCTAGCTAAGCTGACATGAGTAATCGACTTATGCATAGAACTATATACATATGGAGCTTTGGAGGTGCAGCTATACATAATCCACCAATTTGCAAAACGAAATTCGGAACCTCGCCCATTGCTATAAACTTATAAGCCGAACTCCTCAGCAGAGCCACGAAACTTTCCAAGACTCAAAGACGACATTAGCGACAATATATTAATAATAATATTGAAGCTGGCTAGATTCAATGGCCGTACATATTCCCGACATAGCAAAAGTAAGAGGCTTTCCGAAAAAAGAAAAAGAAAAGAAAAGAAATAAAGCGCTATCACAGGTTTCGTTCCCAGACATCTAAACGTCAAAAGGGGAGGTTTGCGGGTATGTACTTATATCGATAGGTATCGTATATCAGGGCCTTTCAATACCTACAAAAAAAGAAAAAAAGGAGAAGGTAACGAGGATATGGCGTAGGTGCTATGGAAGAGGAGAGAAGTCTCCATCTGACCGGTTGGAGAAGTATTGGACGAACCCCGCACAAGATCCGAAGGTATGCTAGATCTACTCTCGTATTCCTTAAATGATAACGACGTCGCGTCACTGATACCCTACATACTTACCATCTTCACGGATACCCGTCCAGACCTTTTGGTTATCAGCTTGCTCCGGCCTTACGGCACTCAATAGTTCCCTCGTATACGCGGCCGCTGAAAGTGCCGCATATTTGTGCCAGTCGTCGTTTTTGTGTGAATCTGAGTAGTCACAAATACCTCGAATTACCAAACACGGATATGTGTTCATTAATCCTGCGGCTTCCGTCTCAAAGCAAAGGATCTTCAGGTCCGGATCTCGAGCATACATTTCCCTCTCTTCGGTTCTTTCTATGAGCGAGTTAGAACTTCCAATCATGCCGTAGTGTACGCCAACGACGCGGTTTGTTAAGCGGGGCTGTTGGTTCCAATCTTCCAGTTTATCAGGATTGCAGTTATCGCAGTTTGACCCGCCTTCATGTTCGTAATCAGCCCGGTATAATCGATCCTGAGCCGGTCGTTTAAAGTCCTGCCGAGTCATTCGTTCGATATTTGCGGCGACTCTATCTGGTAAGCCCGGATCGTCATAACGTCTCCTGACCTCTTGTTGAGCTGCGCGGAGTACCCTTGGCGATGGGCTCAGAAAGCCGATTCTTTGGTCATAAGCCCTTCCCTCTATCCTGAGCCTCCGTACAAAGTCTAGTTGCACCACACCGCCAAGGGTTCCCCGTGGGGTACTAACAACGACATCCCCGAGTCGTACATCATTCTCTCTGGTTGGGGCGCCTTTCCCGATACCAACCATCAAAGTGAATCTTAACGCCGGAAACGATCGAATCATGTCTTTTGCGACAGAAGCTGCACAATTCGTACCGTATTCACCATCTGGCAGACACGTGATAACCACATTATGGCCATAAATCTTGCCAAATGCATATAGATTATCGTCGCGTTTTTTGGATGTTCCAGGGCCACTGAATACAAAATCCAACATTGTATGAGCGGCGGCGTACTCCTCCTTCAAGGCACATATCCAACCGATTGAATATCCATCCTCGCTAGGCTCCAGTAGGGTATTTTGGGATCCGGTAACCGGTTTGTTGGTTCCGGATGGCTGCGAGCTAGGTCGTCGATTCACTCTGAGTATAACAGGCTTTTAAAATTCAGAGAGATAATATTGAATCTTACCGGCCGTGGGTGGTTGGTATATTGGCGGACATTGTTTAAACCGGATTGACAAATATATATGTAAACCCCCGGGTGCGACAAAATTCCCAGTTGTCCTAATGAAATGGAAAAGCTATCCAATACTATATACTGTAAGAGCCAAGATTATCAACGATGGGCGATACTGCTTTACAATTAACGCAAGCTTAGTATTCATATAAATCAAGGGAAAAAAAACAAGATGGGTTTTAGAAGGAAGGTAGATTCGAGTATTCAGGTTATATTGTCCCAGCTATACGTATGCCTTTGGATTTAGTTCCCTAGTTAATCTGTGCAGCTGTGGCTGAAACTGTACAGTCCTTTTATAAATTTATATCGTCGTTGTACGTACAGATATATATTGCATACTATACGTATACTGGGAATTCACAAGGGATGAGGCTGTGGAAATATAGGACCACCAAACCTTCCATTTTGGGATGCATACTAGTATGCTAATATACGCACAGTAGCTATGCATTGCTTTGGATATCCACCGATACCGCGAATAGAAAGACTTAGATATTCTCTATTACATTAAAGTTCTGGTTTTATATAAATACCTGATTGGTGGAAGGTAATATTTTACATGCATATGCGCAAGTGAATGAATATACTTAAGCGCCCAAGCCTGGAATTAAAAGGACAATTTTAAAAGTATTAGCTTGGCCCCATGGCCCCAATGGCTTTTGATCCTTCAGAAGCGATTTTCGGCGATTATTTAATATGATACACTAATTAACAAACATCAAACGCGTTTTAGTATAAATCAGCGGCTTTCGGTCGGCTGTAGTCGTATCGATTGACCAAAATTTCTGCTCAACATTAATTTGTAAATAGAAGAGGGCCATGGCGCCACGGATAAGTTGCACATAGGCAGTGATTCTAGCAACTGCAAATTAGCGCTCGGAATCTATTTTGCGATACTGGGTAGACTAATATGGAGTGGGCACCGAATATCTGCCTAGGTATCCGGTTCATGGACCAGCTTATAGCTCAGTCTCGACACTAAACCAGCTTAGAGGTTACTATAAAAAAAGATACTCAATAATGCACGATTCGCATCATGGGCGCTTACTGAGGTAGCTTGATGCTCTGCGGCTCTATAGACCAATGTATTATATTAGTCGGCATGCATGTATCAGTTAACTTGTGTGCAGATAACTCGATGATAAAATAAACGCGCGCGAATTGCAGTCTACTCGATAAAATTAAATATAGCGTGCCAAAACGAAAAAAATAGTTTATATACTCAAATCGATTGTATACACTCAAATCGGCACCAGCCACAGCTATATACACTTAAATTTACACCAGCCACACAGTTTTCGAGCTTAACGCATCTACAATACCCATATTAAATCTAACTTAGAAAGCTTTTAAAACATCTATCTTCCTACTTGCCCACCCGCCTGCCTACCTATCTACTAGCCTATCTACTGGCCTGTTTACTAGCCTGCTTAGTAGCTTAGCTAACTATTCCAATAGCTATTCCAGTAACTATTCCAGTAGCTATTCCAGTAGCTGTCCCAATACCTGCCAATTAGTTAATGAAGTTAACTGCCGGCATGCGCATGCCTGCTAATGAACTGCTTGATAGTGAACTACCTGCTAGTGAACTACCTGCAAGTGAACCCCGCCTGCCCAGCATACGTTACATAATTATATATAATAAAAATGTATAAGTCTTAAAATTCTCTAAGTTAGATTTACTATAGATATTAAAGCCGAATATTGCGTGGCTAATGTAAATTTAAATATATATAACTATGGCTGGTGCCAATTTGAATATATACAATCGATTTGAATATATAAACAATTTTTTTCCGTTTTAGCCCGCCATATTAAAAAAGGATCCTCATATTCCTAATTTGTATACATGTACTAGTCTAGTTTCATTGTTACATGTGCGTACCTACATGTATTCGGCTATCTGCGAAGTCTGTTCCTAAGCTATAAGGTGTCTCCTCTTTCGCTTCGTATTAAATAACTAAGTAGTCTAGGGGTCACCCACCTGTCTCTTAGGTACTCAAATACTTAACTTGCTGGTAGTTAATCTTGGAACGAGTGTATGAGGTAGTTTTACAGGCGAATTTGAACTTGTGAAGACTCCCATGACAGATGGCCATATAGAAATCCAGGGATACCAAAGTACCTAGCTAGGTAATTGGCAAGTGCCGAGACTGTACATCACTATTCCTTGTGACATCATTAAATCAAAGCTATCAATCACCTTGTTGCAAGTTTACGTAAAGTTACCATTCAACAACACAGACTATAGTTGATATGAAGACCGAAAAGAGGGTCGTGGTACCCAAGAGAGGCCTTTGCTGCCGATAAAGGGTTGGGAATTGCATAGATCAAAAGTATAGGACGAAATAGACTATAGTCTGGTATTATGAGCCATGCAATTGCATGACCCGATTAACGCCTGCTGCTATGATTAGTCTATTAGAGTATAAAAACAGTCCGCTGGTAGAGCTATTAAGCCATCAGTGGTTCAAACATTTATATAGATTGTCAGAAAATTTAGACCGTATGCGAGATCTGGGGTTCCAGGCCCACCGATCTAGCTAGTTAGCCGACTAGGTTGGAACGTCTTTTCAATAGTTCTTGAAAAGCCCATCCGCCCGACCATCGACCTTATCGTCAAGTGACCGTATAGTAGTCACAATATGACATATATAGCTGCGCCCGCCATACTCTATTTCGACATATCCAACCAATATAAATCCAAGATCCACTTGTGCACACGTCCAACCCCTTCGGCGAGGGATATGGTGTAAATCAGACAAGTCTGACCCCTTAAAATAACTACCAATTAAGTCTGTTCGAAAAGATCTAGCAAATTCACCATTTTGCAACTTATATGCATTAAAATTTACAAATCCCGACGACAGAGACTCCATCCACACAAGTACGTAAGAAAAACACCCCCTTCCCACTTTGTACGACGTCAACATGTAAGGCGTTATGTGGCATAATACCTAGCTCCTAGAAATTATCTGGGGTACATACATATTTGTCCCTAAATCTTGACAAATCGCACCCCTCCTCCGTCTCGTATTCGGAAAAACGTTGTCACCAAAATAGTATGGGGTCACCAAAATCAAGCTGGGTAAGTACGATGACTGATACCGTTAAATTCCGAAGCTAACTATATTCTGGTCAATTGTGGAAAGCTGTCCGCCCGTTAATTGTGTAACATTCTGTTCATATTTTCCCATCAATCCCATGCGCCTGCAAACTTTCCAAGCCACAGCTCCCATTTAAACACGCGTCCCTCGTGTGGGATGTAATAATGATCACTGCCATCGATGCATCAAGAAAAAGGGACTAAGATTTTGCATTCGTCTAAATCCTTATTTTCGGAGTTACCCCGTCAATGCGGGTCCCAAGTATTCCAACGGTCTCAAAGCTTTTTCAATGATCATATGAGCCAGTGCGACGGTATTACTTAACAGATTACTTCGGGTGGTAAGCCCATTAAACACCGGACCCGCTCAAAACCCTAGTGCCTGAGTCAGGGAATCGTAAAAATATGGGGTAATAGTAATAATATATTTCAACATATTTGTTTTCATGCTCGATCTTGTGTGTGTGTGGTATTTGCGCAGTACAAAGGAGTTGTGTAAGCGGCTCGGGAAGAACCAGAAGGGAAGCCAGGGGCGATGTCGTGGTTTTTGAATTTCGGCGTTGCTAGAGAATCACGTAAAAATAACCTAACAAGCTTAAATGTCGGCGACTGGCTAAGCTTTTATGATTGAAACAGGAAAAAAAAAAAAAAAAAATGCTATTCCAAAATTTTCCGGCTAAGGGATCACGAAACTGGTAGTTCATGTCGGGAGGAGGGAAAAAAAATTTCGGGTTGGAAATTTAAAACCCCGTGGCCACAATGCCGGTCAGTTCACCACGCCCGTGGTTGAACGGTTGCACATCATTGGGTTCAAAATCGTCGAGATCGAAAAAAAAAAAAAAAAAATCTGGCTAGACGGGTTTTTGAACCTTGTAGACCCGCGAAACTAGCTCCCAGCGCCAGGTGCATGCCAGTCCAGAGTAATTTTTATATAACCCCAATGACAGGATCCGAGCCCGAGCGAGCATATTAATCGGGCTTTACGTACAAAGAATTAAGCCGTTATGCACGTAGCATTACGCAAGATCAGGGTATGCGAATGTGATCCAATATAAAAGGCATCGGGAACGGGGGATGGGATCGTCTTCGGAAGGATTTGGTCATGAATTCGAACGGGCTGGCGTCAAACTAAGCCTTTAGCTTAGCCCTTTCCACATTCTTGGGGTGTAAACGTTGGGCCTCTCTATTGGGTTAACTCGACGGGTCGGGGGAGTTTCCGTCGTCTCCTTGCTTATACATGTACCACTGACAGTTAATACAGATATCGTCATCATATCATGCTATATTCTGAGCAATTGCAGAAGGCCAAGGGGCAATCACGAGGGAGTTTATGTCTAATTTGGGTCCAGAAGAGTTCCGAACGAGATGCAGGTAGTGCGTGGCTCGAACGCTAGATCTCGATCGTGGACCGGACGCCTCATCCCCAGTATTTCGTTTAAGTTTTTTTTTATCGCCGGCCCAAAAGGCCATGGGTGTATTTGGACGTTCACAGCTGCGACGTGGTACAAAATATGCCCAAATTGGTATTGACGACACCCAATTATTTAGAGTCCACGAGATATATGTTGTTGTGATCGTTGACTGTGATTATCACCTCGCTCCTGCATTTGATTCATTCGGACGGTGAATATTTTCCGAAGGAGTGCTGGCGCATTGGTTTGGCCACGAAACAGATAATATTGAATCACAAAAATGCCCAGCCAGCGCTTAACAAACTTCCCAGGAAAAAAAAAAAAAAAAAGGCGATACCCGACATTTTTCTCCAATTCATTCTTCAGCAACAGAAGCAAAAGTCTAGGCCAACATGTGGATTCTGACTCTGGAACATGGAACGAGCGCCATGGGGATTCGGATCTTAAAAAAGAGTAGGACAACGAACGCCTATAAAAATGATCCCCGAAGGGTAGGTTTGCTCGTCATATGGTCGCATTTTTTTGGAAATCGTGGGAGCTCTTTAATTCTTAAGGAATCTCACCATACAGTAAGTATCGTAATCACGGCATTGTCAATTTAAATTTCGTTGATACGGCCGGGCTCATTCCTATGACCGATCCTTTGCTTGTTCCGGATAATTATGATGATGGCCGTCGTATAAGAAATATCCATGAGATATGGTGAATTGGGCGTGAGAATGAGACTCGAACTGTGTGAAAATGCATGCCTAAGCACTTGCATCCAGAGCGAGGGTGAGTGAGTGAGTGAGGCCTCCTATCTTTTCAGCCTCCAAGTTAGTCTGATATCAGATCTGATGCGCTCAAGCGTCTAAATCTCCATTCAGCCCTTTCAAGGCCTTAGGAACGAAAATTAAAGAAAATCGGAACTTAAGCGGCCTAACAGGACGATTATAGACATTTCTAATTTTCGACTGGTACCTTGTTCATCTTAGTATGGGTACGGAATCTCCCAATAACATAGCTAATCGGCTCATTGCCCTCTCTGGCCTAGTTTTGTATCAATCGGTGGGGCCAGCAGGCAAGCTTGCAGTCGGCGACCTCAGACACCCGCATCATCTTGAAAAAGCAAGTCCACACTCACACCACGACGGGGAACATCCTTTGGACCTGTCAAAAGGTAACAGGCTGGGGATGTCGTCGTAAAGAACGGGGGAAAAAAAAAAATTCAGACCAAATTGTTGAACACAAGCTTTTCTTGCATTGTCGTCAGGAGGGCCGCGGATATGTAGCAAGGCGCATCTATAACCGTCGTGTCTGGCCCTTTCTCATAGTTAGAGATGAAAAGAATACTTTATAATACTCCGATATCAAAAACCACATTATTCTCTAGTCACCCCTCCCGAGCAGTACTTCTTTACATGATATCTACTGAGTATATCTATCCTAAAAATAAAATAGCATATTTATCAATCGATATCTCCAAAAGTGTACAATACGATACAATACAATACAGTACAGTACGACGTTACGCCGAAGAAGGCCTTCCGATTAAATTTAAGTGATAAAAAGCGAAGACGCCGTTAACAAGTCCCCAAAACAGCAGCAGGCTACCAATACCAAGACCCCGCGCCTATGTACAAATCCATACAGTCCCGATAACCATCAAATACAAGTTTCGCTTGAGGCCTGATTCCTGTTGGTTTGAGATTTGGTACAGAGTTTACGTACACTGATAACGAGCCATCCCGCCTCCAAAAACGGAATCCGAAATCGAACATTACAGCAAGGCGAAGCAAAAGCAAAAGCCGGGTGAGCTAGGCCCTTCGCTTTGCCTATCTTTGCTCCACTAGCCTCCCCTGGCAAACATTAACACTCCCTCTTCTTCCCTTCGATATCCTTCCTCTCTTCTACGTCCTTTCGCCCCGTGCGAGCGAAAGGAGTTTTCCTAAGAACCTCTGCAATTCCTTTAATATCTGTGGCTCTCCCGCTGTCAAGAGCCGCCGATACTATTCATTTCTCCTCTGTTGGAGTGTTCTAGGCGTGTTTGAGGTTTAGTTCGCGGGCGCGGCGGCTGGAAATCGATCTTGACAATAGTGAGGAGGGGACATCAAATTACAACACCAACAACATCTCGAATTTAATATATTTCTGGCTGACCCCCAGCAAATCCGACAAAATTCCCGGCCTACTACTCTCAACGTTGGACCATAAACCAAAAGCCACCATTTCCTTACCTCCAATTTCAGACTCCGATAATACAATATTATATAAGACACGAAGTCTATCCGACTCACAACGGCGGCGGGTGTTACTGTTAAGACGTTCACGGTATCAATATCATTCCGGAAGGAAAGGATTGTTCGGTCGGTCTTTGTCAAGACATAACCTTCGAGCGACAGTATTACTATCTCGTAACGTCAATATGGCGCAGCGTTCGGCAAGAGCACGGTCGAAATTAGATAAGATTTCTAGTGGAGGAGTAGCAAAGTTCGGTCATGGGGGACTGGCCACACCGGCGACATCGACGGGTTCGCCCAGTCTATCTTCATTTTCGTCTAGATCATTTGGTCGCTCGTCTTCGAACCAGAAGTCCGTTTTCAGATCGTTTATAGATTCGAAGTCCGATAAGATTCGGGGCACATTGGCAGAGAAGATCAGTCCTGTTGCGACAAAACCGAAACTAGACCTTGAAGTCGAGTCCGCCCCGATTCTCAAGCGATGGGATGGTGGCGGACGGCCATGCATGTCATATACCGGGCTTAACAGACGGGTATGTATAACATAATTACATCTACGCATGTGAAATCTCGTTCATTCATTGTATGTATCGATGTATTGACACAGAGGATTTTATAACAGGACCCCGAACTCTGGTTCCCAGACGGAGATACCCTCGTGTACCTCTCCGACAAATTCTCAAAGTCCAAAGAAGACCAGCCCTTCAAACAGCCTTCGTTCAGAATCCGCTCTTCTGTTCTACGCGCTACAAATTCTCCCTTTCTCATTGGCTCTCTTTACGATTACGACGACCTCCCGCAGTCTCCCACAAGCATATCATCCTCACTAATGTCTGCAGAGCAAGACATCCAACCCGTCCCATCGAATGCAAGTCGAGACCTAGAAGGCATAGCGCATGAGTTGCATTTCCCAGCTCCTCGCTCAAATGACAGAGCCGCAATATATCGTCACCACGCCACGACTCGAAACTTTTTCGCCGTTTTATTCAACCGTTCATTAATTGGTACAAGTTTTGGTCAAACTCTGCTGGATCTTGCAGAGCGAATGGAATTATATATGCCCCCAGGACACGACAACATCGGAGATCTCGTACGATACCTAACCCGTAAGGAATTCGATGATGTAAGGAATATGCCAGATCTAGCTGCGGGGACCCTCATGTTTGCAGAAAAATATCGCTTGGCAGATTTATACCGCGAAAGCTTTGTCCACTGCGTAGGGATGACGAATCGATTGGAGCTCTTGAGCGACTACCAACAGATATCGCCCATAACTCGGACCTTAATCGACCGCGCAAGTCTTCATACCCAAGTTCGAGCCGAAAACTGTGACAACCTACTTGTCCACGGTCAATTCGCCTTCCCAGATATGTGGCCACACATGTCAGCGGGCTACCCACCAGCCAGGCACGCCTTTGACCGGTTCCAAAAGTTCCTTGCAAAACATTACCAAGGCCGATTTGGCTCGTGGCCACCAGGAGGGGAGAAATTTGGTCGTCTACTATACCAGCAGTTACAACGTGACTTCAACGCTCTGTATGATTTCCTCGTCGACAGGGATGTCGTATGGGAACCGGTTCCGCCACCATCTTCCTCCGCCTCCACGAGTTCGAGCGGTAGAAACACTGGTTCCCAAAGATTGATCAATCCTTACAAACCGGACTTCCGTGCCGACGACGCATCTCTCCAATTCACCGACATCATCATCTCCTTCGACCGCAACCGGAAGGAAAAATATCCCCACATCCCGCACCCCTACCCTCTCGTTCCAGATGTCAAAACCACCACTGCAATCCGCACAAATAAGCAAAGCAACTTCTTTGGAAAGCGCAATGCAAACACTGATAAGACAATCGAAAAGGAAAACGCCTTGGCTCTGATCCAAGCTACAAACCTTGACGCTTTGTATACATCTCCCAACAACAGTTTGGTTGCGGCATACCAACTCATGGAAAAATCCGACCGCACGATTGAGATTGATCCTCACGATGCAAGAAAGGGTAGATGGCTATTAATCTACGCAGTTCTCCAAACCCTCGCCACTATAACAGTCGATGCCCCTGGTCTAAAATACACAGAGAATGTAGACTATTTCCTCTGTGCACCCATAAAGGGCGCACTGCCATGGGATCAACAAACCCAATCCTCATCTCGTGGTGGTGAAGAAGAAGATTACTGCCAATATCGTGCTCACTGCTGGACAGTGCCTTACCAGTGGAACTCTCAAGCCTCGGCCAAATCTCTAGGAGACCTCCGTCCACAAGAGCACCAAATTCCCCGTCCACCATTGGCGGACGAAGATATATTCCCCGAAAGAGCTGAGTTGGCAGCCTCTCCAACACCCACAGACCACCACGACTATCTGGATGGCCGACCTCCAAAGCGCAGAACGCCGGTCACAAGTTACGCATCAAGTAGTTATGTCCCCATCAACCTCGGAAGAACTAGTCTGCAAAGTCGCACTAGCAGAACAAGTCTACATTCCACACATAGTCATCATACAACCTATCGTAGTGGTTTAGAAGATCTGGGAATGGGTCCCGGAATTCTCGAAAAAGAAGACTTTGATCCCGCTGCTTTCGAGTCCTTGAATGTTCTCGCGATGAACAACCCTTCGGGGACCATTCTTAGCAGCGTAACGCCTGCTATAGCCTCCAGCACAGCTGGTCCCTCCCAGACCATACCCGCAGTGGCTAACACCGTCAGGCACAATTCTGCTGTCTCATCAATTCCCAACGTCCAATACACGGAAGATGGGAGCAGCAGCGACGCAGACGATGAGGACGATGATGTGGAAATGGATGAAGAACACGATCCAGGCGTCTTTCTCGGCACTACCAATCCAAGGGGTAGCAATATCTCGAATATGACGAGGGGTAGTAGGGAAAGCGGTGCAGCAGGGATGTATGCTCCATGGGGCGGAGTAGATAGTACGAGGAGGTGAAGTTTCTGTATTCTCACCCACAATTTCCTTTCTCTTTTCTTTTACACTCAATCTATACCACCAAAAGTTCTCTCCCCTTTCTGCATTTTCATTTACTATCAAGCAACCAAACTCCAAACCTATCTCATTTGTTCCAAATTCCGAATTGCAGCCCGTTCACTGCCATTTTAGCAAGCACTTCTCTTTTCACATTTTTTTTTCTTATTTATTATATCCATCTAGGCAACTTATATCCAAGCTGTTGGCGTTTTCCTCCTCTTTTCCATTTTCCTTTCAAATATCAATCAATAACCCTGTCATAAAATATCCCCTTTGTTACTCTCACGCTTCCACAACTGTCTCCCGCATTAACCCCAATTATTCGCAAAGGACGAATAAGACGTTTGTACCTTTCACTTCGACTTTACTGCTGTATTCATATACCTCTTATCACCTGCTTTTCGTTGATCTTATATTGTCTTGTCTTTTGCATTTTCCATGCATCAGCGGCATTGCAATCGTTAGCTATAGTTTAGCGAAAACCAAAAACCTTTTGTATTTTATATTCATTTAACAACCGTTATCACCGTTACTTTGAAGCCTAAACCGATTTGCAAATGTAAAATATCTCTCCAGAGCCGTATATATTATTACGAGCGACACACTACAACGAGCATAGTCTATAAAATAACTAATGCGTAAAGGTAGATCAAGCTACCACATAGATAATAGGTAGTCGGTATAACTAATATCGCCAACCAAATGACCAAAATGTTCATAAAATCAAAGCAATAAAAATTCAAATCCAAATCCAGCAAAACGAAGGGCGTCTAGGCCTTTCTCGACTTCTTTCTCAAGCTCCCTTTCCCGCTACCAGGCGCATAGGCCTTTGATCCACCATCAGTCAACACAGCAGTCTCCATGCTGACCTCAGCTTCACCCTTTGATCTAGTCCTCGCGGGTGTCTCAGGAGTTTTAGTATCCGGAATAGCCTTCAAAGATTTCTTGGTTCTCTTCTTAGACTTTGACGAGCTCGAGGAGTCCCAGTAGTAGACCATCTGGGCTGTCAAAACCGCGTTTAGAATTGCGCCGCCGAGGTATCCCCAGAGGATTAATGGATCGTCAACCTAGAGCAACCAGCCATATCATTAATATTTAAAGGACAAAGCTTTTTATGGTGATTCTTCGTGTCGGACATACCTCTTGAAGAGTAGTGAACACTCTAGCCAAACTTCCCGCCAAAAAGTTGAACACGGCAAAAGCACTGAGCTGTCCGGTTCCACCTTCCTTCCAGACCGTATAGATCTGAGGAACCTTACTAGCCAACGAAATAGGAATCGTCGAAGCCTGTAAAACGGTCATAGCCTTCTCACTAACCACATCCCCTCCCAAAAGCGCGTACACTGCAGCTGCAAATCCAGCGATTAAAACACCTGCATACCCTCCTTTACCCGTGAAATGTAATATCAAAACGGCAATAACCAAGTTTTGTACCACGATCAAGGCGGTTTCACCGAACGTGCTGAATGGGAATCCATTTCTAAAATTGTACGCGATTGAGATGGCATAGGCTCCCGTTTCAAGTAATGTGGATAGGAGAGAGAGACCAGATGCCGAGTTTGAGTTTATGATTTTGAGAATCTGTGGGATTTTAACGATTGAGGAGGCAGCGATGATGCCGATGCCTAATCCTTTGGAGACACCGAGCTTGATGCAGGCGGTGTCGCTGATGTCGATGTTCTCGATCAGGGAAGTGTAGCAATGTGAACCGATGAGAGAGATACCCAGGTCTTTTATGGGAGCCGGGAGGGAGGCCGTTATAGGTTGAAGAAGGGGGCGGATGGTATCCATGATGGCTGGTGGATGGATCGTTGATGAGGTTGGAGTGAGTACAGGAAAGGATGTTAACTTCAGCAGAGTTAGCTTGTCGCGAGAACTGGCGGATTGTTGGATGATGATGACGTGGGGTTATCGCAACACATCAACACCTTTCCCGTTGCTGACTAATCCGTATTCCCTTATTCCCCCCTCGAGACTATACAATCATAAGATAACATAGAAGATGGAAGGAAGCCTTCATAAAACCCAAATATCCGGCTTCTCGTATGTCTTCCAGACCCTCATGGTCCTATATATCCATCCTCTCCTTTGCACCAAATAAAAATAAATCCGTTTGATCTCCTCTGACTGATTCGGTTGGGAGGGGTCACATTCGTCCAGCCTGTCCAGAAGGTCTTCGAAGTGGAGGTTGTAGATTTGCCATAACTCGTCTCCGGGGATCTTGAAGCAACGGGGCATGGTGTATCTTGAATATATACGTATAGCAAACAATGAGATTATATAGAAATGTCTCAAGTTTAATCTTAGAGATGAGTAACTATAATCAGAGATGGTGGGGCTTTAACTAGAGCTTGTGGGGGGAGGGTTTTGTAGGGAAAAAGAGGTTGAGAAGGCGGAAATTTCGAAACCTGATTAATTGATAGTTGATATCATGCATGCAGGCAACCGTCAACCTAAAACGCTAAAACAATTGTTAACAAGGTCAAGGGCGGGAGTAAACGAGATTTGATTCTAACTCCCTGAATACGTAATATTTACATACTGACATCGAAAGGGACCTTACGAAATTAATTTCAGAGCTTGTAGACTTCTTGCGTAACTATTACTTAGTCCATACACTTGAGTTCTTGACCTTGGTCAATTAAGTGTTATAAATTTCTATAGAGAACATATAGCCGATCAAACTCTAATCTAGATATCCCCGCTAACTAAAGCTAAAGCATCCGATACTCACTAGGTAACTAAGTAGTAAGCAGTCCCTATTCTTGGTAGGTTTATTAGCGTCGACTTTGCTTGCAAAAGATGAGAGGAAGTTTCGAAATTCACATGAAAACTTTTGAGACCTAATGAGATGTGGGTCACTCGACATTGAAATAAAAAGGGTCATGGGATTGCCAGAATCTTAAATTCTCGATGTCCCTTAAATCGAAATCCATGACCATGCAGTCTACGAAAACAACTTTAGTAGTCTTACGCTATAGCAAGCGATTAGTGTGCCGCGTTTGAGCAGATGACCCTAGTACATGGCCCTAGGCCCAGGACTCACGCCAAATCAGTACTATAAAGATGGTAAAGGTACAATATTCTCGAAGAAAAAAAGATAGGAGAAAGAAAGAAAGAGAAAAGAAAGTTATTTGCCTGGAACTACTATACACCATAGGAGGTGTGAGAAAATGCACATGCATATGACCTTTAATTTGAAGATGAACGAAGATAGACTCGAGGCCAGACTGGGATACGAGATGCAACACAGAACAGTGTTGGATGCTGACATAACCAAGCCATTTTAGCTGACATGATCTGCGACTCGATCATGGGTAAGCACTCAACAAGTATACATCTACTTAAGTGCTTAAGTAAGTATATATATAGCACTCTGGGAAGGAAGAAAACGTGGGGATGACGAAGCTTGGATGCCAGTCTGGCAGTTTTCTGGTATACAATAGGAGACACGTCCTTCGATTTCTTAAACTCTCATCGTAACAGTAAGTGGAACCCCCCCCTTAGAGCCTAGGCAAGGCTTCACAGCATATGTATACATATATGTACCTAATATATACATGTAACCTAGGTATGTATCTCTCCTAGTCTTATTCTAGAAAATTGCACTATCTCAGTTGGGAGTCGATAAAACCAAGGATCTTATGGAATCGTCCCGAGGAAGAATCAAGCGAAAAAAATCAAAGATCTTGGAATTCCATCAGAATGCTGCGGAGAACTTAAATCTTCATGTGGAAACCTCGGGCCTTTCGGAATAGACTGTACCGACGGCATCCCCAGAGGCATAGTGATCATGATATGAGGACAAGCCACTCTTCGATATATCGATAAGAAATACTCCTGGGAGGCACATAACATCTTTTGAATCCTCTAAACGGGCCACTTTTCCAATCCTGGTGTTTTCGAGAAGACTAGAAGGCTGACTATCCTATGGGAGGGAATCACCCCTTTCCCTTCGGCGTATCAGACCTTCTAATTGTTGTCATCACCTCCAAGGAGATTTCAGATCGTAACAAGTTAAGTGTCTCGTCATATAACACCAAACTCCCGGCTACGATGCCTATCCACCCTTCCACGTCATGATGTTTAAATCCCATCAGAGGTAACTCTGATAGGTTAAGCGCTCAATTCGGGTCGAGGTGTCTAGCTACATCGCAGCGAAAGGACCTCCTAGCCTTGACGGAACTAAGAGAGAGAGATATATTCACCCGGCCGGAAGAAAACACCTCTGAAGAAAAGAAGAAGAGGAACGATGAAAGAGAGAAAAAGAGAAATCTTTGTCCAGAAAATCATTTCTATCCTTTTGATCGGGGATTTATGAAATATTTATTCTTATTTACAGAATTTGGTGTGATATGCCGTTTGGAATTAATAGAGTATTTTCGGACTGCTAGAATGAAACTAGAAATATTTCTGTTTTCAAGTGGGCGGCTCGCATGGCTCTTCATCTCCATAGAGACTGTGCAGTTCAGTATTTCTGACATTTTGATTTTGTTCGAGAGCTTCGTACGCTTCCTTTCGAGAGAAGTTTCGGGTAGTGTTATTAGAAGATTGTTCGGATGGATGTTAATCGATTTTAGCACGGAGTAACCCCGTACTGGGTTTAAACGTTTGTATAGCAAGATATATTCGATAGTACTATAGCTATATTATTTCTCATACTATGTATCACAGGGAATCCAGAATATTGTGGTATTGCAAACGTTGCAAGCTTGAATCTCAAATGTAAACTATATAATGTATGTACATGATTATACTTGTCAGGTTTAATATTTATATTTGTACCATAATGTCCCTCATGCTCACCGGGAATCTTACATCATACTATTTAAATTTTAGAATAAACTAGTTGAGTTTGTCGAATCGACGTCAGTTAACGTTCTTATTCTGATATCTCTCGCACTATCAAACTGATCGGCATCCCCCGTCGACGCGTCGACGTCGGCCCCGGCCCCGATGATACTATCAGAGATATATATATGTATATATATATATTGATAAAGACATTTATAAATTTGCCACGCTTAAAACGTATAGCTTGTAAGGTATACCAGCACCAGTTATTATATATTCCTGGGCTAAATTAATAGTCTTTATTTGTCTTAAATTTCTCTGAATACCGAATATCTTGATTCTCGACCCGATATTCCGCATCCGTTCCACCAAATGTGATTTTTTTTCTCATCTGGGAGTCTTTTTTTATTTACATTTTATTTTGAGTTGAGGACCTTTACTTTGGGGTATTTTGTCATGCGTCCGGCGGTGCGTGGCGTTAGCTAAGGGCCTATTAACACCATACGTATGCATACTTGCCATTGCATCGTCATCACCACCGCCACGTAAGTTTAATCCACAGCCAACTATCCGCAGATTTGGGCTTCACAGTGTAAGGTTCATTCATTTCGGGCATTGGGTTTTATAACATTAAAACCCGGGCGTTGACGCTTATTCAGAGTTACCAATCTAGTTCCCCACTTTGCAACACCATCGATTTGTTCATACGTATTATACTTTTGCGGAGCCGAAGTGATGAGTGACGATTATGATGTATGTGTCCTGATCTCTCCCGGAATCGGTTTTTTGTTTTCATGGAAATATTATGGTCGTCTGAATTCAGCGGGTGTCACTAACCACGCCCAAATTTCATCTTCAATGGTGTATAGTTCCTTTTCAAAGGTATAACTGAATCTTGAGGGGAACCCGCCCTACCTCCCCAAGACCCCTTGTCCCGATCGGATGAAATCTCGATTTTATCTGATAGAAAAGTAGGGGTGCGCTTTTTAAGTCATCATGCTGAATATATCCCCTTTGCCTCGTCCTAGTTGTCTTGATTGGAGACTCCGGGGTTGGAAAATCCAATATTCTAAATCGTTTCGCCCGGAATGAATTCAACGCGGACTCAAAATCTACGATTGGTGTTGAATTTGCTACACGATCTTTACAGATCGATACGAGGACAATAAAGGTACAAATTTGGGACACAGCTGGCCAAGAGCGGTATCGTGCTATCACCGGAGCGTATTATCGAGGCGCCGTAGGGGCCCTTCTTGTTTATGACATCTCGAGGCGTGAAAGCTTTGAGGGTGTTAGTAGATGGTTGCAAGAAGTCAAAGATAGGGCTGACCCTAATATTTTGATGATGCTTGTGGGGAATAAAAGCGATTTAAAAGCGCGTCGAGAGGTTCCCACTGAAGAGGCAAAAGCATTCGCTGGTTAGTTCTCTTTGTGATCCCTAGATGTGGAAGAGCGGAGCGTATAACGAGGACGATATCTCTTACAGCTACGAATAAGTTGTCATTCATTGAGACTTCTGCTCTCGATGCATCGAACGTAGAACTTGCGTTTATAAACATTCTGACGGGTATAAATATCCTAATAATACCGCGAAGGCCTATGGTATCTACTGCTAACTAAGTTTATAGATGTATATCGAGTCGTTTTAAGTCGAGTAGATGGAGACAAGGACGATGTTGGAACTACCTCCAAGCAGCCTTTCTCACTTCCTCTATCAGATGAAAGTAATAGTGGTGGTGGTGATGGTGGTGGCAAATGCTGTTAGCGCTACATCAAGTAAACTTAACCTAGACTTAAGACTAGGTGTAGACCTGCATCATTAATTTGCAGGGTGCACTGGTGAGGAAATGGGTAACGTCTAGTTTGAAAGTTTATGTCTGAGTTCAGAAATTTTATCTTCTACACATGCAATTCCTGTTACTTTTTTTTGAGCATAAAGCCTGTATTTGCACATATATGGTGTCTCGTACCGAGGATCGGGCGACAATTGAAGTATTAGCTTGTATAGTACAATTGTATCCACCCCATCTCCAAATCTTGATCTGTTCATATGGCACTTTAGCTAGTTGATCACTTAATCTGATGAAAGGTATGTAGTGAGGTACTAACAGATGTAAAACGACCTCTAGCTCTCCGACCCCGGAACAATTTTCAAAATGGTGTTGATAAACGACGGCATCAGATAGAATAAAATAACCCCGAGATCATGTCTGCATGCATGTTGGCAACTGACTCTGTGAAAACAAGGGTTGGGCTAAGTCCTTCCTAGCTCCCCCGCACTTGCAGATTCAAAGCTTGCGAAAGTGCGGGACCAGACTACCCCAAACCAAGTTCCCACATCACCCCGCATGATAGAATATAAAGGGAACCCATGCTCATCGGAGGACAAGCAGACACACCTGGACTTTTTCCGAGCTTGTGTTAAGGAATTTCCAGATTCGATTTAATAGTGTTTGGGGGCGTTTGCATTTGCAAGGTAAAATTGGCGAGCTCTTCTCCGAAACCAAAATTCAGTAGTTGAACTAGAAAATTACCCTAGACCATCGGCGAATCTCAAGCTTTGGTACTCTAGATCTGTCCATATCATGTCTAGATACCTACTCGAGTACATGCAAAGGGGGAGGGAATATTGTGTAACAGAGCATCATGTCCGATTCCGATTCCGACAAATCGATCGAGTTTGTTTCGGGAACAGCGAAGGGACCCGAGTGGTTTATTCTGTTTGGAAGTTAAAAACTTTCCGCTGCATGACATATCTCAAGAATGTGCATGGGAACGGGAGATCTTGCCATAAGAATGTTTTCTTTAGCCTTTTCTTAGTAAATGCTGAGGTATTAGAGGCTGACGATACTTGGGTTTTCTTTTCCTTCCGTCTATAAAACGCCGCTAGTCAGCTCTCACTAGAAAGATGTCATGGATCATTCCCTGAACAGGAGCCTGCTCACTTGACCCATTCTTCGAGCTAGCTTCTCCATGTCTCAAGTCTTAAATTCATCTTTGTTTTCATCTCGATCCCCGCTGTACATACTTAAGAATACGTCGCATCCATTGTTCTAAAAGTAAAAATAAAGCGAGAAAAGCACCACGTGTGCACACTTCTTTAATTCTCTCCCTCCTGCCAGAAGCTGCCGTGGTTGACGTAGAAGAGTGGAGCAGAGGAGAATTTAATAGCGGAGTGGGCCCCTGGCGGTGAATAAGTTCAAATGGACAGGCAGGTATTAAGCCTTTTTCCCCAGACATTTTGACTTAGATAAAAAGACCCGCCAGTGCATTTCTTGACCTCGCCAAAAATCCAATTTAACATTTCCCAACAGTTTATTATCTTCTGATCTTCGGTCTTCTTTCAGGCTTTTATCTCTAGCATCTTGAATCTATTTTTTTTTTTTTTTTTTTTTTTTTTTATAAAGAAGGGAAATAACGGGTCCAACCGAAGCAAGCATATTATACGCACGCCCGAGACTAAGAATAAAGCTGTTCCTGGCATCTCAACAACATCGGACGAACCGCTGCAATTGCGCTCTCTCTCTGTTGCTGGGGAGAGCCCATCTCGTGCGACAACCGGCCGACGACCCAGAAGCTAGGATGCCCAACCGTTTCCTCGACTTCGTCTCCTTTTAACTAAACCTTCTCTTCATTTACCACTGTTATCTTGTTCTTCACCATCACCGGCTTCAATCAGAATCATGTCCTTTTTCCGGCAACAGCCTCTTATTCACCTCCCCGGCCTGCCCAGCTCCGGTACCTGCGGTCCAACACAAAAGAACTTCAACAAACCCTCATCTCCCTCGACGTCACCGCCATCATCAAAGTCAATCCTCAACCCTTTGCTCAACTTTGTAAAACACCCTGGCGATATTATCCGGGATTTCACAATCGACGAGGCAGGCAAGCAGAGGCTGGTTCTTCAAGCTCGCCTTAAGAATGTGAGTTGTCTCCCCTCCTTCATCTCTCGCGCTTTATCTCCCTCCATCCAGGTCGCCATGCTGTTTTCTCATGCAAGGAAAGCATGGGTGTCTTGGCATTACATGTGCATGGCGATGACGATGATGATGAACGTGGGTTCCCTCGGTTGATAATTGGTATCTGACCCACTTTTTATTTGCACAGGCAAAAATTCACTCCGACTGGATCGAAGCCGCTACGTTACTCGACGAGCTCGATGGAAACAACCGGTGGAAATCCGAGTCGGAATCCTCGGAATATGATGCCAACCAAGTTAAAGCTCGTCTCGACCAGTTGGAGGACGCCAGGATCAGTGGCGATATCGGAAGAATGTTGTTCCTCATTCGCACGACCCTTACTAGACACCTTGGTGGCATGGGAAATGTTGAGGTACGATATTAAAGTCATGCAGGACAACAAGATAAGGTTGCATTTTTGAGTTATACTGATATCAAAGGTAGCTTTACCGCCATTCCTACGCGGGAACCAAATACCTGATCGAATCGTACATCGAGACTGCCCTTGCAACCCTCGATGCGCTGGTCAATGCCCCCTCCATGGACCCACACCTCTCCCCTAGGAAAATTCTTGAATCTCTCGTCGCTACACGTCAGTCATTCGGACGAACAGCACTTCTACTCTCTGGTGGGGCGACATTTGGAATGAATCACATCGGCGTCCTAAAAGCTCTATGGGAAGCCGATCTTCTGCCACGAATCATCTCAGGTGCTTCGGCCGGCGCAATCGTTGCAGCTGTTCTGTGCGTCAGAACCGATAATGAAATCCCTCACACCCTCGAAAATTTCCCCTACGGTGAACTCGATGTATTTGACTATGCTCTCGAGCCGGAAGGTGTAATGGCGAGAGTCGGGAGGATGATCAAAATGGGCGCTTGGATGGATATTGCGAACCTGACAAGAGTGATGAGGAACTTGTTGGGAGATATCACATTCCAGGAAGCGTACAATCGCACGCGAAGGATATTGAACATCTGTGTCTCGCCAGCTAGTATCTACGAGCTGCCGCAACTGCTAAATTACTTGACCGCCCCGAATGTGCTAATTTGGTCTGCTGTGTGAGTACCCCCAACTCTTAGCTATTGTTTTCCTCCTCGAATGTCTTTTGGGCCAATTTTACTAACAAATATATAGGGCTGCCTCATGTTCACTTCCGTTACTGTTCACACCAGCCTCGGTTCTCGCGAAGAATCCTAAGACCGGCATTGCAGAACCTTGGAATGCGTCCCCTCAAAAATGGATCGACGGCTCTGTAGATAACGACTTACCAATGACGAGGCTCGCAGAGATGTTTAACGTCAACCATTTTATCGTCTCTCAAGTAAACCCACATGTGGTCCCATTCCTAGAAAAAGAACCAATTAAACCAATCAACCCACAAGGCAGCAATGGCTCCGGCGAGTCCGGCGGTTACGAAGCTTGGAAGTCAACATTTGTTTCTCTGGCTATGGGGGAGGCCCTTCACAGAATAAACCTCCTAACGGAAATGGGCATTTTCCCCACATCCCTAACCAAAGCAAAGTCAATACTGTCCCAGAAATATGCAGGCGATATTACCATCTTCCCAGAGGTACCGCTGGTTGATCTGCAGAAGCTGATCAAAAACCCCACCCCGGAATTTATGATCGAGGCCGGTCTAAGAGGAGAAAGAGCTACTTGGCCGAGATTAAGCAGAATCAAAAACTGCTGCGCGATCGAACTGGCTTTGGATAGATGTATTCACCAACTACGCACAAAAGTGGTTTTTAGCGGCTCTCAAGTCGACCTTCGACTCAACAACTTCAACGTCAGCAATGGCGAGAGAAATGAAGAGTCGCAGAATACATCGAATATATCGCGGAAACGGCCTATGACTGGCGACCCCGCTGAGCTTGCGAGTTTTGTACCACCGCCTCCAAGACCTGTGCTTCCCACAATATCGGTTGATGGGAATAGACTTAGTTATCCACCTGTCACCACGCGCGGTAGATCGCATAGCACAGGCCCACCACAGCTCCCTCAATTCTCCCCGTTAATAACTCGAAATTTAGCTCCTGGGAAAAGCTACTTCGAGAATCCGGTTCACGCCTCTCCAAACTCTTCTAGAACGCTGCACAACATGAATGCTGCGAAGATGGTGACCCCGAAGTCTCCAAAACCTCCCTCTATTCTACCTATCTCAAACAAAAATGGCGCCAATTTAAGCGTCGGCAGCCCATATATCACCAGGCAAACTACCGATGAAGGGATAGGCTTCGCGTTAAGGCGAACAGGCAGTCGGTACCGCCTAGTCCGCCAAACGCCGTCCTCTGAGCTCGACCCGGCAGACGCCGAAGACGAATCTGCTGCAATAGCGGGAAGCAGTGAAGATGAAGATGCCTTTCAACTTCCCGATCCCCTCGACGACCACGAAATCGTTGATCTAGACCGAACACCTACTTCGTCTTCGTCAAGTTCTATCAATCTAGTATTATCATCTGGCGAAACAAGTCAGACTAGTCAAACTACAAATCAACCGTTGTCACTTCAACGGCGACCATTTATCAGTAGGAGTACGACAGCGTTACCATTGTACCATACAAATACACATGCACACGCAACCAACCCCAACAGTGACGAGGCAAACTCGTCTAGACTAATGAACACCAGCAGCAACGATGACCCAAGACAGGATAATGAAAGTTGACTAGCTTTGGTTGATCTATCTTTCTTCTGAGACAATTTCTTTTCTTTATACGAATAGTTTTTAGCATATTGGTATTATTGGCGTTATTTATCTGTCTTTTACTTGGCGTTTCTATTGATGACGTTGGAGACGTTTCGGTATATATGTTACGATAGCGGGGGGTGCATGGCTGCATGGATAGCATAGTATAGTAGAACAGGTCTTTTATTGTGCAATAGAGATATGAGCGGGGCGATTAGAGGATGCATTTTAATATTCATAGACCTTGTATTTCCTTTTTTGCATTGCATATCCGGTTCTATACCCTTCTTTTTATTTCATGGAAATTATAAATAAACATATAATCAAGACCCCTAATATCCCGGCCCTTGAAATCTTCCTTGGGGGGCGGACTATGAAAGCAAAGATTCATCCAACCCGAACCTGGAGCCTGATGCTTGGATAGTCCGTATGACCGTCTGTCAAATCCGGCACTACCCAAAACCTTACTGGGTATTCGTATGCCACCGAATCATCCCTAGCCGATCCTTTCAAGAAAGTTTCTATCTCGTCTAAGGCGTCTGTTAAAACTTTTCTGATAGAAATATCAGAAGTAAGATCTAAGAAACCAGTGCTGGAATTGGTAGTGACAAAGTCCTTCTGGTGTTCCCGAAAAGTGAATGTGATTCTGTATAAACGGTAAATCTTTTTGAAGGTGGTGCTATTATTAATATGGTTTGGTGATAAACACGGGGGGAGGAATAATGGTTCGGAGAGGAAAGGATGAGACCCTGGAAGTGGGATATACGACTCAATAGAAGAAAGATTTTGTGGATTGGGATTTTCAACGGTAACTTCGAATGAATGTGGTATTTTGGTTATTGTTCGATTCGGATCATTAGTGGTGGGTGGGATGGTCATTGATGAAATGAGAAACATGATGCTTTTGCTATCGGCATTAGAAGATGAATAGTGATAGTGGTGGAGGAGTTTGTGGATTTGAAGCGAGGAGGAGGAGGAGGAGGAGGAGGAGGAGGAGGAGGAGGAGGAGGAGGAGGAGGAGGAGGAGGAGGAGGAGGAGGGAGGGGAGGTAGTTGGCCTACCGTT